CTCTCTCTCTCTCTCTCTCTCTCTCTCTCTCTCTCTCTCTCTCTCTCTCTCTCTCTCAATCTCAAGCTTTCTTCATTTTTATCTCTTCTCTCTCTACCTCTCTCATGCCTTATATTAATTTCAATATTAATGTAATTCATTTGCAAATGTGATTTATCTTTTTTGTTTTACATCATAAACATATGATGGAAAACATCTCATTTTAGTGTGTTGAATTATAGTTAAATTTATTTTTCCAAAATTTTGTCTAAATTTTTGTTTATGAAAATCGAATAATGCAAACATAACTCACACAAGATACCGTTAGAAATGTGGCTTCTACTTTTTATATTGCTGAGAATCAGTTCATCCATCGCTCAAGATGAGAAACAGTCTGGAGGAAGAGATGCAAAATCGGGAGAATTTCCTTATGCACTAATCATGGTTGGCAAAATACAATGTGGAGGAGTATTACTAAGTGCTAGTAAAGTAGTCAGTGCTGGACACTGTTTTGATAATGGTTTCCAAAAGGACTGGTCCGTTATCGTTGGTGGCACATTGAATTATAAAGATGGGGCAGGAAAGCAAGAGAGGAGCATTGAATCATTCCAAATACATGAGAAATACAAAAAAAAAACACATGTACAGGGATACTTTAATGACATAGCTATTGTAAAACTGACTAAACCATTTGATATTTCTGATTCTCTGAATGTAGCAACATTACCAGCCACAACAAAAAAAGACTTCTTAACAATGTGGGGAGCAATTGTAGCTGGAAAAAAAACCTGCTATGGATTAGGATGGGGGAAAGGCAGTGCTGATGCAACAAAGTTTGATCGACTGAAAGTTATTGAATTGAAGCCATGGGTGGATTCAGATTGTTCTATGATTTTTCCTGATCCAAACGATGATATGTCTGGCAAAGGGGAAGCCTGTTCCACATCTCCAACTGAAGAAGACAGTTTTTACCCCTCCGATTCTGGTAATGCATTCATTTGTGAAGGAAAACTCTATGGTATAATGATGAATCAAGAAAAAAAATTAGGCAAGGTAGCACAGAAAACTGTACTCTTGTTTCCATATCTTGATTTCGTTAATGATGCTACAACATTACATTTATCTGCACCCTACATAATTTTATTTTTAATTAGCAGTCGACTACTTGCTTGAAGACATCATCAAATAACCATCAAAACTCATAATTTNTCTCTCTCTCTCTCTCTCTCTCTCTCTCTCTCAATCAATCAATCAATCAATCAATCAATCAATCTCAATCTCAATCTCAAGCTTTCTTCTTTCTTCCTTCTTCTCTCTCTACCTCTCTCATGCCTTATTTTAATTTTAATGGCAATTAATTTGAAAAATGGCAAAAAGGTGGGGTTGAGATGGGGAGTTAGTGTCCGCGTGGATCGAGATCACGATAGCTCAAGTGTTAGAGCAGCGGTGTATTTAGCCGAAGATTGTGGGTTCGAATCCCGCTCATGCCATTGACTTTTTTATCTCAACTAAAAACCTTAATTAATGTAATATATTAATTTTAATATTAATTTAATTCATTTATAGTTGTTATTTATCTTTTTTGTTTTACATCATAAACATATGATGGAAATCATCTCATTTTAGTGTGTTGAATTATAGTTAAACTTATTTTTCCAAAATTTGGTCTCAATTTTTCTTTGTGAAAATCGAATAATGCAAACATAACTCACACAAGATACCGTTAGAAATGTGGCTTCTACTATTTATCTTGTTGAGAATCAGTTCATCCATCGCTCAAGATGAGAAACAGGCTGGAGGAAGAGATGCAAAATCAGGAGAATTTCCTTATGCACTAATCATGGTTGGCAGAATACAATGTGGAGGTGTATTAATAAGTGCTAGTAAAGTAATCAGTGCTGCACACTGTTTTGATAATGGCTTCCAAAAGGACTGGTCCGTTTTCATTGGTGGCACATTGAATTTTATAAAAGGAACAGGAAAGCAAGAGAGGAGCATTGAATCATTCAAATTACATGAGAACTACAAAAAAAAACGTATAGAAGGATACTTTAATGATATAGCTGTTATAAAACTGACTAAACCATTTGATATTTCTGATTCACTGAATATAGCAACATTACCAGCCAAAACAAAAAAAGACTTCTTAACAATGTGGGGAGCAATTGTAGCTGGAAAAAAAACCTGTATTGGAATAGGATGGGGGAAAAGCAGTGCTGATGTATCAAAGCTCGATCAACTGAAAGTTATTGAATTGAAGCCATGGGTGGATTCAGATTGTTCTATGATTTTTCCTGGTCCAAACGATGATATGTCTTCCAAAGGGGAAGTCTGTTCCTCATCTCCAGCTGAAACAGACAGATTTTACCCCACTGATTCTGGTAATGCATTCATTTGTGATGGAAAAGTCTATGGTATAATGATGACTCAAGAACACGGATTAGATAAGATAGCACAGAAATCTCTACTCTTTTTTCCATATCTTGATTTCATTAATGATGCTACAACATTACATTTATCTGCACCCTACATAATTTTATTTTTAATTAGCAGTCGACTACTTGCTTGAAGACATCATCAAATAACCATCCAAACTCANATATATATATAGAGAGAGAGAGAGAGAGAGAGAGAGAGAGAGAGAGAGAGAGAGAGAAGACTAGTGTGTGTGTGTGTAACATAACAGGGGCAATGCATATTTGTCCATTAACAACATTAACAGAAACCACACTCAATATCCACTGTTACATATGGCATTTATGTACAAAAGGCGACTTTTGAGAGTGCCACCAGACTCTGGAGATACAAAGAAATAAAATTTGATGTAAGGAGGAGATATCACAAAACTTTAGACAGAATAAAAATAAATGAGATAGCTGTAATGGTAGCCGACAAAATAAGAAGAAAACTCAACGTTGAAGGACCCTTCCTAGAGGTCATAGTTAACAAAGACCTTTGGAATAAAGGAAACCCCAAGATTCAAGAAGGGGTTCAAATAGATGAGGGGGTGAAAGGACCGATTTACACCCTAGCAAAGCCCCTTCGACTGGTCCTATATTCCAAGTTGAAGTCCATATAATCCAACCCTGTACACAGTAGTCAGGGTCAGACATGTATAAAGACACTAAATGCATTTGTTTCCTGCCTAAATTGCCTTATGGCCCTAGGAATACACAACAAGGTCAAGGTGGGTTCCAGAACATGAATTTATTGAAGGAAATGAACAGTTGACCACTAGCCAAAGAACGAACAGCTTCTCAGCCAAGGGATTTTAACTACAATTGGCATACCAGAGAGTGTACTAAACTTGGAGCTGGTATCTCATTTTCTGCTTGACCAACTAATAATGGAATCTGGCAGATTACTAATAAAATAGGTGAGATGTTCTCTTTATGTAACTAAAGAATGACACCCTTCAACTAAGTGGGACACATCGAGCAACCTTACAAAGCCTTTTATTTGTTGGGTGAGTATGAACCCTCTTTTAATTCAGATGCTTTAATGGCAAACTGTTTATCGGCAAAAATTTTTGATATTTGAGAGGTTCCCTACAAATCCTTTTTTTAATTATGCTTATATTCTAACTAACAAAGAAAATACACACGAACACCAACTATAACAATAAATAAAACACCTTTTTTATTGTTTATATATATTTTTGTAATTATTTTATTTAACTCTTGTGTACATACACATTATGTTTTGCTAATAACTACTGATATACAGCACACTCAAAAAGTGTGATTAACATGGCATTTGAGGGTGGGCCCTGCCCTAAGGTAGTCCACACAATAATTCACTGGAGTATAATAATTTGAGATAAATAAATATATCATTAATAAATAAATTAACCTCAACGCACGTTTACACTAGCACTTATTTACATTAACACATATTTACAATCTGTAGTCCGTATGATGCTTTCTTTTTAGCCGTCTTTGTTGGCAGGGTGGAGGCATATTCGCTGGAATTTGTGCAATTGCCAGATTCGGGTGGGAGTCAGCTTTGGCAAGCAGCATCGGGTATCTCTTCTTTAGTTCGTCTTCTACCGATGTCAACGATATTTCATGGTGGAGCTGTTCATTCCTTTGTTATTTTGTTATTAACCGTAATACACGGTTCTGCAGCATTTCTATCCATTTTATTTGCGAGGCGGATGCAGTACACCAAATGAGCGAGCCATAAAACTATATTGGTTTTATTAGGCTTAAATAAAGGAGTTGCATAAGTGGAATTTGGACAGAATTGCTAGAGAGAATTGGTTTGATATTGCAAATACGCAAGGGAATTCTCGTTACACATGAGGATATGTGGTTATTCCAGGTGAGATGCGAGTCCAAGTGTAGCCCTAAGTATTTATATGAGTCTGCTTGAGGTACATTAGCTCCACCGAGTACTACATGTGAGGGCCTTGAGGTCTTCTTATAAGTGAAGTTAATGAGTTTGGACTTAGTTGAATTCAGCTTAACTTTCCACTTTGATGCCCAATCATTAATTTTTTGGCAGTAATTCTGCATCTTCATTTCTGCATCACTGAGCGTGATACTTTGGGACAGCACTGCTTTGTCGTCGGCAAATTGGGCTATTTCGATGTTGCTATCTGCTGGAAGGTCATGCTCGTACAGAATGTAAAGGAGGGGTCCCAGAACACTTCCTTGAGGAACACCCGCTGAGATGCTGTGTACTTCCGAGTTTGCCCCTTTATAGCTGACAAAAAATTGTCTGTCGGTCACATAAGACTTCTCCAGCCAGTAGTATATATCGGGTAGTAACTTTTTAATCTTATATAGCAGGCCCTCATGCCACACTCGATCGAAGGCCTTTTGGGTATCTATAAATAAACCTAGACAATACTTTTTTTCCTCATAAGTTTGTAGTATTTTATCCACTACTCTGTGGAGTTGCCACAGACAAGAATGAGATGCTCTGAAACCAAATTGTGTGTTCGGTATTACAGGACTTAAATAACTCAGAAGCTTTGGAAATATTAGTCGCTCGAGGATCTTCGATAGTGCAGACAACAAACTTATTGGTCGATAACTGGTTGGTTTGTCCCATTCTTTTTTGGCTTTATGTATAGGTACCACTTTAGCAATTTTCCATTTTTTTGGAAAGTATGCCGTTCAAAGGATGCCATTGTATATTTGTGTTAACAGTACGAGACATTTTCTAGGCATATGCATCAATGTGATGCCTTACGATCATGTCCATACCTGGTGCTTTTTTGTTTTAATTTTCTGAATTACACTCTACACTTTACTGAATTACAATTTATATATTTATAAATTTATTTAAAATTCAATAAATGTTTCATTAAAAAAATGTTAAATAACATATGTTACTTTTAAAACCAATATGAAAACATTACCCCAATTTATATTGTCCTTATCTTTATCAATACCAAAACACAACATGGATGGAATATTTTTTGGAAATGTGGGTTCTAATAGTTTTACTGTTGAGGATTGGTGTGTTTGCTAGTGATGGCGGGAAGTTAAGAAGAGGAAGAGAACAAATTTTGGAGAATTTCCTTATGCACTAAGCCTGCATGGCAAAATGAGGAGGAACATTCGCAACTGCTAGTAAATTCGTCACTGCAGGTCACTGCTTTAAAATAGTTGCTGGCTTCCAAAATGATTGGTCATCTTGGTGGTTCACTCAGCCTCGAACCCAGAGCCAAAGGATGACAAGAGATGAATATTAAGGCTATTGAACATCCAAAATTTCAAAAGAAAAATTCAGGATCAGGATATTTTCATGTATAGGTCTTGCAGATTGGAAAAACCATTTGGTATAACTGATTCATTGAAACAACCCAGTCTTCCATCACGTGATAAAAACAAGTTCAGGAAAATATGGGCAGATGTTATATCTGGAAAGTATGTGCATCACCCAGAGTCGAAGGAGAGAGATTAGTATCTGATTATGCTGGTAGTGCAGCATTTGACAATTGTGATGATATGCTATATGGTTTGGCATTGGAAGAAATTAGAAGTGAAGATAAAGTAATGAGTTTTATTCTCTTGTTTCCATACCTTAATTACTTTAACGTGGGTGCAACACTGGATTTATCTCTTATATGACTACTATTCATCGCTAAGTGACTACTTTCTTGAAATACCACCATAAGTGTCAGTTTATTTAATTGAGTTTACCTCGTAACGTTTTGCAAAACTAACGCAAATGGCTCTATCCTCTTCAGCCTTCAGACAATGTAGCAGGTGGCTGGCCTCAGTGTTCGGCTTTGAAGACAGGCAACATAGGACTGTGTGATCTCAGTGCGGGATGTTCAGATCTCTGTATATGCATCTACCATTAGATTTGATTATGTAGGAGCCAGCCTCTTTATTACCGCAGCCATTAGTGGTCTATCATGCATAGCATCTACCATAATTCATTGAACTTTATTTTAGAACTGTTCTATTATGCTTTTATTGCTTCTTTTAGTACACATCCAAATTTGTATATCGTATATCCATATAGGTTGTAATATGTGATTATAATCGTTATTTTATTTTGCACAGATAGCCGTGAATTCCTTTCTGTGAATCAACCAATAAAGTAGATGTATTTGACAACAAGTTTTTCCTTTACTTTTTGATGTGCTTTCCAATTTAATTTTTTATGTATAGTCATGCCTAAATATTGAATTAAATTCGGTGGAACTACTTTACCAATGAAGATTATTGGTTTGTCTCCAAATTTCCTATTTGTGAAATTTACATGTACAGATTTTTTGTAGTTTATTTTGACCTTACAAGGCCTCCTTCTAAATCAATTCATGAATGCTGTTGACTGCCATTTTTTCTGTTTTTGAAAAAAAGCCCATTTGTAAGTATGTCGGGTTTGAATGCAGGGCTGCTGGATTCGAACCCGGGACCTTTACCTTACATTGATGAGCGCCTTGTCAACGCCTAAACGGTTGTGGCCACCGATGCCCTAAACAATGTGACTTTAAGCAATAACAAATTGAGGTATCATGTGGTCTAGTGAATGTCTTATAAAATGTATATCAAAGATCACAGCTTTATTACAGATACAGTCAGCACTATTGCTTTTGATACCAAATCAAAATAAAGTCACAAAGATTAAATTCTGTAAATGATCAATCTAAACAGAACATTTCCAATTTTTCATTTGCTATTGTTTTAATACTAAGGTTCTTAGATTCTTCAATCCCCTCATCCCAGAAGCAAACGTTTTGAACCAATTGTAACCACACTGTCACACAAAACCAATATGACAAGAATAACACTACACTTTATGTCCTGAAGATGACCCGAATAAAGGTCGAAACATTGGCAAAAAAAAAATGATTATGGTATTTTTCTAAACTACCTCAATCTTGATCGCTCCTCATGGCATCAGGAAATTAAGAGAGAAGAAGATGTGGGTATTTTTGGTTTTTATGATTTTTGGTATTATGATAATTAACCTAATTAATTGCCTTGCAATATTACTACTACTATGAGCACACTTTGTAATAAGCAAAATATGTAATAATCAATAAACTTTTTAAAATGTGCCAGAAAGTGTGATCACAAAAATTCACAGTCAAGACATTTGGTCCATTTTTACATCACTCATTTACAAATATTTATGAACAGATAATTACGTAATCCACATCTATGCACAGAGGTTCAGAATCTATCAAAAAATACTGTGGGCATTTAAGACAAAAGAGTGAAAAATTATAGTCACAAGTTTTAGCATTTATTTTGATTCCTCAAAATTACATTATTTAGAAGAGCTGCCTATTTTCATACAGCAGAATAATGCAAATGCTGATACTGCTGAGTGTACAATTTAAAGAAACTACATTAATTGTAAAGCATTTATTTTTAAATTATAATAAAGTAGTTATTATTAATAGAATGCTTAATTATTAAAAATGCAGCAGTGTTTGAAATTTGAAAGATAAAGCATTCCTGCAAAAACTTATTTTGTTTTGAAGAAATTGGTATTATCCTTAATAAATATATTTGTGTCTACAATATTATTATCCTCCTCTTCATAAGGACTTCCAAAATCGATATCAACACTCTCAAACCAGGATTTTATTTCAGCAATGTAATTTTCATGCAAATTTTCATACAAAGATCTTGTTCCATTATTCTCCAAATCGATGGATTTTTCTACAGACAGCTTCTTCAACTGCAATAAACATACCGTGAAATTTTTATTCCAGGGAAAGTATAACACTTTGACCTACTTTGTCTTTACAATTTTTCTTCATTGTACTCGTGGTAACAAGTTTCTGGAGTTCCTTTACTACAGAGTTATTTCCAAAACTGTTATTAAAAAGCAAAATCATTACAACTCAATAAAGACGAAATATAAATAAATATTTCTTACCGTGAATTAATATCATCAAAATTGTCATAATAGTAATCAATAGTATAGCAGGAAGTATCAGAAAAAACAATATTACTAAGCATATCTGTGGTTTTTTCTTCTTTTAAGTAGTCAGCTTCATATAAAATGTCATTTAACAAGCTTGAATTAATAAAATTCTCATTAATTACATCAAAGATGAAAATATTTGGTTATGTTTTTAACTATTGGAATAGACAGATATTTTATAATTACCGTTTCACCAGGCCTTCTTTTGTAACACAGAACAAAGCATTGAAATAATCTTCTTTAAGTGACCATTGTTCCTCTTCAATATATTTATGTTTAATATATTCGAACACCTTTTCATCTCCAATTGTAGATGCAGTACACCAAAAGGTACTCCTCAGCTCTGGATTTAACCTCGTAATATTTTAATTTAATTAAGCACAATTTATTTACAAACCTCACAAATAGTTTTATTATATTAGATTTTGTAGCACTTACTGCTTTTCAACCATCTCATTATTCATGATAGCATTGAGAATATCTTTCGTTTGATTATTGCAGTGTGGAAAGTTGAATGAACAACCATATTTAATAATCAACATTTTTATCCCATGGGTAATTAGATTGTTCGCTTGGTAATCTTTGGATGTAACATGTTTGTAAACATTGGCCACAATGTATTTGTAGTATTCCTAAAATGAAACGTTCTATTAGTAGAATTAACTTTTATTTCGGTCGTTGAAACTTGCCTTGAGGGTGTCATGAACTGGCGTTCCCATAGTATACTGTACTAGCAAATCAATCCATGAAAGACCGTTGGACAATGGAGTATAATGTAATTCGTTTTTGAGGTATCTTGTAAGATTTAGGAATGTTGAATAATTCAAAAGGCTTGTATTAGCCAAGGCAAAGGCGTCGTTTATTATTTGGGCCCTGTTCAGAGGGTGTATCTGAAGCATGTTTTCACTCATTAAATAGGCAGTAATGAGTTCCCATGTCCTTTCATCATAATTGACTTTGTAATAGCCTGATAAAAAAAATTATTATGTTCATATCTCACAATTAGGTAATGAAGTAAGAACAACATAATTTACAGTACAGATTAATAACAATTACATTGATCACACTTAGCCTCAATTTAATAAAAATGTGTGTTAAATATGCAGTTAGTAAAAGACATCAGCATACACCCCTAAAAAAATTAATTTTTTCCTTAAAAAAATAAAATAATGAGAATATTTCAAATACCAACCTTTTTTCNTTATAAATTCCAATAAATTTGAGAAAGCTGAAAAGTGCTCTTCGAAAGAAACACTGGGGACCCAGTAACTCCTGTAAATCACTCGAAAGGTTAAGGCTTTGCCTAAACTTATTTCCTTTTATTTTCAAATTTAGTAGTAACTTAAGAATCAATTTTATGAGACCTTTACAAATATTTTATTATAATGGAGGTGCCAATTGAACCAGGTCATTGATAATGCGACACTAGTCTTGGAAAATCGTTAAATAAAATTGTTTGCAAATATCACGTCACCTGTACAATCATCCAGAACTAAAAACTAATCAGGGTGGCCAAAAAAAATTAGAGAGAACATGCGAGTTGTGAGTCACTAGTTCCTATCAAAGCTGGACATCTTTAAATGGATTATGGCATTCATGTAACACCTCAAACAATTAATAAGACTCTTAAAAAAGTGGTATTAGCTCATGATCTCCCTGTAAAAAGCCCGACATCACTAAAGATCAACCAAAAAAGATTGTAATATGCAAAATCGTGTATAAACAAGCCTTCAACTTTTTGGGACAGTGTAATTTTTAGTGGTGAATAAAAATTTTATGTTTTCTGTTCTGATGGGAATGAATGTCAGAGTGTGGCAGACAAAAAATGAAGTTATGAAATTTAAAAGAATTGTTTGTGGTGGTGAAGCATGGCAAGGTTAGGGGTCATCAGGGGTTGGTAAATTAAAACATGTTGATGGGATCATGGACCAATATATTTCTATGGACATTCTTAAAGAAAATTTAAAGCCCAGTGCCCAGAAACTTGGACTTCTTGCGAATTGTGTTTTCCAACAAGATTTGATCTGAAACTTCCTGCTAAGAGCAGTACAACCACTGAATAAAAACACTCCCATAATCACTAGATTAAAATCTCTAAAAAAAATAAATAAAAAGAAGTGTGTGGTGGTTAGTGACCATTAATTGATGATTATTCAGAAATCGTGAGATGCGGTCTGATGTGATGTAAGTTTCAGAAAAACATTTTCTTTATCGTGCCAGCGTTTCGATCTTTATTGAGATCACCTTCAGGGCCTGGGATTTACAAACATTGTTTACATTTAACAAATACATGTAGGTTGTGGAAAAAAGGTGAATTTATACAATGCAAAATATATTTTTTATATTCAATCAAAGTATTTCTACTCACTCAGATCGAAACATTGGCACGATAAAGAAAATGTTTTTCTGAAACCTACATTACACCAGACCACATCTTACAATTTCTGAATAATTAATAAAAAGAAGATTGGAAACTCACAGCATAAAAAGAAGATTTTAATAAATAAATAAAAGGTTTTTATTTAATAAAAAATGTATTTCTAAACTATACTGTCGAATGAAAAAAGTAGAATTATTGTAAATATTTCTTAATACCTTTGTTCTGAAGATTTAAAATGATCCACTCATCATCTGTTATAGTTATTGTAAGTGGTTGTGATTCGTTGGTTGGCCTTAACCACTCTTTGAGACGAACATTTTCAAAATCTCTCTCTTTGGATGTTGTGTACGATAAAGGAACCCACCAGTAGCTATTAAAATCAACTTTTTGCTCTGTGCTATAAAACGGCTCCTGTAAGATAATTTGATTAATATAATTTGTACAAAACAAATTGGTTGATTAGAATTTTTCATTAATTATTTAAAAATAGGTGATGTTGGGAATCACCTGTTTCACAGTGAGTGTACCATTTTCATGTCTATTGACTGTCAGCAGGGGAAAGCCACTGTTATGAGTCCAACCGTGCATCAATGTCTCAAGGGATTCTCCATCAGGAAATGTTCTATCGTTTATTTTCACCTGCAATGATCCCCAAAGTTCTTGCTCTGTTACAGAGTCAAACTGGCTGAAAATATGTATAAAATGCAACACCGAATTAAATATATATGTATTACATTTGATTACTTTTCTATCAGATAAGTTTGCAATCCTTCTCTGAACGAATCACTGTTCATAACGACATTTGCAACCATGTTTGTGATAGCAGCACCTTGAATTAATATAGATTTTAATTTTCAACGTAGAAACGGTAACTATTTTGATTTACAAATATTTATACGTGTTTTTTACTAATAGTTCATACAGTACCTTTAAAGTACATGTTAGAAGATAAAGGATAATCATAAATGTCATTCAGGCAGTATTTACTGCTAACCAAAGAAAAAGGCTCAAAGTAATCTTGAGAAACAACATTATCTGTGTTTAGTGACATGAACAATTCCATAGCTTTTGAATCTGGAAACACCTGAAAACAATTGTGGATTAAAATTATATTCAAAATCTATAGCAAAAAGAACTTACTTGGTCTACAATTAAATGCATTAAATATGATGTAATGCCCTCATTAAGCCAAAAATAACACCAGTAACTACAGGTTACAAGGTTGCCAAACCATTGATGTGTGAGTTCGTGGGCCATAGAAAGAACAAATTCTAACTCTTCTTCAAAATAAGACATTTCACTTTTCATAAATATGTTTTTATGACTGTAAATGATCAATAACTACAAATCAAAATTAACCGTTGCATATTGTGTGAGGAAAACTACCTCCATGTGATGAGACCCCAGCTTTCCATAGCAACAGCGTCTTTCCTGGGGACCACCAAAAGATCCATTTTTGGGAGATGATAATCTATTTGAGTGTAATTTTCCATCGCCTCCATTAAAACTGTCATAATTTCAGATGGCAAAAGCATATAATCTTTGCTCTCCTCTGGAAACCAAATAGTGGTGTTTTTTGGAAGTTCTATGCTGGCCAGGTCATCAAATATAACAAATACCACTAGATAAGTGGACATTTTTGGACTTGGGTAGAATGTGTCCCAAACTTGACCGTTTATTTTTGGACTATAAAATAGCAATGGCAGTTATCATAATGGTGAATCTTATGTAAAAATATTTACTCTGGAGCAGATGTGCTTCTAACTGGCATGTTTGACAGAGCTTTCATGGACTGTGGCCTTCCCAATTTAATCTCAAATACTGCTTTATAACTAGGAATATCTATACAGGGAAATACTGATCGGGCCCCCATTGGTTGTAATTCTGTACTAATTACTTTTCTAAAATCATAATAAATGACAAAATAAAATAATGAGAATATTTCAAATACCAACCTTTTTTCATCATTGAATTCATAAAAAGACATGTACAATCCTTTTAGTTCTTGCATCTGACCAGAGTATTTTAATGTGAGTACAAATTCAACATCTTTCTTTATAATTTGATCTAATTTAAAAACAATAATACCAGAAGTGTCATTTTCTGTTGCTAAATTCAAATCTAACTGAGCATTATTTTCATTTATTGAATAAAATCCATCTGAAATGTTCACTTTGCTGTGAAGCCCAAGTTTGTCCGTGTCCTCTAAAATTGTTCCAGCTATTCGAACTTCTCCAAAGAATGATTCCTCTTCAATATTTGGGGCAATTTCAAGTGAGTAATAGGATGGTTTCCAATATTTCCAAAATGGATATTCTATATTTGAATCCTCAATTTGATCACTACTGCTACTGGCACTACTTATCCCAATTAACAGTATAACTATCTAAAATAGAAAGAATATTTTTGAGTTGACTTTTACAGCTTTTATTCATATAATTTTTGGAATCATTTATATAAAAATATATTTGAAAGTCTAAATAAATCTAAATAAGCAATTAGAGGACTTAAGCAAAGTTAACTAATCTTCTTCTTGCATATACACATTTATCTTTACTGACTAAATGTACTGTTCAATTGATACATTATTTATATGAAGTTTGTTGAAATAATCATCTTTTTTGTACCCATTTGTTTTTATTATAAATGCATTTGAGCTACACCATGGTTCTTCATCGGTACATTTAACTCCTTTTGAAGTATGTAATCAGGTTTTTATACAATTATTTTTATTATAAATGTATACGAAAAAGATGATAATTTCAACCAACCCCATGTAATAAGTAAATTGCAACATCTAGAACTGAATTTCTAATTTGGAATAATTGATCCATTTTTTTTATTCACCAAAAAAATTCATAGCTTAAAAAAACAATAAATTTAAATAAGTTTTAATTAACAAAAAAAAAGCTTATTTGATGTGTTTCGTTTTTAAGTTTTATATTTTAACAAAATAAATCATAATTTAATTGTTTTCGTTCAGTATTTAATTTTCATTGACCCATTAATATGTAGGAATTTAAAATTATATAACAAACAAGAAAAATGTTAATGTAAAACAAAAAAACCAATACACTTACTTTTCTATTTTCGCTATTGTACACGGCAATTTACTGTCTTTTATTGTTTCTTACATAGCATGCATCATAAGTAAAAAATAAATAAGCTTGATATTTGTTATGAAAATGAGATGTTGAGTAATAATTCCTTATTGTATTTTTATTGATTAAATTCTCTTCAATAACTCAATTTTATTTTTATAATATGCAATTGCTCTAAGAAAATCTTAGAAACGATTGTTTATTTATCAAATACAGCAGTACTTACATGCCAAGAAGCCATTGCAGTGTTTTATTTTTTAATCCAAAACACTTCTAATCAGTGAGGATGTATCTTTATCACAATATTATCTAAGAATTTTTCTACGTAATGATATAACATTACAAAATTTCTATCTGATGAAACTAGCTCGAATCATTTGTGGTCTCCTTTGTTGAACTGTGGAGAAACTGCTCTACTAACTATTCAAAGTACAACTTCTAACTACTAAATATTCAAAGTTGCAAATTTATCCTTAACATTCATTTATTTAACAAGCAACAAGCCCTTTTACATGATACAAAGAAACAGAAAAGAAAATGATTTTAAACAATAATACAACAAAAAGTTATGCAAAAAAATTATAAAAACAATCAACAGTGCATAATTATAATCTGAGTTATAAAATGTTGATTAATAACAAAATTATATAATAACAAAATAGTCACTAGTTATCTAATTAAAGTATGTCGTCCTCTGAAATCCAGTAACATATTTTATTTTGTTCTCAGTTTTTGTCTTTAAATGTAAAAATAACAACCAATGCTATAGAAATATTTTATAAAATGTTATTAGTAATTCATGCTAAATTTCAATAGATTCATTTTGAGGATACATTTTTAATCCTATGTTTAACATAGAGGTACATTAGTAGATTATAAATATCATAAATGCAACTACCTATTCTATAGATTTTCAGTTAAACCTTGATATTGCAATACATTACACACTTTAAATAGAAGTAAATTAAATTTAATTTAGTTATATAATTTGGTTTTGTTAAAACGTCATTACTGTAAATATAAGGTACAGGTCCCCGATTCAAGGGGCTGCTGGATTCAAAACCAACATACTTAGATTTTTTTTTCAAAAACGCCGGCACCCAGAGGATATGACCTCTGCCATTGCCACCCCTTTTAAAAAATATAAATAAATTATAACAAATAACATTTGATTCAAAAGGTGAGGATCATGAAAATGTCCCATAACTCCTAAATTGTATCATCTTAACAATAATAAAAACTGAACTATATTAATTCCATACAGCAATAAATTACCACAATTAATGAATTATCAGTGCAACTTATTAAATTATATTATCTAAAAAAAGCCTTTTGCAAATTACAAAAAAGGAATTGTTGTCGCATAAATGAAACGAAAAAGTAAAATATAAATTTTACACTCAGAATTTTTGTTTTCAATTATTTTTGTAATGTAGCGGTATTGAAAAGTATCTCCAACTTGATGCTTTTAAGAAGCAACCACCTAATTTACACTTTATGTCTGTTTTGAGGTTGGATAGTATTTTAGAATTAAATTCCAAATAAATTATCAATTCGTTAATCTTCGACACAGTGTTTCAAAGTCAAATCCACACAATTTTATGGTCTAACAGTGGCCGTTCATCAGGTTTTCTACATTTCCTGATGGCAGTTTTTAAGAAATAAGTACTGGTTCAAAACGCTTTTACAATAGAGGGGAAGGAACCATTTCCGCACTTATTCCTACTGGACATTTGCACACTGCCCAACAAATATGGAAAGTTTTCTTTCACAGTATTTCACCAGCCTTCTTACTTCTCCTGTGCACTTCATCTTATGAAAAATATGCAGATGCAAAAAACGATATATGTTTATGAGCAATTAGCAATTATTCAACAGCTTAACCATTACATTGATTCTTAATTAAATAAAATAGTTTAATTTTATATTTTTTCAGGATATTTTCCATCCTGAAAACTCAACACATACTCTTAAATGATGTTGGTCTCAAGACTTCCTCGCTCTTTAATCCCTCTTATTGAGAGCTACCATTGGCTAGTTTCTCTTAACATGTCTCAGTCTTAACATCAGTGTATAAACTGGAGAAAAAATATATATACATTTTACAATGCATATTTGTAATATGTGTTGTAATCTATACAGGTTACAAATAATATATTTAAAAAATATATGTTGGTATAATTAGAAAATAAAACTACACGAAATTTTTATTGTTCATTTGTGTATAACTTAAAGTAGTGGTTACTAGTGGGCATATTGATAAATAAAAAATAATAAAACAATAATATAATAGTATTTGAAAGAATTTACTAGAGTATAGAAACAAGAATTTACTTCACTACCTTGAAGAAATTGAAATGATCATTAATAAATATATTTTTGTCATTAATAATGGTATCATCTTCCTTGATATCAAAATTTATGGCTGCATTCTCAAAGCAGGCACTAATTTTAGCCACATCATTTTCATCCCAGAAGTTTTTTATAACTTCTTTTGGAAAGAATTGTTTGAAATAGGTAAGGTTGATGAATTGAGCCAACTGCAATTAATACAAACACATTTTAAAAATTATATATCTAGTTATATCTACACATTACAGTTTTAGTACTTGTATATATAATATTTTCAAGTTGCTTCCTTGTTACAGAAAAGCATTATTGTTTCTACTAGATGAACCTATTAATAATAAAATCTACAAACTTCAAACTAAGATTGTCAAAGTTGTCAATGTAATAATCTACAATATAACATGAAGTGTCTTTGGAAATAAGTTTAGAAAGTAAATGAATAAAATATGGCCCATTTTTTAAGTAGTCTGCTTTATCCACAATATCATTCAAGAAGCTGAAATTGATTTTGTTATTTAATTTCAAACATTATTTTCTACTTTAGTTGAGTATGTTAAATTTTAGTGATAAATAGACATTTCTAAATTACCTATTAAATAGCATTTTGTCTTTAACACAACAAAGACCATCCAAATAATCTTGCTTTATTTTCCATTGTTTTTCTTCAATATATTTCTGTTTAATGAAGTTACACACCTTTTCATCTCATAGTTTAGCAGCAATGCACCAAAATGTTTCCCTCAACTCAGGTTTTAACCTAATAATAATTCAATTTATTATTACTTTTATTGCCAATTCACAAGTTCTTTAATTATATTACATTCAGTAGCGCATACTGGTTTACATCCATTTTGTTTTCCATGTTATCATCAAGAAGAGTTTTAGCTGTCATATTTAACAATTAGCATTTTGACTTCTTCGTTCATCTTTGGACCCAACTCTTTTGTACACATTGGATACAATGAATTTGTAGTATTTCTAAAATGCATCAGGGTGTTAGTATTGTGAAGTTTCTTTTTGGTTTTAAAACTTACTTTGAGATCATTGTGAACGGATGTTCCCATTGAAAGATGAATTAATCCTTCAATGAATCTAAGACCACTTTTGAGTGGAGTGTGGTGAAGCTCATTTTTAAGATATTTCGAGAGATTTAAAAAGATTGTGCAGTTCAGACCTTTGAAATCGACCAAAAATATAGCATCATTTATTATTTGTGCCCGGTTCATAGGGTGAATCTGACCATGATTATCACCCAATAAATCTGCTGCAATGAGCTCCTATGTTTTTTCATCATAATTGACTCTGTAATATCCTAATACAATATGTATTTGCATTACTTATACATTTCCCATGCATTTAAATAAAACTGAATTTAAATTCAATTTGAATTGCACTAACCTTTCACTTGTGGTCGTCATATTAGAAAAAATATAATAAAAACAACAGTACAGAAATTTGAACAAAATTGCTTAATACCTTTGTTCTGAAGATTCAAAATTATCCACTCTTTTTTTTTTTTTTTTTTTTTTTTTTTTTTTTTTTTTTTTTTCCATGGCTGGCCTTAACCACTCTTTGAGATGAACATTTTCAAAATCTCTTTCTTTCGATGTTGTGTATGATTCGGGAACCCACCAATATTCAGGTTTAGTGTCTGTGCTTGTGTTTTTGAAAATAAATTTCTTATTCCTAGCAGCATGTGCTATTCAGGTGGCCAATTCCAAGCTGGCCAGTCTTAGCCCCAAAGTAAATGATCCACTGTCTGGGATGCAGCTGCCTTGCAGTAACAAGGCAGGCTCTCACTGGGCCTGACGCAGTGCAGATATGCATCCATTTGCCGTGTTCCATAAGGATCTGCGAGATCTTGTAGCTAGTTTTAAGGTGTCTGTTTGTAAACTCGAATCAAATCAATCAAAATAAATATTAAAAAATTTATTCAATGCCAAATTAAACTATTAAATAACAGTATTGTTTAGTATTTTGTAAACAAGTATATATTGTGGATAGTTTTAAAGTGGGCAGTCCACATTGGTCATCACCTAGCCTTTTTTTATTTGATTTTATTTTCATTCTTGTATTTTATACCTTCTAATTCATTTTTACTGCAATGTCAACTGTAATTTTTATATCCGCTGGAAGTAATGCATCATAGCAAACTTGGCTGATTTCTTGTAAACATGACGTTTAAACTTTTGTGTGTGTGTGTGTGTGTGTGTGTGTGTGTGATGAGTTCTACCATGCAATGGGAAGAGCTTATTTCTGCTACTACTCACAGTAAAATGAAAAACAAGTGCACCCATTTATTTCTTTCAGCTAGATAAAAGTCAGGCTACATAGTGAAAGTAATGTAATTCCTGTCATAGAGGAGGGCACCTTCCAACTTTCGTTGATTGTCACAGACAAGGAGTCAAACCACTTTTTAAACCTACTTAAAACCTAGCATTTTATTTGATAGAATATACATTTTAGCATTGCCAAAACTAAACTTGCCACTGCTACTGTCCTCTCCACTTTCTAACTCTCTACACCTTATACCAGGGATTAATTTCAGCAGCATGCTTTTTGCTCAATGAAGGAGTAAGATTGAAAAGAGGACATGTTTAACTTAGATGTTGATCATAATTTTTCGTAATTATACATATATCAAATCAATAAATTACTGGAAAAATAGATGGACACTGTTACTATTAAACAATAGTACATAAGGTAAAATATATTACACAAAATAACTTGACTTACTATATTATACAAATTGTTTGACTTACTGTAACATACAAACAACATTTTAATTCATTACTTTGAAGAAATTTAGATTATCCTTAATAAATATATTTGTGTCGCCAATATTGGTATTGTCCTCTTTTATTTCAAAATTAATGGCTTCACTCTTAAACCAGGAACTAATTTCAGCAACATACTTTTCATCCCAAAGAGGTTTTTCAGATATAGTAAGATTGATAGATTTTTGTACCAAAAGTTCTTTCAACTGTGATAAACAAAAAAGCATTGAAAAATTTTTATTCTAGTTCAAATGTAGAATTTCCTCTTACTTTATCTTTGCATTTTTTCTTCAACACCTGTTTATTAACAAGGGTCTCAAGATGCTCCATTAATACATCTCCATGACTGTAAAATGAGTACTTGTTAACACTGGATAAAAGAGCTATATAACAAAACAATCTACGAACCTCGAACTAAGCAAATTAAAATTTTTTGAAAAATAGTCGATTGTAAGACATGATGAGTCCAAGAAAACAACATCGATAAGCAAATCTGTCCATATATTTTCTTTTAAATAGTCTGCCTTATCCAAAATATCTTTCAAGAAGCTAAAAATTAAAATGCTTCCAGTTTTTTAATCACATCATTATTTTCTACTAAGTTTTGGAATAAACAGTTATATACCTAATAAATACTGTTTCATTTTTAACACAATACAAAGCATGTAAATATTCATCTTTTATTGATGATTGTTTCTCTTCAGTGTATTTCTGTTTAATGTGGTTGAACACTTTTTCATCTCCTATTTTAGCCGCAGTACACCAAAAAGTATACCTCAACTCAGAGTTTAACCTTATAATAAACATTTAATCCAAAGTTACTTTTGCTGAAAGTACATCAATTGATTAACACATACTGATTTTCATCAATTTTATTGTTTATGATATCATCAAGAAGTTCTTTGGTTTGATTCTTGCAGTGTTGGAAATCTAATAAACAGCCATATTTAATTATCGTCATTTTGGCTTTATGGTTAGTAAAATTGGTAACTTTGAAATCACTGGATATAAAATGTTTATATACATTATTTACAATGTATTTGATGTATCCCTAAAATTAAAATTGGCATAAGTACTGTAAAGTTTGCAGTTGTATTTGATTTTAAAACTTACTATGAGGGGGTCAAAAACTGGTGTGTCCTCTGAATAGTATACTAGACTCTCAGTCGTGTTTAAACCTATTTCAAGAGGAATGTAATGGAATTCGTTTTGGAGGTATCTTGAAATATTTAAAAAAGTTGAGTAATTCAGGATGTCTGTTTTGGCAAGGAAAAATGCATCAGTAATTAGTTGAGCTCTGCTTAAAGGATGGATTTGAGCCATGTTATCACTCATTAAATGTGTAGTAATGAGCTCCCAAGTCCTTTTATCATAATTCACTTTGTAATAGCCTGAAAAATCTCATGGTTAACACTTTTATAGACTCATACCACTGTCAGGTTGGGAATAAAATAATAATATTTACCAAAATAAACATAAAATATTTACTTAAAAATGTAGCATGCCACAACTCCAACATACAATTTCACCAACTAGTACAGAGGTGGTTATATGAGAAAGGGAAGGGGGGTCCAAAGAATATCTATGGAGGAAAATCCTACAGTACCCTGGCGGCATAAAAATGGATAGAGGCACGGGAGTGAGTTATAAAAAATATAGGAGCAAAATAGATACACTCAGGTCAAGGTGCAGAAAAGGCTTTTGGCCCCCTCATTTATGTCAATCTTATCGATAGGGATCCTTAAGTACATAGCAAGCTCATGATATGTTAAAATTGTAAAATTTGTAGTTTATTTTGTATTTTTAATACCTATATTTTGAAGATTCAAAATTATCCATTCATCATCTTTTATGTTTACAGCAAGTGGTTGTGCTTCATTGGTTGGCCTAAGCCACTCCTTGAGATGAACATTGTCAAAATCTCTCTCTTTTGATGTTGTGTATGTTACAGGAATCCACCAATAGCTTTTAACATCTTTATTTTGTCTTTGAATATCAAATGGCTCCTTTACAATTTCATTTTTACCAAAGTTAGAAAATTTATTCTGTTTATTGGAAATAAATAACTGAATTCTGTGATGTTGAGATTTACCTGTTTAACAGCGAGAGAACCATTTTTATGTCTGTAGACTGTCAGCAGTGGAAATCCATAATTGTGAGTCCAACCATGCATCAATGACTCAAGTGATTCTCCTTCAGGAATTGAACACTTGTCTATTTTGGTCTGCAATGCTCTCCAAAGTTCTTTCCCTGTGACTGAATCAAACTGGCTGGAATGAGAACAAAATTAAACACTGGAAATTGTTATAAGTCATTTTTTATTACTTTTCAATCAGATAAGTTTGCAATCCTTGTCTGAATGAATCACTGTTCATTATTATGTTCGCGACCATGTTTGTAATAGTGGCACCTTAAAAGAATGCCCATTTAAAGATTCTATTTTTTGGAAATGATCAAAAATTAAAAATGTTTGAAAAGTTGTGGTATGAAAACCTTTAAAATATTGCATTGGAGTAATAGGATACTGCGAAATGTCATTCTTGCAATAATTTTGTTCTACCAAAGGAGAAGGTGTCACGAAATCCGCTGACATAATTATGTCTGTAAAATATGGCAGGAACGTATCCTTAGCCTTTAACTCTGGATATACCTAAAATTGATTTTGTATTAGTTTGTTAGTCATTAAAAAGTAGCAAAAGTATTACCTTATCAACACTCAGATACATTAAATATGTTGCAATGCCCTCATTGAGCCATAAGTTACACCAATATCTACATGTTACCAAGTTACCGAACCATTGATGTGCAATTTCATGTGCCATTGAATGAACAAATACCATCTCATCAAAATGGGTTATTTCATTTTTTCCCAATAGGTGCTCATATCTGAATAGGAATATTTTATAACAACAGATTAAATTAGCCTTTGCATAGTTCAACATAATGATGATCATAACTACCCCCATGTGATGAGACCCCAGCTTTCCATAGCAACAGCGACTTTCCTGGGAACCACCAAAAGATCCATTTTTGGGAGATGATAATCCATTCCAGTGTAATTTTCCATTGCTTCTAATAAAACACCCATATTATCAAAAGCTAACTGCATTTTTTCTTTGCTCTCATCTGGATACCAAATTGTAATGTTCTTTCTAAGTTTTTTATTGGACATGTCATCATATATGACAAATGCCACTANTAACTTAAAAACAATAACACCAGAAGTGTAATTTTCTGATGCTAAATTCAAATCTAATCGTGTATAATTTTCTTTAATTGAATAAAATCCATCTGAAATGTTCACTTTGCTATGAAGCCCAAGTTTGTCCGTGTCCTCTAAAGTTGTTCCAGTTATTCGAACTTCTCCAGAGAATGATTCCTCTTCAATATTTGGAGCAATTTCAAGCGAGTAATAGGATGGTTTCCAATATTTCCAAAAAGGGTATACTACATTTTTATCCTCAATTTGATCACTACTGCTCTTGGCACTGCTAATCCCTATTAGCAGAGTAACTATCTAAAAAAGAGAGAATATTTGTTTAGCTAAACCAAAGCCCAGGTTATCTTAAACAATTTCAGTAAAAAATGGTATATTATTGATGTAGCCACTAATTATGGTGCTAGGATACCAACAGTGGGTCAAAATTAAATTTAAATTTCATGAATAATATTGTAAAGTGCCAAACCACAAGATGATGAAGCTAGCTAATCATGAAAAAATTAATTTTAATAATAAAATTAATATTTGTTGATACAATACATGGATCTTTCAGTTTTGATAGAAAATTATGATTTTTACTTGCCTTTTGCCAACAGCCTATATGGATTATCCAAAAAATAAAAATACTTTATTTACTGTACTGTATTTACATAATATTAGGTCTTTCTGTGTAAAAATTTATATTCGGATGGCTAAATAAATCCCAATATACAATTAGATATACACATATATCTTTGCTGACTAGATGTGTTTGACTCTGGCCCATTAATTATATACGGCTAATTGAGGTAATCAGCTTGTTCTTATCCAGTGAATTATTGTTTCAGTTTAAAAGCTTATCAAAATTAATTTGTTTTTAAGTTTCTTATTTCAACCAAACAAATTGTAGTTAGGCTGTTTTCAATCGCTTTGTGAAAGCTGTTGCATTTACTTTCCATCATTTACTTTTCAATGGCTCATTAAATCAGAAGACTGTGAGTTTACATCTATTGCTTATTATTATTTCCCTTATTAAGCACAATTAAGAGTAAATGCATAATCTTAAATGCAGAGAAACGTTAATGTTTCAGTAAACATCCTCTAAGGAAATATATAGAATAGAAAAAATACTGAATTTTTTTGCATTTAAGTATACAATTATACAAGTGGTCTGGAATTGCTGGAACAAAAAAATAGTAATTACTTTTAATAACAGATTAAAACAAACTTTATTTTGTTTCATTTTAACCAAAATCATCTGAGATTACAAGAGATTAATATACCGCCATTATTCAAACAAATTTGAAACTAAAAAATCAAACCACCGAAACATTAGAAAGAAACTTTACAAAAAACAAACAAAAACTTTACAAAAACCAACTAAGAAGAGATTGACTATTCAAAGATTTATTTACCAAATCCAATTGTAAACATGAGTGGGAGATTTTATCTGTGTTTTATTTACCTCTAATCCTTTAAAATTGACTAAATATTGTTGTAAAATAATCATTAGGAGTTTGTCTAAGAGTTAATTAAAAATATTAATAGTGACCACTTTTTCACCTCTCAGTGTACTAAACTTATCATATATTGTTTGAAGTTACTTAATATTTCTTAAATTTAAAACAAATAAAAATAAATTCTACTTACTATTTTCATTTTATCTGTGGACATGCAAAATTATATTGATTTTTGACAGCAATATAATTTTTTTTAACAACAAATATCCATACTAAATTGCTTATGCATGCAAAATTGATTAATAACAAAAATTTGTTACATTCATAATCAAGCATAACATTAAATTTTTATCAGTTTCAACCTTCCATGATGAAGGAAAAACTTCAAAAACTACAACAAAATAGTACTTGCTTAGTATCTCTGCAGTACATAAACTAGCTACCTACTATGTACCTTAATTATTTAAACATAAAAAACTTAAATATTTTATCAAGATGTACCACAGGAGCTTCAAAGGTTAAAAAATATTTCCAGTATGTAGTTAATCAAATAGCATCTCCCAGGAACTCTGATTGGAAATACTGGGAGTAAAAGACACAATAAACGAATATCTGTAGAAAAAAAGACTTAAATTTCAAATCAAACTTTTTAAAATGATTTTACCACCACCCTGACTTTCATGAGGAGATGTACTTCCATACCTTGATGACTTTTATACTTTTTCAGTATATAGTAATCATTTATCTTTTAGGAATATATCACATTGCCATCTGAAAAAAATTGTGCAATATTCCACACCTGTCTTCTATAGCAAAACTTCATAATTTTAATTTCCACCACCAAATCACGCTGCTGTGACACACAGGAAAAATAAAAAAATATTAAAACGTTTGTTCGGAATCTGAAAGACTTAAATACGTACCACACTTGCTCTTTTTTAAATAAACTGTTACAAAATATTAATGATTGACGAACACTGTTTTAACCACTGTGTTAACTCACCTGAGGAACTTTTAAATAAGTATTAATTTGCTTGGGAAAGGTACTAATTTAATTGGGAAAAGTATTAAAATGCTTGAGAAAAGTATTAAATCGGTTAGGAAAAGTATTCAATTGGAAGAAAAAGTACCAATTTGACTGAAAAAAAGCTATTTTACTGTATTACTTGTCATGCCATTAAGCCTTATATTATTTAACTTGCTTACAAATAAACAGTAAGAAATATTGACATTTTACAAATATAAAATCATTCACAAGATATTATATAATGTAAACAAAAGTACATTAAATGTAAAATATTTGTAATATTTTATTGAAAGATTGATGGAAATAAAATTATTAAACAATATTTTTATGGTATATATAATATTACTATAAGAAATCTTTATGACAGTATAGCATACTTATTTCATTACTTTGAAGAAATTTATATTGTTCTCAACAAACATATTTGTATCGCTAACATCGGTATCGACCTCTTTAATTTCAAAATCAATGGCTGCATTCTTAAACCAGGATATAATTTCAGCTACATACTTTCTGTCCCAAAACCTTTCCAAAATGACCTCCTTAATGGATTTTTGTTCCAATAGCTCTTTCAACTGTAATAGGCAAATTATGAATATTTTATTTTGATATGGCAAAAAATATAAAATGAAGACTTACTTTGGCTATACACTCCTTTTTCTCAGTATGGCTAGAAGCAATTTCTGTAAGCTGCTCCTTTACTGATTCATTTCCAAAACTGTTATTTAAAAAAGCATTTATTAACACCCAATAAAAGTTATATAAAAATAAAAACTACCAACTGTAAATTAAGAGAATCAAAATTTTCAGAATAATAGTCAATTGTATAACATGAACTATCTGAAGAAACAAGATTTGATAGTAAGCTAATTAAGGTTTCCTGTTTCAAGTAGTCAGCTTTATATAAAATATCTTTCAACAGGCTAAAATTGAAAATGAATGATTATTTACTACTTCAGTTGAGTTATGTTTAGTTCTAGTAGAAAATGTTTATTTTCAAATTACCTTTGAAATAGCTCTTTGTTTCTAACACAAAACAGACCATTTAAATAATCTTCTTTTAATTTCCAGTTTTTCTCTTTGATATATTTCTGTTTAATGTAGTTAAACACCTTCTCATCTCCTATTTTAGATGCAGTACACCAAAAAGTACTCCTCAACTCAGAATTTAATCTTATAATAATTTAAATTTAAAATAGATTTATTATCAATTTCACAATTGCTTTATGTATTGTATATTTGAGTAACACATACTGATTTTCATCAATCCTATTATTCATGATATCATCGAGAATTTGTATAGTTTGATTCTTGCAGTGCTGGAAATCTAATGAACAGCCGTATTTAAGAATCATCATTTTGAGAGCACGATTAATTAAATTAGTGACTTGGAAACCTCTGGATGTAACACGTTTGTACACATTAGATACAATGTACTTGTAGTATGTCTAAAATGCATCATTGTGGTTGTAGTGTTTAGTTTGGTTTCAGTTTTAAAACTCACTTTAAGGGTGTCGTGAACTGGTGTTCCCATTGAATAACGAACCAACTCAAGAATGAATGAAAGACCATCATAGAGTGGAGCATAATAGGACTCATTTTTTAGGTATCTTGAAAGATTTAAGAATGTTGAATAACTAAGAAGTTGTGCTTCAACAAGGAAAATAGAATCAATTATTATTTGAGCCCGGTTCAGGGGGTGAATTTTGACCATGTTATCATTTGATAAATCTGCAGCAATCAGATCCCAAGTCCTTTGATCATAGTTGACCTTGTAATAGCCTGATACAAAATTGATTTATATTACTTTCTAATCAAACAAATATGCAGTGGAATAAAGACAAATGTATAATTTACAGTACTAGTCAACAATTAAAAACAATGACAATTACATGGTATACATATATTTCATTTTGAATTAAAAATGCAATATTTTCTGAATAAACAAATTGCGCTAATAAAAGAGAAGCCAGTAACACACAGATTTTATTTGTTGTTCTGAATACCTATTTTCTGAAGGTTCAAAATTATCCATTCATCGTCTGCTATGATTGGTGCCACTGGTTGTGCTTCATTGGTTGGTCTAACCCACTCTTTTAGATGAACATTGTCAAAATCTCTCTCTTTTGATGTTGTGTATGTTACAGGAATCCACCAATAGCTTTTAACACTTCTATTTTGTCTTTGAATATCAAATGGCTCCTTTACAATTTCATTTTTACCAAACAAAGTTAGAAAATTTATTCTGTTTAATGGTTTAAAAATAAATAAACCGAACTGTGTGCTGAAGAGATTTACCTGTTTGACAGTGAGAGAACCGTTTTTATGTCTGTAGACTGTCAGCAGCGGAAATCCATAATTGTGAGTCCAACCATGCATCAATGACTCAAGTGATTCTCCTTCAGGAATTGAACACTTGTCTATTTTGGTCTGCAATGCTCTCCAAAGTTCTTTCTCTGTGACTGAATCAAACTGGCTGGAATGAGAACAAAATTAAACACTGGAAATTGAAATAAGTCATTTGTTATTACTTTTCCATCAGATAAGTTTGCAATCCTTGTCTGAATGAATCACTGTTCATTATTATGTTCGCGACCATGTTTGTAATAGCACAACCTTAAATTATGTTAGACTTAAATTTTGAATGGTTACTTTACACAAAACATCCTTCCTTAATTAAAATTTTAATGTTTAGCAAATACCCTTTAAATATGTTTTAAGAGATGTGGTAAATGTTGAAATCTCATTCTGACAGAATTTTTTTTCTACTAAAGAAAATGGCATGTGGAAATCCTCAAATATGCCTCTTTCTATGTTTATTGACATAAACAATTCCATTACTTTTGATTCTGGAAATAACTAAAGATAATTATGTATTAGTATGTTAAAACTAATTACAATAGTGAAAGATTACTTGGTCCACAATCAGATTCATTAAGTATGATGTAATGCCTTCATTCAGCCACAAATAACACCAATATCTGCATGTTACAAGGTTTCCAAACCACTGATGTGCAATTTCGTGTGCCATATAACTAACAAATGTTAGCTCATCTTCAAATGAATATATTTCACTTTTGAAAAACAGAAATCTATGCCTGAACAGAAAATATTCAGCGACAACAAATTAAATAAGCCTTTGCATAGTTATCATAATGATGATCATAACTACCCCCATGTGATGAGACCCCAACTTTCCATTGCAACAACTTCTTTACTGGGAACCAGGACAAGATCCATTTTTGGTAAATTATAGTCTATCCCTGTGTAATTTTCCATTGCCTCTACTAAAACAACCATGATATCGGATGGCAAAAGCACATGTTCTCTACTCGCTTCTGGAAACCAAATAGTATTGTTTTTTGGAAGTTCTGAGCTTGCCAGGTCATCAAATATAACAAACGCCACTACATAAGTGGACATTTTTGGAGTTGGGTAGAATGTGTCCCATACCTGACCATTTATTTTTTGGCTATAAAAATAGAAAGAACAATAATCATAATAGTGATTCTTATTTATAAAAATTTACTCTGGAGCTGATGTGTTTCTAATTGGCATGTTTGACAGAGCCTTCATGGACTGTGGCCTTCCCAATTTAATCTCAAATACTGCTTTATAACTAGGAATATCTATACAGGGAAATACTGATCGGGCCCCCATTGGTTGTAATTCTGTACTAATTACTTTTCTAAAATCATAATAAATGACAAAATAAAATAATGAGAATATTTCAAATACCAACCTTTTTTCATCATTGAATTCATAAAAAGACATATACAATCCTTTTAGTTCATCCATCTGACCAGAGTATTTTAATGTGAGCATAAATTCAACATCTTTCTTTATAATTTGATCTAACTTAAAAACAATAACACCAGAAGTGTAATATTCTGATGCTAAATTCAAATCTAATTGTGTATAATTTTCTTTTATCGAATAAAATCCTTCTGAAATTTTAACTTTGCTGTGAAGTCCTAGGTTGTTTGTATGTTTTAAAACTGTTCCCGTTATGCGAACTTCTCCAAAAAATGACTTCTCTTCAATTTTCATCCAAATATCAAGCGAGTATCGAGACGGTTTCCAGTCTTCCCAAAAAGGATATCCTCCATATGTCTCCTCTCTATGATCACTTCGGACATTAAAAATCCAAAGAAGAAGTATAAACCCAATCTAATACAAAGAGTGTTCGTTAGTTTCAAGAATTAGATAGCACGGTTTTATATTTATAAAATTGAAGCATATATAAGGGGATGTCTTTTGTTCCAACACATTTAAATGAGGGTGTTTAGGTTTTTCAATTTTTATGCTGCATTTTAGCACATTTTGTGACATTTTCATGTTATTTAAAAGTAGCAGTTATCTCCAATGTCATTAGGACTAACCTTCAATACATTTTATACTAAAAAACATCAGGGATAAGGCCACTATAATTTGATATTAAAAAATATGATACAAAAGATGAAACATCGCTAAAATCAATAACTGAACTCACTATTTTGGCCTAACAAGGTAAAAAAATCTTCACAATAATTAATCAATATTTGTAAAACAAGAAACTTTTAAAATATATATTAGTGTTATCAGATATTTGAAAAGAAAAGGAAAATTATACAATATTCTGCCTAAATTATTTGGTAATATTTTATTTTGTCTCTATATTATTAAAATATTCACGTACTAAAATGTTAATGTAATTAAAAACTTATATATGTGTAATTGTTTATTTTATTTGGTGTAATATGTTTAAATTAATTTGAAAAATTCATAAATGAGTATGATTAAAGTTGTGAAAGAACCTATTTTCAGACCATTTATCGTTTCTGCCATTTCCCACCATTTACTCAATTATATTCCTTTTGTTCTCATTGTTAAAACTTAGAAAAAACTGGTTTGTTTCGTTTGAACTATTTTTGCAAAATAATGCATTTTGGTGTATGCGTTAGTACTTACATGCCTATAAGCCATTTCAATAATGTACTGTTTTGATCAAAATCCTTCTAATCAGTGAGGGTGTATTCGTTAATTTATCTCACTATCATTTACACATTTTTCAACTGAATTACGTCAAGCCTGTTAAATTTAATTGCCCTTGTTATTAAACGGCAGTGGAAGAAATGAAAGGCCTACGCTTTCCATTTTGTACAATGTATTTAAAATGTAATTTGGCTTAACTGGAGAGCAACAGTAGTGATTCCAGAAAAAAAGGAATTTAATAAAGTACTGAATTGAGGAAGTAGACCAGTATGAAAGTGCCTTCTTTAAAATTTAAACTTAATATAATATTCAAACAATAACAAAGCTTGTATGATTTATTGAACAAGCAAACTAATTTAACAACTAAACAAATATCAAGCAAAATACTCTAAAAAAATTCTGATGAATTTGTCACTATTGGTCACATCTTCATGAACTTTGAGGACAAAAACTGAAAATGGCCTATTGGCTACATAATGCCATTAATAAGACCCAAATTATTCTGTGGTAAGCTGTTCACTATTTTCAACCAAAGCTCAACAAAAACAAGCTACCCAAACTTACAGCTTACAAAGACCGGCAAAAATATGTATCACTGGGGCAATAAAAACAACCCCGCCAAATACACTAGAAAAACTGTTAAACCTACCTTCATTGGAAATATTTCTACAAGAAAAAGCAAAGAAAAGTTAATAAAAAAAAATAAAAAATAAGATTCCAGAAACATTCTTTATAATACCCTATAAAGTCTCAACAGACTACAAAGATACAACATAAGATGGCTTCAAAACAAATGGAGGAATTGGATCAGGAATTTCCGTACAAGTCCAAGATATGATCAATCACACTAGAGACCTTATCTTTAACACTGACATATATGCCATCAATGACTTAGAAAATCTTAAAAGACGTTACACTGGCAAAAAAATTACCTCAAAATATTACAATGGACAATCAATGCATACTAAATAAATTGAGCCAGGAAGGAGTACAATAAGGTAAAAAGCTGCACTACATAAAGAACTCCTCCACTTGTTACTATCCATAATAAAAAATGTACAAAATCCAAATCCTGGGAAAATGCAACAATACGATGATACGAAAAAGCAGACACAGTGACTAGAGGAGGACTGCAAGACCATATATAAGCCCGAACCTAACTTGAGATGATACAAACAAACATAGAATCCTCCATCTCAGAATGGATCAAAAAAAGACAAAAGGAGAAATGAATAAACCCTAGAGGTAGAGGTAGTAAGCTTGTGTTAAAAGAACCCCTCATCAAAACTGGCAAACCCATTATTACAGTTAAAGAGGGCTACACTGAGAAAAAATAGGGCTATTTACTGGTCACAGGCATCAGAGAAAATATATACATAAGATGGGTATATTAAATCATGATCGCATTTGTAGGTGATGCAATGAGGAGGAAGAAACAGCCATTCATATCAACTAATACTAGGAAATTGTAGCAATGGAAGAATGACCTAGTAATTCTTATTGGAAGGTTCGAGTCAATTAAAAATGAACTAAGGTACTAGGAAAAGTACAATAATCCAGAAGGCTACAGTGCTAGGGGGACATAAAACACTCACTTCTTAAGTGGCCCATAGACGGTCAATATTATTGTACAATATAGATTGCACAATAATTCGATGGTTGCCCCTTAATGTTCAATAATATTGTACAAAATTTCGTTTGTGCAATGAACTTGAATAGTTTGAAGGCGATATTGAAGTTTGTGCAATATTTTCCACTTGTTGATACTTCACAAACTGACTGATATTGCGCAATAATGCCAACAGACGGTGCAATATTTTCCGGTTGTACAATATATTTTCAACTTTTCGTCAATCATGCAATGTATTGCACAAACTTTCAATATTGTCTACACACGATCAATTAAATTGCACAACCCAAAATATTGTGCAATAATATTGATCATCTATGGGCCGCTTTAGATTCCCATCAATATGTGTTCATTATTGTTGAAGGATTGTAATTGTGTGAAATACATATGAAATTCCAGAACCAAACTCAGCATAGGAACATAGGATTTTGATATTTCAAGTCAAAATTAGACTGATTTTGATTTTTCAAAGTCCAAGTTAGACTGATTTTGATTTTTCAAAGTCCAAATTATACTGTTTTTGGTTTTTCAAATTCCAAATTAGACTATCTTCGTAAAACTTACTAATAAAACTAATTAATTTGCTGACAGTACTATTATAGTGAAATTTCTTGTTGAGGTCAGCAGTTTGGCCATTTAAAACTCACCACTTAGGATGCCAGAATTTTGAAACACCTGTGATAAAAAAACAGTGAGGACCTGGATGATAGGAATTAATTTAATTTAATTTTTTTTTTGTTTATTATATCCTATTATCCCCACACCTGGATAGGTTTTTAAGGTGTGCAAGTGTTCCAGAAGACTCTGGAATATTACAAAAACATTTTAGTCTCCTTGTTTTATCTGGTAGTATTTATGAAATTGATTTGAGAATTTAGCCATTGTTGCCAATGTTTTAGAGTTGGCCCCAAAAAATTCATGTATACACAATTTAGGGCTATGCAAAAAACAAAAATTACATCACAGTTTTATTATATGATTATTGTTGTAACAAAAAAGAGGCTGTTTACTCAATTAATTCAAATGTACAATAAAAGAATTTTGTTACGAGCGTATTTCAACTACGAGGTTATATGAACCCTCAGGATGCTGTTGTTTTTGAAAATATCCCATTTGTAAGTATGTCGGGTTCGAATCCAGCTGTCTTGCATCCGAACCCAGGACGTTTACCTTACAGTGATTAGTGCTGTGTCAACGCCTAAACAATTGTGGCCACCGAAGCCCCTAAAATATTAAGGTTTAAAATAAATTAATGTTAAATATTAAGTCCATTATATTTATTGGCCTGATTGACCAAATTACTCCTTTCAATTAATCAATCTTTTTATGTAAGGTCTTGGTTGAAATGAAAAAGCAAGTGTCATGAGCGGGATTCGAACCCACGACCTTCGGTTCAATATGCTGCTGCTCTAACGATAGCTCAAGTGGTCAGAGGAGCAGCATATTGAGCTGAAGGTCATGGGTTCAAATCCTGCTCGTGACACTACCTTTTTCATTTTAACCAAGACCTAACATAAAAAGATTAATTAATTGAATTAAATATTAAGGTTTAAGACTTAAAAATTTTAAAAATAATGAAAATTATTACTTACCTGGAAACAATATCTTCAAAATAATTTTTTGAGATTCTAAAAAAAACATTGCCGTTAAAAGTAAATTGTTCCTTTTCCAACTTTTAATTATACCAAGTATATAAGGGTCACAGTGGAACATGCACTTATTTGACCAAAATTTGACATATCCAATTTTGCCACGAGTGTTCAGGATTAAAGTTAGGATTAAAAACAATGGGCTCTGCTGGGTTTGGAATTTTTTTACACTTTTATTAGTTATGAACTTATTCACTTTTCAAATCTTCTTAAAACCTAACTTTTTGTTTGATAAAATATATATTTTAGCATTACCAAAACTAAACGTGCTAGCTGTCCAGCAGCTAATATTGTCCTCTTTTAAAAATTCAGTTTTTCAAATTTCAAAATCTCTCTACACTTTATACCAGGAAGTACTTTCAGCAGAATGGTTTTGTCTCAATAAAGGGGTAAGATTGATAAGAGGAAATGTTTGACTTAGATGTGTGTTATAATTTTTTGAATGATATAAATGCTAATACAATAATTAGTTAAACAATTTTGTGGGGACTGATATGATTAAACAATAGTACATAAGCAAAATATTATTACATCAAATTAATTATTTTGACACTATATCAAAGAAACAACATTTTAATTCATTACTTTAAATAATTTATATTATCCTTAATAAATATATTTGTGTTGCTAATATTGATATTGTCCTCTTTTATTTCAAAATTCATGGCAGTACTCTTAAACCAGGAACTAATTTCAGCAACATACTTTTCATCCCAAGGAGGTTTTGCAACTACTGTAAGATTGATAGATTTTTGGACCAACAGCTCTTTCAACTGTGATAAACAGAAAAGAATTAAGAAAATTTTATTCTACTTGAAATGTAAATTACCTCTTACTTTATCTTTGCAATTTTTTTTCAATGTCTTTATATTAACAAGTGTCTCAAGATGCTCCATTAATGCATCATCTCCATAACTGTAAAATGAGTTAATTTATTAACACTGGTTAAAAAAGCTATATAACGAAAAAATCTACAAACCGTAAATTAAATTTTTCAGAAAAATAGTCTATTGTAAGACATGATGTATCAGAAGAAAGAATACCATTAAGCAAATCTGTCAATGTTTTTTCTTTTAAATAGTCTGCCTTATCCAAAATATCTTTCAAGAAGCTGAAAATTAAAATATTATTTTCTACATGAGATATTGAAGGTTCAGAAAACATTTACGTACCTATTAAATAATGTTTTATTTTTAACACAAAACAAAGCATTAAAATATTCATCTTTTAATGATGATTGTTTCTCTTCAATGTATTTCTGTTTAATGTGGTTGAACACTTTTTCATCTCCTATGTTAGATGCAGTACACCAAAAAGTATACCTCAACTCAGAGTTTAACCTTATAATAATGACATTTAATCCAAAGTTACTATTGCTGAAAGTACATCAATTTGATTGAGAAACACATACTGATTTTCATCAATTTTATTGTTTATGATATCATCAAGAAGTTCTTTGGTTTGATTCTTGCAGTGTTCAAAATCTAATGAACAGCCATATTTAACTATCATCATTTTGGCTTTATGGTTAACGGATGTAAAATGTTTGTACCTATTATGTACAATGTATTTGAAGTATTCCTAAAATTAATGTTGGTATATGTAGTGTAAACCTTGCAGTTGTATACGGTTTTTCAACTTACTCTGAGAGATTCATAAACTGGTGTTTCCTCTGAATCGAGTATAAGATTTTCAGCCATTTTTAAACCTATGTCAAGAGGAATGTGATGGAATTCGTTTTGGAGGTATCTTGAGATATTTAAAAAAGTTGAGTAATTCAGGATGCCTGATTTGGCCAGGGAAAATGCATCAGTAATTAGTTGGACTCTGTTGAAAGGATGGATTTGAGCCATGTTATCACTCATTAAATGTGTAGTAATGAGCTCCCAAGTCCTTTTATCATAATTCACTTTGTAATAGCCTGAAAATATCTTATGTTTAATAACACTCACACCAAATAAAGGTCAAAACTTCAGCAAAAAAATTCAAAAGGTGTTTTTCTAAAGTACCTCATTCTTGACCACTCTTCACGACTTCAACAAATTATGAAACAATAAGTCACTAAGAAACACACACTTTAGAGTCATACTACTGTCAGGGTGGGAAAAAAAAGTGAAAATAAATTTAAAATATTTACTTAAACATGCAGCATGCCACTACAAAATACAACTTCACCAACAAGTGAAAGTACTTACACAAGATAGGGAAGAGTGGGACAAAGGAATACCTCTAAAGACCAATACTAATGGGTCAAAAATGAATAGGAGATGGTGTCCTAGAGGTGAGGTGAATCTGAAGACTTTAAACATAAATAAATACAGTACATTTACATTCTAAAACCATAGCAATTGATCACTGCACCAGAGAAATAAAAAGATTGGGAACACATTTCAGGAAAGTAGGCATATTCTCTGATAGTCAGTGGCACTTAAGGCCTTAGACTCATGTAAGGTAAAGATAAAAGTATATGAAATTGTATGGAACTAATTGGACTCTTACCAATGAGGGAGGGCCTATGTAAGTATACATTATTGCGACTAGGAGAGGAAAAGATGCAAACATGATCCAAGCAGCCATTGGCAAGGTTTTGGAGGTTGATTAACAACCAGAAGCTGGCCAGGGAGTTATAAAAATAGAGGAGCCCAACAGATCTACTCAGATCGAGGTGCAGAAGGGCATTTGGCTCCTCGTCTATCCCCATCCCTATCCTTCAGCATGTAGCCAAATGATATGCTAATTTTTTTAATTTATAATATGTTTTGCATTTTTAATACCTATATTTTGAAGATTCAAAATTATCCATTCATCATCTGTTATGTTTACAGCAAGTGGTTGTGCTTCATTGGTTGGCCTAAGCCACTCCTTGAGATGAACATTGTCAAAATCTCTCTCTTTTGATGTTGTGTACGTGACAGGAATCCACCAATAGCTTTTAACATCTTTATTTTGTCTTTGAATATCAAATGGCTCCTTTGCGATTTCATTTTTACAAAAGTTAGTAATTTTATTCTGTTTATTGGTTTAGAAATAAATAACTGAATTCTGTGATGTTAAGATTTACCTGTTTAACAGTGAGAGATCCATTTTTATGTCTGTAGACGGTCATCAGTGGAAATCCATAATTGTGAGTCCAACCATACATCAATGACTCAAGTGATTCTCCTTCAGGAACTGAACTCTTGTTTATTTTGGTCTGCAATGCTCTCCAAAGTTCTTTCTCTGTGACGGAATCAAACTGGCTGGAATGAGAACAAAATTAACCACTGGAAATTGTTATGTCATTTTTTATTACTTTTCCATCAGATAAGTTTGCAATCCTTGTCTGAATGAATCACTGTTCATTATTACATCAACAACCATGTTTATAATAGTGGCACCTTAAAAGAATACACATTTAAAGATTCTATTTTTTGGAAATGATCAAAAATTAACAATGTTTGAAAAATGTAGTATAAAAACCTTTAAAATATTGCATTGGAGTATTAGTATACTCGAAAATGTCATTTCTGCAATAACGATGTTCTACCAAAGAAGAAGGTGTCTCCGAATCCTCTGACATAATATAGTCTTTGTTATACGGCAAGAACCATTCCTTAGCTTTTAAGTCTGGATATACCTAAAATTGATTTTGTATTGGTATGTTAGTAATTTAAAAATACTAAAAGTATTACCATATCAACAATCAGATACATTAAATATGTTGCAATGCCCTCATTGAGCCATACATAGCACCAATATTTACATGTTACCAGGTTGCCGAACCATTGATGTGCAATTTCATGTGCCATTAAAAGAACAAATTTTAACTTGTCATCAAATGAAGACAATTCACTTTTCAGAGATAGGTATTGATGACTAGGAATATAGCACCATCAATAAATTAAATTTGCCTTTTGCATAATCATCATAATGATGATCATAACTACCCCCATGTGATGAGACCCCAACTTTCCATAGCTACAGACATTTTCCTGGGAACCACCAAAAAATCCATTTTTGAGAGATGATAATCCATTCCAGTGTAATTTTCCATTGCTTCTAATAAAACACCCATATTATCGAAAGCTAACTGCATTTTTTCTTTGCTCTCATCTGGATACCAAATTGTAATGTTCTTTCTAAGTTTTTTATTGGACATGTCATCATATATAACAAATGCCACTAAATAAGTAGACATCTTAGGACTAGGATAGAATGTGTCCCATACTTGACCATTTATTTTTGGACTATAAAAAAATAAATAACAGTAATCATAATATAACAAATATAATATACAATATAATAATAGTGATTCTTATCTATAAAAATTTACTCTGGAGCTGATGTGTTTCTAATTGGCATGTTTGACAGAGCCTTCATGGACTGGGGTCTACCCAGTTTTATTTCAAATACTGCTTTATAACTGGGAATATCTATGCAGGGAAATACCAATCGGGCCCCAATAGGTTGAAATTCTGTACTAATTACTTTTCTAAAATCATTAACAAATATCATAATAAAATAATGAAAATACAGTGAATATTTCAAATACCAACCTTTTTTCATCATTGAATTCATAAAAAGACATGTACAATCCTTTTAGTTCTTGCATCTGACCAGAGTATTTTAATGTGAGCATAAATTCAACATCTTTCTTTATAATTTGATTTAACTTAAAAACAATAACACCAGAAGTGTAATATTCTGATGCTAAATTCAAATCTAATTGTGTATAATTTTCTTTAATTGAATAAAATCCATCTGAAATGTTCACTTTGCTATGAAGTCCCAGTTTGTCCGTGTCCTCTAAAATTGTTCCAGTTATTCGAACTTCTCCAGAGAATGATTCCTTTTCAATATTTGTGGCAATTTCAAGAAAGTAATAAGATGGTTTCCAATATTTCCAAAAAGAATATTCTGTATTTGTATACTTAATTTGATCACTACTGTTCTTGGCACTACTGATCCCAATTATTAGCAGTATAACTATCTACAAATGACATATTTTGAATTAATGTTTCCAGCTTACAAGCCGTACAGCTCCATTTGGAGTGCCTGAAATTTGAGGGGCATTCACGACCGCTCCACAGCCAGTCGCTCTGAACGTCAACCAGTGAATTACATTCTCAAAATGGATGACGATTTCTTGTGCTACTCTTCTGTTTATTTACTTTTACATATTAAAAGCAAAAAATCGAAGAGAAAATGGTGTAAGAAGTGGCCCCTGAACAGAAGCCGTAATACCCATATCAATTTGATGAATGAACTTTCCCTTGAACCCGCTGATTGGAGGAACTATTTAAGGATGGATGAAACGTCTTATTTATTCATTATATTTAGTGTTCTATTNAATGGAGCTGTACGGCTTGGCGCGGTTCCATTTGGAGTGATCGTGAATGTTTTTGAAACAAAATGTTCCTCAACATGTCTCAAGTTTTCCATCTGAGCAGGGAGACAATAGACTTGCGATCTTTGTCTACAGATAGTTGCAGAACAAGCGATTTGTTCCTGATTTATTTATAGACAATTTTAGAACTTTTCTATTGGCACGAGTTGCGTGATTTGTCTATGAGTATGTACTAGCCTTATAAATCTCAATATGCAATTAAAAACATCAACAACAATAAATAATTTTTTTCTTGTGTATCTATGTATCTATACTGACCAGATGTATTTGTTAAACTGGTCTATTAATTATGTAGGTTTGTTGAAATAATCAGCTTTTTATTATCTGTTTTTATTGTTGATGCATTTCGAGCTCTTCTTCAGTTCATTTAAAAATTATAAAGTGTTTAAGTCTAACTTCTTTTTAAGTAACCAGATTTGTTTTAATAATGTATAAGAAAATGATAATAACTTCAACAAAGCTCATATAATAAGCACATTACAATGCAACAACTTTAAAACAGAATTTCTAATATGAAATAATTGATCAATTTTTTGTTATTTACCAAAGAAATTTGTAGCTTAAAAGCGAAAGAATTTAAATAAGCTTTAATACTGAGACAATTCATTTTGTCATATTTTATATCATGTAATAATATGAATTGATGTTTCAGTTTAAAAGCTGATTAAATTTATTTGTTGTTTAAGTATCATATTTCAACAAAAAAAATTGTAGATTGGCTGTTTACTAAAGCTACTGCATTTATTGTACTTTGCAACATTTAATTTTTATTAACTCAATAAATCAGATGAACAATGAGGTGCGTCCCTTATATTACTACTTCCCTCTGCATTATTACACCCAATTAGTAATAAATGTATAATCTTAAACACATAAAAATTAATTCTTCAGCCATCTTTCTCTAAGGAAATGAATACTATAACTTTATATTATTACAGTAATGTTTGAATTACTTAATGTTTTTTACATTTAAAACCAACAAAACATCAAATTTTACTTACTGTTTTCATTTTATTTGTGGACATACCAAATTATTTTGAGTTTTGACAGTAATATAAATCTTTTATAACAACAAATAACCATACTAAATTGCTTATTCATGGAAAATTGATTAATAACAAAAAAAATTTATGTTCATAATCACGTATAACTTTAAATTTTTATAAATTTCAACCGTACATCATGATTTTTTCAAAAACTACTGTATAATACCAGCTATGTATCGTGATTAAATCCAACAGGGATAGATTGTATTTTTGATCACTAATTTAATTTTTATCACTAATCGTGTTAACTAAAACCCGGTGGGTTTTATTTTTATTTTTTATATAATTTAAATCATTTGCCCATCTACACACAAAGAGTTTTACATTAGTGCATGTGTAGAAATATTACACATATTCTTATTTTAAAAACAACTATCTTACATCACATCAAATGTTGTGAATTATTCATGCATTAATGAAAAATAAGTTTAGTCTTTTGCCAAGCAAACAGGGCAGTTGGGGCGGCTGCAATGGTTTAGGTGATGGCACCCATCACAGCAAGGTAAAGGTCCTGGGTTCGAATCTAGCAGCCCTGCATTCAAATTCGACATACTTACAAGAATAAATGTTAACAAAATAATTGCAAAAAAATGTGATATAATAATAGAAGGAAATATTGGCATTTAATAAATATTCAATCATTTACAAGATTTTATATTATGTAAACAAATGTACATTAAATGTAAAATATTTATAATATTTTATTGAATTATTGAAAGATTGATGGAAATAAAATTCTTAATCAATGTTTTTATGGCATTTATCATATTACTACAAATAAAACTTTTTGGCAGTATAGCATACTAACAAGGTTATTTAATTACTTTAAAAAAATTTGTGTTGTTATCAATAAATATATTTGTGTCACTTTTATCAGTATTGTCCTCTTTTATTTCAAAATCAATGGCTGCATTCTTAAACCAGGACGTAATTTCAGCTACATACTTTCTGTCCCAAAACCTTTCCAAAATGACCACATTAATGGATTTTTGTTCCAACAGCTCTGCTAACTGCAATAGGCAAATTATGAATATTTTATTTTCAAATGTCAAAAAATCTAAAATGACAACATACTTTGTCTTTACACTCTTTTTTCCCAGTACGGCTAGAAATAATTTTCTTAAGCTGCTCCTTTACTGATTCATTTCCAAAACTGTTATTTAAAAAAGCATTTATTAACACCCAATAAAAGTTATATAAAAATAAAAACTACCAACTGTAAATTAAGAGAATCAAAATTTTCAGAATAATAGTCAATTGTATAACATGAACTATCTGAAGAAACAAGATTTGATAGTAAGCTAGTTAAGGTTTCTTGTTTCAAGTAGTCAGCTTTATATAAAATATCTTTCAACAGCCTGAAATTTAAAATGAATGTTTATTTACTACTTCAATAGAGTTTTGTTTAGTTGTAGTAACAAATGTTCTTTTTCAAATTACCTTTGAAATAGCTCTTTGTTTTTAACACAAAAAAGAGCATTGAAATAATCTTCTTTTAATTTCCAGTTTTTCTCTTTGATATATTTCTGTTTAATGTAGTTAAACACCTTCTCATCTCCTATTTTAGATGCAGTACACCAAAAAGTACTCCTCAGTTCAGAATTTAACCTTATGATAATGTTAATTTAAAATAGATTTATTGCCAATTTCACAATTGCTTTATGTATTGTATGTATGAGACACATACTGATTTTCATCAATTCTATTATTCATGATATCATCGAGAAGTTGTTTAGTTTGATTCTTGCAGTGTTGGAAATCTAATGAACAGCCGTATTTAACAATCATCATTTTGAGAGCATAGTTAATTAAATTGGTGACTCGGAAACCTCTGGATGTAACGCGTTTGTACACATTAGATACAATGTACTTGTAGTATGTCTAAAATGCATCATTGTGGTTGTAGTGTTTAGTTTGGTTTCAGTTTTAAAACTCACTTTAAGGGTGTCGTGAACTGGTGTTCCCATTGAATAATGAACCAACTCAAGAATGAACGAAAGACCATTGTAGAGTGGAGCATAATAGGCCTCATTTTTTAGGTATCTTGAAAGATTTAAGAAAGTTGAGTAACTAAGAAGTTTTGAATTGGCAAGGAAAATAGCATCATTTATTATTTGGGCCCGGTTCAGTGGGTGAATTTTGACCAAATTATCATTCAATAAATCTGTAGCAATCAGCTCCCAAGTCCTTTGATCATAGTTGACTTTGTAATAGCCTGGTACAAAATTGATTTATATTACTTTCAAAATCAAACAAATAGGTATTGGAGTAAAGACAAATATATAATTTACAATACTAGTCAATAATTAAAAACAATGACAATTACTTGTAATACTTTTTTTTTAAGCAATACTTTTCTTAATAAATCAATCAATCAATAAAAAAAGTAGCAGTAATATACAGATTTTATTTGTTGTTTTGTATACCTATTTTCTGAAGGTTCAAAATTATCCATTCATCGTCCGCTAAGATTGGTGTAACTGGTTGTGCTTCATTGGTTGGCCTAAGCCACTCTTTGAGATGAACATTTTCAAAATTTCTCTCTTTTGATGTTGTGTATGTTACGGGAATCCACCAATGGCTTTCAACATCACCATTTTTTCTTGGCATATCAAACGGTTTCTTTATAATTTCATTTTTACCAAACAAAGTAGTAATTTTATTGTGTTTATTGGTTTAGAAATAAATAAACTGAACTCCGTGATGTTGAGATTTACCTGTTTGACAGTGAGAGAACCGTTTTTATGTCTGTAGACTGTCAGCAGAGGAAATCCATAATTGTGAGTCCAACCATACATCAATGACTCAAGGGATTCTCCGTCAGGAATTGAATTATTGCCCATTTTGGTCTGCAATGCTCCCCAAAGTTCTTTCTCTGTGACAGAATCAAATTGGCTGGAATAAGAACAAAATTAAACACTGGAAATTTTTATAAGTCATTTTTTATTACTTTTCCATCAGATAAGTTTGCAATCCTTGTCTGAATGAACCATTGTTCATTATTATGTTAGCAACCATGTTTGTTATAGCACTACCTTAAATAGGACATATTAGACAAAACATCCTTGTTTCATTTAAAATTGTTTAAATGTTTAATGTGTATTAATTACCTTTTAAATATGTATTAAAAGATGTAGTATATTTTAAAATCCTATCCTGACAGAATTTTTTTTCTACCAAAGAAAACGGCATATAGAAATCATCAGATATAACACTTTCCATGTTTATTGACACAAACAATTCCATTGCTTTTGATTCTGGAAATAACTAAAGATAATTATGTATTAGGATGTTAAAACTAATTTACAATAGCGAAAGATTACTTGGTCCACAATCAGATTCATTAAGTATGATGTAATGCCTTCATTCAACCACAAATAACACCAGTATCTGCATGTTACAAGGTTTCCAAACCACTGATGTGCAATTTCGTGTGCCATAATAAGAACAAATTTTAACTCGTCATCAAATGTAGACATTTCACGTTTTAAAAACAGGAATCTATGGCTGGAAAGGAATATATCAATAAGAACAAATAAAATTAGCCTTTGCATTTTGTGAGATCATAATTACCTCCATGTGATGAGACCCCAACTTTCCATAGCAGCAACTATTTTGTTGGGAACCAGCACAAGATCCATTTTTGGTAGATTATAATCTATCCCAGTGTAGTTTTCCATTGCCTCTAATAAAACTGCCATAATTTCAGATGGTAAAAGTATATTTTCTTTTATTGCTTCTGGATACCATATAGTGTTGTTTTTTGGAAATTCTGCGCTCGCCAGGTCATCGAATATAACAAATGCCACATTATAAGTGGACATTTTTGGAGTTGGGTAGAATGTGTCCCATACCTGACCCTTTATTTTTGGGCTGTAAAAATAGAAAGAATAAATAATCATAATAGTGATTCTTATTTATAAAAATTTACTCTGGAGCTGATGTGTTTCTAATTGGCATGTTTGACAGAGCCTTCATGGACTGGGGCCTACCCAATTTAATCTCAAATACTGCTTTATAACTAGGAATATCTATACAGGGAAATACCAATCGGGCCCCCATAGGTTGAAATTCTGTACTAATTACTTTTCTAAAATCATTAACAAATAACAAGATAAAATAATGAGGATCAATTGAATATTTCAAATACAAACCTTTTTTCATTATTGAATTCATAAAAAGACATATACAGTCCTTTTAGTTCATTCATATTACCACTGTATTTTAATGTGAGAATAAATTCAACATCTTTCCTTATAATTTGATCTAACACAAAAATAATAACCCCACAAGTGACATTTTCTGATGCTAAATTCAAATTTAATTTTGTATTAGTGTCTTTTATTGAATAAAATCCATCTTTAATGTTCACTTTGCTGTGAAATCCCAGTTTATCCGTGTCTTTTAAAACTGTTCCTGTTATGCGAACTTCTCCAAAAAATGACTTCTCTTCAATTTTCATCCAAATATCAAGTGAGTATCGAGACGGTTTCCAGTCTTCCCAAAAAGGATATCCTCCATATGTCTCCTCTCTGTGATCACTTCCGACATTAAAAATCCAAAGAAGGAGTATAAACCCAATCTAATACAAAGAGAGTTTGTTAGTTGCAAGAATTAGCATTTTTATAAAATTGAATAAGGGGATGTCTTTTGTTCAGACACATTTATATGAGGGTGTTTAGATTTTTTATTTTTGATGTTCCATTTTTGCTCATTTTGTTCATTTTCATGTTATATTCATTTAAATAAAATCTCAGATGTAATTCGCCTACAATACATTTTATATTAATAAAGATCAGGAATAATGCCATTATAATTTGACATTAAAAATAAATTTAACATGAATATGTCACAAAAGCTAAGACAACACTAAAAATTGATAACTGCATGCACTATTTTGGCCTAACAAATTTTAAAAAATCTACACAATAATCAATATTTGAAAAAATAAGTTTTGAAAGATATATTAGTTTTATAAAATATTTAAAAGATAAAGGGAAATTATACAAATTCTGTCTTGATTTGTACTTAAATTAATTTTAAAAATGCATAAACGTGAAAGATTAAAGTTGTGTAAGAACCTATTTTCAGACCATTTATCGTTTCTGCCATTTCCTGCCATTTACTCAGTTGTATTCCTTTTGTTCTCATTGTTAAAACTTAGAACAAATTGGTTTGTTTAGTTCAAACTATTTTCACAAAATAATAATAAATTTGGTATGCATTAGTACTTACTTACATGTCTATAAGCCATTGCAATGATTTATGAAACACTTCTAATCAGTGAGGGTGTATTCGTTACTTTATCACACTATTATCTGTACTGAATTCAACTGAATCGCATCAATCTGTTAAATTTAATTGCCCATGTTATTAAACGGCAGTGGAACAAATTGAAAGGCCTACGCTCTTCATTTGTAAAATGTATTTAAAATGATTATTTGGAGATCGTGTGTATTTAAAATGTAATTTCACTCAACTCGAAAGGAACAATGGTGATTCTAGAAAAAAAGGTACCTGAATAAATACTGAATTGAGGAAATATACCAATATGAAAATGCCATCTTTAAAAGGTAAACTTAATATTCAAACAATAATAAAACTTGTATAATTTATTGAACAAGTAAAATCATTTAACAACTAAACAATTGGCAATAAAAAATTTAAAAAAATGTTTACACAATTTGTCTGCTTGATGTCCACTAGAAGAACTTTAGGCAAATCTTGAGGACTAAAACTGAAATGGCCTATTGGCTATATGGTAGTAATAAGACCCTCAATAATGAGAAATATCCTGTCACTAATCCCATGGACAAAAGCTCAACAAAAACAAGCTATCGAAACTTACAGCATACAAAACTGGCAAACCAAATGCAGGAGTAATATGTAAGAGCAGTCCAACTCACCATGGATGTACACTGATCTCTTTCAAGCTGAAATACACGCCATCAACAGTTGTGCCTTAGAAAATCCTAAAAGAGGTTACATCGAGAACAAATCATCATAAGGTCAGATAGCCAAGCACCTATTTAAGCATCAATATAAAAAATCACATCAAAATTTGTTAGTGAATGTATCTGAAATCTCCAAAACCTAGTGAAATGAAACAACCTGATGATATATTAGGTACCAGGACACAAAAGATTTTTGGGTCATGAAAAGGCAAACAAACTGGCAAGAGGAGGATCTGCAGGACCACATTTATATTGAAACCCTGAACCTGTATGTGGATGACAGAAACAAACATAGAATCCTCCATCGCAAAATGGATAAACTCTTCAAGTGCTAAACCAAATAAACTATGCTAAAAGACTCCTTGCTAAAACTGACAAATTTGCTACAGTTTGAGTGTTCTAAACTGAGAGGAGTGATAGGGCTATAAATTGGCCACTGGCATCCGAAAAAACATCTATATTAGATGGGTTGTTCAATGATGACCACATTTGTAGGTTAAATAATGACAAGGATGAAACAGTCACCCATGTCATCTTTCAATGTGAAGAACCACTCAATGGAGACCTGTGGGAAAAACCAGGAAAGGAATTGTAGCTATGACATTCATTGACCTAATATTAATTAAGAGAAGGATAAAGTCAATTGAATTAAACTAAGGAACTAGGAAAAGTACAATCACACAGAAGGCTGCAGTGCTAGGGGACATAAACACTTCCTAGATTTCCATCATCATCAACATCACATCTTCATTATAGTTGAAGGATTGTAATTGTGTGAAATACATATGAAATTCCAGAACCAAACTCTGCATAGGAACATGGGATTTTGATTTTTCAAATTTCAAATTAAACTATCTTCCTAAAACTTACTAATAAAATTAATTAATTTGCCGATGGTACTATTATAGTGAAATTTCTTGTTGAGGTTAGCAGTTTGGTCATTTAAAACACACCACTGATGATAACCAAATTTTGAAACATATCTGACATACCAAAACAAAAGAAGACGCCGAACATAAACTCTTCAGCTGTATCAAATTCAAGGCAGAAAGAGAACGTTTGCAAAAGACCATCACCTCAGCAGAATGGCCGCCTAATCTCCAAAAGCTAGTCTGTGATATCAAATCTTTTGGAGCACTAAAAGACTTTGCCTCAAATCACTTAAATGAACAAGTACCTATTTATTCTATTTATTCTAATTATTAAGTCCTAAATATTGTTATTATTGTTAGAGTTTTATTACTGTTATTTATTTATTTATTGCATAATTAAACATAGGTTTAGGGTTCCGGGCTGTTTTCCTCTTCTTAATAAGAAAATTTTAGATAATATAAATAGATAGAAAATAAAACCAAGGAAAAGTAAATGTGCAAGGGGAAACCAGCAAGGGAAGACCTTTTGTTTTAGGTTCTAAAATGAAAATATGGTCCCTTCAAAAACCGACCAGCAGTCTCGCCTGAAGGAAAGATCGTTGGGATGTATTTTTATCCCATTTATTTGAAATCCCTTAGATATACAAATTCGATTAAGCAAAAGCGTTTGTCCACCGGTATGGGGTCTTCCTCAGGTACGGCGGGGTGGTGGAAAGGGTAAAGTAAAAAATAAACCAAAACATCGAGGATATGTTTAGGATGACAAGCATTAACTTAATTTAATAAATTTAATGCTTATGATATTCCATAATACACACGTCCTGATAAATTTTCGAGGTGTGCAAGTGTTCTTGTAGACTCTGGGACAATTTTAGTTTGGTCTTTTTTATTTTTTTTTCTCTTGCTAGTTGTGTTTTTTCAAATTGGTTTTGGCATTTATATCCATTTTGGCAATTTTTTTTTTAATTTAATAAAAAGCACATAGTTGTGTTTTTCCAAGATTAATATCACACACACACACACACACACACACACACACACACAGGTGGTTTCTACAAAAAAGGAAAATTACTTCATAGTTTTATTGTGATACATAATTGTTGTAACAAAAGAGAGACTGAACAACTCCATTAATAGTTACATTTAATCGAAATGTACAATGAAAGAATAGTTTAATATAAATACTATTCATTTGTAACTTTGAAAAAGTTAATATTCTTTTCGATAAAAACATTTTTACTGTTTCCACAATTTTTTTCCTCTTCAGGCCCACTCTCAATATCAAAGTTTTGTTTCTCAAACCAGAATATAACATCTCTAAATCTATTGACCCAGTCACTTTTGTTGTTCAGTTGAATAGGAATGGACCGTTTACCAACCAAATCTTTTAACTGCAATATTAAATTATGAAAATATTTGTACAGCTGTGGAAAAGTTACAATAAAAAGGTGTACTTTGTTCTTGCACTCTTCTTTGTCTGTTGTTATAAAAATTTCATTTAAATACTCTATAACTTTGTTGTTCCCATAGCTGAAATATTAAGGTTTAAACTGTAAAATTAAAAAAAAAAATGAAAATAATTATTTCTTACTTGGAAACAATAATTTCAAAGTTTTCAAAGAAATAGTCTATAAGATAACACGCTGTATAGGGAGATATAATACGAGTCATTATAAACTTTGGATCAATATCTTTGATGTACTTCACTTTGTGGAAAATGTCATTTAGCAAGCTTGAAAAAAAAATTAAAGTGATAAATTTCTTACTTTTTATGTATTTAATTTTTTTTAATGTTTTAAATTCTGTCCACTTACATTGGGACAAATTTAATCCATACCTGTTAAATATGTTTCTACTTCTGACACAGAAAAGAGAATTTAAGTATATCTGTTTCAGCACTGTTTGTTTTTCTTCAATATATTTATGTTTAATGTAGTTAAACACTTTTTCGGTGCCTGTTTTGGCAGCAGTACACCAAAAGCTCTCCATTAATTCAAGATTTAATCTGAAACAGTTTTTGCAAGAGAAAAATGTTTATTGGAATAATATGATTTTTCCATTCATACTGATTTTCATTGAGATCCTTATTAATTACAGAATCCACAATTTGCATGACTTGGTTCTTGCAATGTTGAAAATCGAGTGTACATCCCAATTCGATAATCATAATTTTAAGCGAATGGCTGACCACATCTGTCACGTTGAATTCGTCAGATGTAACATGTTTGTAAATGTTGCTCACTAGATACTTCATGTAGTTCTAGAAAACAAATCCATTTACTCCTTTGAAAGATAAATTTCTATTATTGACAACAACCTTGTAGTAATTCCCCGCAGTTTTTACAAAAGGAAATAATGACTGGATTGACATTATGCCAAGATAGAGTGGGTAGTAATGCAATTCGTTTTTCAGATACCTTGAGAGATTTAAAACAACTGAGTAATTCAATAAGCCAGCTTTGGCCAGCTGAAAAGCATCATTTATTATCTGCCCTCTGTTCAATGGATGAATTTCTTCCATCCTGTCACTCATTAAATGTGCAGTTATAAGCTGCCAAGTCCTTTGGTCATAATTGATTTTGTAATAGCCTGAAAAAATTTGTTTTATGATAATTGATATTTTTCAAGCAATTGAATTAGTAAAGCTAAATATATAACATTGATAATAACAACTAAAACGCCACGATGATGATGAAGTCTTACTTTGATCTTCCCTTGACCATATTCCAGATGTCAACATTTTGCATACCAATCAATTAAGGTTTTTAGTTGAGATAAAAAAAGTCAATGGCATGAGCTAGTTGGTTAAGCGGACCACGAAATTAGTGAATTTTGCATACCTTTGATTAATAATTAAAATGAAATGGTAAAGTAATTAAACAGTTTCACATATTTTACACGTTAGAAAACAAATTTTATGGTCACACTTCTGACTGCAAATCAACAGATTTATTTAAACTTTTATGATAATACATAATAATTACCAGTATGTGATATATAATTTCATTGAAGATCTAAGATTTTCAAATATGTAGGGTGTTTTTTATTTGTCTTATATTTTAACAGAATAACTTGCATAAAATACCAGACAAATAAAAACCACTCTCCATCTATAAAAGAAAAACCAACAACATACAAAAATTTATAATAAGATTTGTAATTTATAATTAATTTAGTAAACCTAAAACTCTTTTTGCAGTGACAATAATAAAATTTGGAAAAGATTTAGAACATTAAAAATTTAATATTTAATACCTGCATTCTGAAGATTGAGTATTATCCAATCATCTTCTGTTATGGTTACTGCAAGTGGTTGTAAATCGCTGGTTGGCCTTAGCCACTCTTTGAGATGAACATTTTCAAAATTTTTTTCTTTTGATGTTGTGTAAGTTAAAGGAATCCATAAATAGCTTTTGTATGAAGCATCCTTCTCGAATAAATAAAATGCCTCCTTCACACCGTTAACAAACAAATATATTAACTATTTATTTGTTTTTTAATTTGCTTATGTACAAAGTAGATTTAGTAGATACCTGTTTAATCGCAATGCTACCATTGTCTGTATGTCGATAAACATTGAGCAATGGAAAGCCTCGGTTGTGAGTCCACGCATACATCAAGGTCTCCAGAGATTCTCCTTCAGGGATTTCAGTTTCATTCATTTTTGCTTGCATCGCTTCCCAAAGTTCTTTTTCTGTCACAGAATCAAACTGGCTAAAAATAATTAGATGTGATATAATTCAAAAAGTTATAATAATTAAATCGGAGTTAGTAATAACATTGGTACCTACTTGTCCATCAAGAATTTCTGCAAGCCTTCTTTAAACATGTCATCTGTCATGATAATTTTTCTGACCATGTGTAAAATCGCAGCTCCTTAAATTATGCAACTTTTGAAGAAAGAATGTAAACTTGCTTAAATCTATTTGTTTAAAATGAAATTTTAATCATAGTCTAGTTATATTAAATATAAAAAAAAAACCTTTGAGATAGATATTCAATGACATTGGCAAACGCATTGTTTGTCTCTCACAATAGTCTTGTTCCACCAAAGAAAAAGGAACATATGTATCTTGATTCATAGTATAATCAATTATGTCTAATGTAAATATATCCATAGCATTTGAATTTGGTAATACCTAGAAATAGTTCATTTATTTATTTTGTATAATGCGTAATGAAACAGAGTCATTACTTGATCTACAATCTGATTCATTATATAAGATGTTATGCCTTCGTTGAGCCATAAATAACACCAATATCTGCATGTTACGAGGTTGCCGAACCATTGATGTGCAATTTCATGTGCCATATAGACAACAAACTCCAACTCCTCTCTAACAAATATCTTCCTTTCTTCCGCAGATATATGACTATATCTATTTTTAAAAAATAGAAAATTATAAAAGTATAATCCCAATAATAACACTGCTTCATCACCTCCATGTTATGAGACCCCAGCTTTCCATAGCGATAGGTGCTTTCTCCGGTACGACTGCCAAATCCAATTTTGGAAGGACATACTTTATCCCAGTGTACTTTTCCATTTGGTCTCTCAGCATAACCATAATTTCAGATGTTAATTGTATGTGTCTTTTAATCTCATTTGGGTACCAAATTGTGTTGTTATTTTGAAGGGTTAGATTTGTCAAGGTGTCATATATTAAAAAGGTCAGAACATAGGTTGACATCTTAGGACTTGGATGGAATACATCCCATACTTGACCATTGATTCCTGAACTGTCATAATATTTCAATAATTATTAAACTATATTGAACTTTTTTGTATGAATATTTACTCTGGAGGTGATGTACTTTTAATTGGCATGTTTGAGAGAGCATTCATTGTCTGTGGTCTGCCTACTTTCAACTCAAACACTGCTTTATAACTGGGAATATCTATGCAAGGAAATACCCATCGGGCTCCCATTGGTTGAAATTCAGTACTAATTACTGTTCTAGAAAACATATTATCAAATAATTTATAATTAATTAAATTACCTCATTACAAACCTTTTTTCATTATTGAATCGATAAAAAGACATGTACAATCCTGTTAAATTTTGCATCAAACCATTGTATCTTAATGTGAGCATAAATTCAACATCTTTTCTCAGAGTTTGATCCAAATTGAGAAAAATAGAATCGGAATTGACATTTTTCGATGCCAAACTGAGATTTATGAATTTGTTATTTCCTTTTAACGTATAAAATCCTTCTGAAATATTCACTCGACAGTGAAGTCCCAGTTTGTCCGTATCTTTTAAAATGACCCCGGCAATTTTAACTTTTCCTTCGAAGGACTTATGTTGAATATCCATAACGATGTCCAGTGAGTAACGAAACGGCTTCCAGTATATCCAAAAGGGACTGCTGTTATCGTCAATTTGAACTCTTGTGCCCATGCAGGTAAAAATTCCGATGACAAATAGTAATAATATCTTAAATATAAAATAAAAATGTAATTATAAACGTACTTTTGTATAAAAAAAAAAAAAAACAGGGATAAGGCCAGTTTGAAAGAAAAGGAAACGTTCAGTTCTTTCAACAAGCTTTTGAAGAATACATCCCCCTTCATCAGGGCATTGAAACTATTATTAACAATTCCAATTGGCCTTATCTCTGTTTTTTATTACCAAAATATACTATTAAAGGCTTATATTAATCATACCAAGAGAAATTATTTATTTGTTTATTTATTTATGTGAATATTTATGTTTGTCAATGTTGGCTCACAATGCAATTTCTGTACATTTCACAGAACATCTTACATTTTTTTATCAAATGAACTGACTAGAAAAGCTATTGTGCTGTATTTATCTGAGGGTAAAATTAAATATTGAATGCCATGAGGGATAGATGGATAATAAAAAAAGACAAAGAAGATCATGGTTAAAAAAGTATCAACTTATGTCGCTTTTGTTTGAATACAAAACTTTTTTTTTCATTTGTCATGCAAATAAATTAATTAAAACAGTATTGGATAAAATCCAGATCAACTATTCTTATGCGATATTAAGTTTGCATTAGCTTTGCTTGTTGCATGTATATTGATTGAACTTATTAATATTTTTTTAATCTAACAGTAACTCTCATACAAGTAAACTATTGTTGATGTAAAGGATTGGGTTACTTAAGTCTTTTCAAATTTCACTTACTTTTTCCATAATGAGCTTGAACGTTTCTTACAAAATATCCAAATTGAAGAAAGCAATTACAGTGTATTCATTATACAATACGACATGTATTTTTTTACCCATGGTATCTATGGAAGTGACTCAGCCGAGTTCTTACTCACTTTCCATACTGGACTTTGGACAACTAAACATAAAAATAATGTTTAGATTATTTATCCTTGAACACAACTGCTTCCTGGTATTTTTAGCATGTAACTTTCTTGGGCTGTTTCAGACTATTTGTAAACAGCTTACAATTAGATGCTTTTATTAGCAAAAACCTAAGTTACACGGATGTCTATATTTTAAACTCCTTCATCAGCTTAAAAGCTCTTTGCTGGGTAGACACTATTTAAAAATTAATTTATACACCCATTGAATAATACAATGTCAATTAATTAATTTAACCTCGTAATATTTAGCAATAGACCTAATAATAAAAAAAAAAGACTTGGATAAAACATTTTCTAATTTCTCACCAATTGCTGGATTGTTATTTCAAAAAGTAAATAATTAAAGCTCAATATTTCAAGCAACACAAATGATGAATTTTGAGCAGTAATTTGATCCTGGCCCAGCTAATAAAAGAATAAGAAAAATAAATAGTATTTTAAACCTACTAAAATAATTCTGTGATAAAATTTTAAGTTTTATATGCGCAGTTTGAAAAACAATCCTTCATTTTACTTTATGTACAGTATTGAACAGATGGGAAATCAATAAGTTAAAATGTGAAATAATCTATTGTGTCATAATACTTCAACAGACAGAAAAACATATTCTAAACATTTATGCTAATTATAATTCATTGTCTAATGGGTGTACTTTGTATTCATTTGGCACTTCAAAAAATACATCGTCTCGCTTTAAAAATACATTCATATTCTTTGGGGGATTTGCAATAATTATAGCTGCAAAATATTCATGCTTATGTTGGCTAAACCATCTGTTCAGTTCACCTCCATGTTTCTTATCCCACGCTCTTGCTCTTGGCCATGGGTAATATATTTGATGAAATAATGAGATTTGCTGTATCTAAAAAATAAAATTAGAATAAATTATTAAAACTTTTGTTTTACAATTATTCATTAATGTTAACCTTCATTTCACAAAATATCGCTCTAGCTTTAACTTTGTTGTAAGCGTCTTGTAGAAACTCAATGATTCCCTCCCATCCTATCCTATTTGTAAAATAAAATAAAAGATTATTATCCTTCTGTAATTTTCCTAATGTATACTTTTTGTATTGGAAATTGCACTCACTTTGAAAGAATTAGTTCAAAATTTTCTTCGAGAAAGTTAAGAAGCATACAGTTTGAATCCAAGGGCGTTATAAAATCTCTCAACTGGGTTACAATATTTTCAGAAAAGGTAGATTTATAAAATAGGTGATTTAAAACCCTTGAAAACAAATTAAATATTATCAAATGAAATATATAGCTTATAAAAGTTACAATGTTTTAAAACGTTGGAAAATGTTGAAGTTAAAAATGTAATAATACTACAAATTTATCTCTCTCTAATTTTCTATAGATAGGCCAAGATCATGTAATATAATTGCACATTATTTAAACAACCATTATTTAAAGAGTAAAAACTGGAATGAGTTTGTTTCTTTCATTTCATATAAGTTTTGTAAATTCATATTTAAAAATCATTTTTATAAAAGATAATTACTGTGTAATAATGTATGGATCTTTACTGCATAATAAATATTTTGCATAGGTTATTGCTTCTTCTCCATTGGGCGTCGATTTGAATTTTCTTAACAGGTACTTTGTGATATTCGTTGAACCAACTCTGACAGCAGAACACCATAATGTGTATTTCAACTCAGGAATCAACCTAAGCAAGATTACTTAGAATTATTTCATTTCAACACATCACATATAGGCTATATTCTTACTGATATTTTTTGCCTTTATTATTGATTATTGAATATGCAAGTTTTGTAGCTTGGTCTGTACAGTGATAGAAATCGAGTTGACATGCCAACTCGACAAGCTTAATATGGTAAAAATGGTTCAATACTTTGTTCTCTTTAAGCTTGTTTAGAAAAACTGCCATATAGTTATCAGCAACAAGAGATCGCATGAAATTCTTAACATATAAAATAAAGTTATTAGAGAAGATAAAAATAATTCATTACATGACTTACAGTAAACTTTTTTTTGAGGTTTTCATCCACTGCTTGAGAGCTTAATTTTAAAAGTCCTTCCATCCCAACACTTAATGGCAAATAATGTTCCTCTTTCCTAAGATATGTTGTTAAATTTAACACTGTAGATAGACTTAACAAATTTTCAGAGGCACACTCAAATGCATCATTAAGGATCTGGGCTCGATTCAAAGGATGGATGTCATGCATACTTTGGTTTATTAAATGATCACTAATGAGTTGATATGTTCTGTCGTCATACAAAATTCTATAGAACCCTAAAAATTATTATTATTATTGTTAGAATGATTATTTGTTATATTATTACCAGCATGCTGAATGTTCAACACAACCCATTCATCATCAGATAGTTGTAAGTCAAGCTCTTGTAGTTTATGTGTTGGTTGAATCCATTGTTTGACTTTTAAATTATTGAAATTTTTCTCTTTTGATGTGGTGTATGTTAAAGGAATCCACCAGTATTCATTGCTTGATATCACAGGTTTAGAAAATAAACCCTACAATTCCAAGTTAAACATTAAAGCATACTTTACAATTAATTAAGGTTTTTTGTTGAGATGAAAAAAAGTTAATGGTTAAAAAGTTAAGAAAAATGGCAAAAGGAGGGAAAACTCATAAGGCGGGGTTGAGATGAGGAGTTGATGTCCGAGTGGATCGAGGTCACGATAGCTCAGGTGGTAGAGCAGCGGCGTATCTAGCCGAAGGTCGTGGGTTCGAATTCCTCTCGTGCCATTAACTTTTTTCATCTCAATAAAAACCTTAATTAATTGTCATGTATTAATTGGTCAAGCGGACCACGAAAATAGTGAATTAATGATTTAAAAATGAAGTACACTTCACTAAAGCTCTCCGTCGCCATTTCAATTGTCATCGAGAGTCCAAACCGATTACACGACATTTGAAAAATGGTAAAAGGAGGCAAAACTCAAAAAGGTGGGGTTGAGATGGGAAGTTGGTGTCCGAGTGGATTGAGGTCACGATAGCTCAGGTGGTAGAGCAGCGGCGTATCTAGCCGAAGGTCGTGGGTTTGAATCCTTCTTGTGCCATTAACTTTTTTTCGTCTCAACAAAAAACCTTAATTAATTGTAAAGTATTAATTGGTCAAGCGGACCACGAAATTAGGGAATTAAAGCATACCTTATTCTATAGAATTTAACTATTGTCAATCTGGTTTGGGTTGCTTTTTGGGTCTGTCATGGTTCAACATGTGTTCAACAACTTGCAGACCAACCCACCATAATCTTTATTGTCATTCTATTCTTTTTATGGAAAAAAACATTGGGAACATACCTGAGTTACACGTATGTCTCCATCAAGCCTACTGACTTTTACTAAAGGATAGCCTTTGTTATAAATCCAAGTTTTCATCACTTCATTAATAGCAGGTGTATAAGTTTTATTTATGAACAGCTTGGCCTTCACAGAAGTATCTATTACTTCTTCTAGTGAGTCCCAAAATTGAGTTTCATCCACTACGCCGAATTGTCTGCACGGATGAAACAATATTTATATACAATCACAATAAATAATATAATACTTACTTATTTGTCAAGTAATTGTGTATTGCCTGTTTAAAATTTCCTTTGGTCATTAAATTGTTTTCCACCATGTGCAAAATGGCAGCTCCTTATATAAGAAAATAAAATACAGTTAAACAAGACTACTAAATAGTTTTTCTCAAGTAGTGAAATAATAGTAATTGTTTGGTTTTTGAGCCAACAGGCAGCTGTCCTCCAGTAGAAATAAGGTGCACATAGGTGCAAATAGGTTTGTTTTAATTTTAACCATTTAATTAGACTAATTTCTGGAGATTTAGAAGTTGAAAGAGGCAAATTGGGGGACCATAGTAGCTGACTGGTTGGCATCATAGACTCTCGACTTGTTGACTCAGCAGTCATGGGTTCAATTCTCATCATTGATCCAAATTTTTACATTACTGTTCTCTCCCCCCAAAAAAATATATATGCATACATAAACAAACAAACAAACAAACACACACACACACACACACACACACACATACACACACACACACAAACAAACAAACACACACACACACACATATATATATATATATATTTTTTTTTTTTTTAATATATATATATTTAATTTGTTGACTAAAATTTTATTATATTATACATTTTTAATCTCTTTTTAACCTTACAATAGACTTCAGATGAAAAAGCAAATTTCAACATACAAAATTGCATAATTATTGATATGATCTTGTAATTAATACATTTTAATTGTATAACATTGCTTTTTCGAGCTGTTGTATTATAGATTCTCGGGCTGTGAAACCTTTCTTCTAGTAATACATTACCTTTATTATTATGGACAGTTCCAAATTGCATTGTATCTATATTCTCAAGGCATTTGTCAGTATTTACCAAAGATAGTAATTGTTTGGAGTCATCTGCCATTGCTGTCATGACTGTATTTTTAATAAATAATTCAAGATCAGTTGAATCTGGGAAAGCCTGGAAAAAAAGTCAATTTCCATTAGCTGATCAGTATAGGGTTTAAATTTGATTTTTAACCTGTCGCACTATTTGTTTACTGACGTAGGTGGAAAGGCATTCAGTAACCCATATTTGACACCAATCCTTGCAAGACACTAAATTTCCAAACCAATACTTGGCAATTTCTTTCCCCATAAAATTATATATGTATTCTAATTTGTCCAATCCAACAAAGTTAACGTGGTCAAACATGTCAAGACTACAATAAAATACTCAATTATATGGTTACAAAATGGTCATTTTGTATGTGGTAGAGTGACTGTATGAAATATATTAACAAGTGGCCTCTAAACAGACATGCTCCCATATGAATTTTACAAAGGGCACCACAAACATTTTTGATGATATTGCTGAATTTTTATGACCAAACATATGGTAAAGGAAGAGTACCAAAATGTTTATCCGAGTCAGTAATGTACCCTCTTTTTAAGAAGGGTGATTTAAATCTGGTTTCTAATTACAAAGGCATTTGCTTTTTTATAATGCAAATGCTAAACTATTTTTTGGACTTTTATTTTTGTAGCTAGATAGACCTGGCACAGTGATAATAATATTTTTATGGATCCTCTCAGTGTGATTTTGTTTAAAAAAACGAACAGAATGGCCAACCCTCTAGATATTCCTATCAATATTCAACCCACTGACGTTAAATAAAGGAACATGGTAAAGAAAAGGTAGCAATGTCAGTGAACCAGGTTAGCCGAGAAGCTCTTGCACTTTAGATTATGGTTGATAGGTGGTCCCCAGAAAATCTAAATTGCAGAGAAAAGACCATGCTAATCTGACTAAGAATTGGCCATACGTGGTTACACACAGACAATTTCATTTGGGCAAAAAAATGTGTCTGGCAAGCAGAGACTGGTTGCTCAATGTGTCTCAATTAGATTAGCTAGTGTATGTGAAGTTCTATGTAAATATATGTTCTCCATCACCCCATATGAATGAATGGTATGTAAACAGGAAAGAAAAGGGGACCACGGTACACCAAGAGGAGATCCCCCAGTCGTGGCTTTGATTCCCTCCATTGCCTCTGGATTTTTCTGATGCATAAGAGGAATGGTGACTACAGTGAGAGTTGACATGGGCTCATCAAGGGAAGGTCTGGCGGGATCGGGTCTCAGAGACCCTGAATTCAGTCCCAACCCCCTTTGAAAATGAATTTGGAAGAATACTGGTACACCAGGGTCTCAATATACACATGTGTCATTACGAGCTCCAAAAATGGAGCTGCAGTGCTCGGGGGAACAGCTCATAATCAATTAAGAAAAAAAGTGTAGTGTATTTATGTTAAAACTCCTAAGGAGCGAATTAGGACAGGCAAGATTTAATAAAGGGCAGTCAATAATATTTGTATTTACTGTAATCTGATTCTGTGGATGATAAGATAAAGAAAAAGCATTATGCTTTATTTTAGATTTCACCACAATGTTGAGCATCTAAATCGACCTGTTTTTTTAATATACTGGGTCGTTTGAACAACAGTTCAATTTACTGGGAGTTTGAACAACATTTTTCAGTTATTTTAAAATGGTGGGGGGAGAGAAAATATAAGATCCTCGTTATATGCTGATGATATTGTCATTATTGCATGCTCAATTGATGTCTACAAAAAATTAATAACCTAGAAGAATTTTGGATCTGATGGTTCAATTTGATATTAATTATTATTAAATGAAATCTCAGTAGGTACTAGTACAATGAAATAATAAATCTGTAGATCTGTTTTACCTCCATGTGATGAGTCCCCAGTTTCCTAAAGATTCATGACTTTTGTTTGGTATTAAAACTAAATCTAATTTTGGCAGGATGTAACTTATTCCTGTATAATCTTTTAAAGAGTCTAATAAATAAGGAACTGCTTCTTCTAGAAAGTTAACATTGTCTTTTTTTGTAAACCATATAGTAATCCCATTTCTTAAAGTATGGTTTAAATAGTTGTCTCGCAATAGGACAAGCGCAAACATGTACGTGGACATTGGTAGTGATTTATTAAATGTGTCACTTATTGGCTTGTTGAACATTAAACTAGAATAAAAAGTAATGCAATAAATTTAATCAAGTTTCAAAATATAATACAACATTAAATTTTCACTCACTTTCCTTGTGTTGTTTTTATCCTTGGCATGTTTGATAAAGCTTTCATCCATCGTGGTCTCAATAATTCTAAGGTAAATTTAGCTTTAAACCTAGGAAAGTCTACACATGGAAATAACTCTCTTGCATCAAACTTTTGAAAATTTGTGGCTATTAATGGTCTAAAAATATAATACATGAAGATATAGATTGAAAGTCTGAAAACACTACTTTTTAAATTAAATTTTACATGCCAAATTAAACTACTCACAACAAAGTTATGTTTAATTTGGTCTGATTCAATCATAATTTTAGCTTAATTAATGTCAAAAATTACCTGAATTGATGTTTATTGTTATAATTTGGTATAAAAGTGATTGAGGTATCACTTAACTCTCCAGTGTATTTTATGTTAATAACGAAAAAACTATCCTTGGGTAAAACAGAATTGAGATATAGTTTTAACATCCCATCTTCAAGTTGAAGCGTGTGATTTTTGTCGACGTTTACTTTTTCCATTTCACTATTTACATAATAGATCTCAGTTACATTTACTTTACTGTGCAAAACCAGCTCAATGATTTCAGATGATGTTACACCACTTATTGTCACTTCCCCTCGGAAAATTTTAGTAAATTTTTCAAAAACATCTGTCATATCAAGTAGAACTTTGTATTCTACCGGGGCCCATTTTATGGCAAAAGTTTGATCGTTAGAACTGTGTACCTCACTTCCCAGTATAAATCCAAGTATAATAAAAATCAATTTCTAGAAATTTGAACCAAAAGAAAATTATAGTAATGCAAATTGCATATTATTATACAATATACATATTATACTCGTAATAAGAACATATAAATTCTTTGGTAAATTTTATACTTCGGTATGTATTATAAAGAACCTGTACTTACAAGTTTCATCTTGAAGCTAACAGCAAACAAAGCCATTTCATAAAAAGAAAAAAAGAAGCTCAAAGTCATCAGCACCAATCCAATTGTCATAGATAATTAAAAATGTTTACACGCTTTATTGATCAATAATCAATTTTTTACAACACATTAAGATGTTATAATCCTCTGAAAAATATTATATCATAAATGTTAAATTCAATTTGGAACTTTTCATTTTATTGATAGCTGTAGTATATATAGCTTTTTTTACATGGTTATTTTTTATGTTGTTTATGATGTTTTTGAAAAAAAGTCCATTTGTAAGTGCTGGATTCGAACCCAGGACTTTTACATTACAATGACGAGCACCATGTCTTGCAATTTGCAACCAAACAAAACTGATAATGCAATATCTAAAAATAAAAAAAAATCATTGATATTCATCTTCTGAATCTTACACAGGTAATGAATGTGGCATATGAACTGTAAATACATATTATATTGAAATTGACATACTTTTAAATTTGTTGAAATATATCTGAAAAGAAACTCATTTCTACGCATTTTTATTGTGGTAGATATACTAAGAAAATTAATATCAGTTGCATTGAACATTGTGTTGATGATGATGATGATGATGATGATGATGATGATGATGATGATGATGGATACAAGAAGCAATGTTTGTGCTCACTGACAAATAAGGTCCTGGGTTCGAATCCAGAGGCCCCGCATTCAAACTCGACATACTTACAAGTCTTTCTTTCAATAACACAGACAACACGAGGGGTTGATATGACCTGCTGAACCCTCATTTAGAAAAAAATATATAAAATAAAAAATAAAAATACTTACAATTTGAGTGATAATAAAATTACAGTTAACAATCCTTTAAGGTAAATGCTGATACTTGTTCCTGTGTGGTGCAATGTAGTTACTGACAACAATGTCAATGCAATAGATTATCTACTTGTACTTGTTGTAGGAATTGCAGCTGACACCCCCTCACAGTTTAAACGAGATATATTTAGAATCATTATATTGCCCACATTATAGAAAAATATCAAACAAACGAGTATCTTTTTGTTTAAAGTATCATTTTGATTATATTATATAATAGAATAGAAAAGGCATTTATTTTCAAATTAACAAACATGGAAATTCATAATATGGTCTATACAAAACACTATTAGGCATGGATCTCATTCTGTCTGCCCGGTTGACTCAAACTTAACATACTATTATAGCCTAAACAGTTCATTTTGTTTTAAAAGAATAAGTACCTGATGAGGGTGAATTTTTACAATAAATTTTTTTACAAAGAAATTTATAAGTAAGTTTTTACCTTAGTCATTCATTTCCACTTAAAATCAGCCATGCTAACTCTATAAAAAACAAAATTAAATTTAAGAAATTTTTCACAACAATAATAATTTAAATATCAAGCAAATGCATCTATACAAATTTACAAACAAAGAAAATATTTTCAATGAGGTAAGCCACATCTGGAACTACTTGACTATGGTCTGATGTCCTCAAGAAACATAAACATTTATAAATTAATTTCTAATTTTTTGAAAAAATTAAACATAATGTATAATTAATCTTGTAACATATTTCACTGCTTATGCATTCATGGGGGTCATTTATAAACAATGAGAACAATAATGGTGAAAGCGGAAAACCCTGTTTCATACCATTTGTTGTCTCAAAATTTCTTGTTAGACCATTGTTTGTCCAAACTGATGGTGGATTTTAGTGTAATACTGTTCTAGTAGTACTAATTTTTTTGACACTTCTAAAAATAATAGTTTGTAGAAAATAGCATCATGAAATTTTGAATATTATAATTTCATTTTTGTTTAATATAAGTAATACACATTTTGAACAATGAATTACTTAAGTAAGGTTTGTTTCTTTTTTTGTTCTAAAGCAGTTAAAGAAAAAAGTATATCAGCATTAAGAAACTCTTGATTGATAAGATTGCTCCAAAAAATTGTTTTATAAATTTCATATATGGCAATTTTGATTGGCGTGGTAAAAATACCATGCTTGGATGAATTTAAATGAATATTTATTTGTATTTGATTTATTTATATTTTGTAAATTATTAAGAGCCATAAAAGATACAAAATAATTATGCCTTTTCAAGAATTGTCTCTTTAAAAAATTTAAAAAAACTATATTTAGATCTAGAAAAATCTAAGGATAGAAAGGATTTTATTGTAATAAGATTGCCCAAATGTTAATTTAAATAAGTAAATCAGTTTATAATTAATTCCTCTATCAGATATGTGATATAATAGACACATTTATTTAAAATTGTGTTTATTCAGTTGTAAATTAGTTGTAAATAATCAATTTAGTTTGGCACATTTGTCTAGATGAAGATTTGCTTATGGAATAATAAATATATAAATTTATTTTAACAAGATAAAGATAAATTAGATATGATCAGCTTTTAGAAGAGAAACTTATGCAAACATTTTAACACTAAATTAACAACATCCAGGGCAATGGAAAAAGTAAGTGTATGCCATCATTAATATTTTAATGCCATCATACGGATTCATAGATATACTGGGTAAAATAAAAATAATTAATTTTAATTACTGTATTACATTAAGCAAATTTGAGCTTTTTGAACTCAAAAAATCGTTAAGATATAAATATTTTTGTGATCAGCTTCACTTATTTAAAAATTTTAGACATTTCATTTATAAAATTAGAAATATTTTTGTTAAAAAAAATTAATTAAGCCACATTACTCTATGTACAAGGAGAATACTGAAATACAGCAATAAATTAAATTAATGAGTGGTGATTAGTTACCGTTAATCGATATTTATTTAGAAATCATGAGATGCGGTCTGGTGTGATGTAGGTTTCAGAAAAAAAATTTTTTTATCATGCCAACGTTTCGATCTTTATTGAGATCATCTTCAGGGCCTGGGATTTACAAACATTGTTTACATATAACAATTACATTTTGGATGTGGAAAAGTGAATTTATACAATGCAAAATATATTTTTTATATATTCAATCAAAGTATTTCTGAAGATGATCTCAATAAAGATCGATACGTTGGCACGATAAAGAAAATGTTTTTCTGAAACCTACATCACACCAGACTGCATCTCACGATTTCTAAATAAATATTAAATTAATGACTTCAATGCATTCCTGTACACAAAAGTATTCCTCAATTTTAACATTTTTACATTACACGTTGAACCAGCACTGGGGCACTCACTAACGCAAGCTACACTACTGTCTTATTTTCATTTTCTTTCAAATAGCTGACGTTCCTCATTCCTCCTATCAAAACCTTTTGAGTAACATTAAAACCTGTAAACTAAGACCCAGTTAGTGAACCAGTGTCGGTTCAACATGTGTTCAGCAGATCAACATGCACCATCAAATTTTGTCTTTATGCAAAATTTTGTAAGATGGAAATAAGTCATGTACTTATTTTGATATAAAAGTAAATATGCAAAAAAATGACTAGAAATACAAAAAAGTAAATAAAAAAGGCACATAAATCTAATACATATATTGTTAATTTATTAGTAATCCTAATTTTCCTTCATTTTCAGTTGCTAGTAATTCTACTTGTCTACATTTGCCCCATCACATTTATCTTCGGGGAAAAAAATAATTATACAAATGATTTCAATTGGATCCCCGATGTGTATTTCATTGAAATTAAAGTTGATCCTTTAGTCAAAATTCCTTCATTTTGTGGCAATGTTAGCATTGACGGAAAGACCACAAAAGCAAACGCCCAACTGCATTTACACAGCCGAGTTAATATAACAGAAGCAAGTATAATGATCAATGGAAAAAGTAAAAAAATTGACTTTTACAAAGAGGAATATAACGGGCCAAATGACATCATCACATTGAACACAACCGATCGCCTTCGAGCAAATCAGTATTTCACTCTGCATTTAAAATTTTGTTCTGTTTTAAGTGAAGGCGAAGGCCCAATATATTTCATTAGAGAAATTGAAGGAAACAAATTGAAGAGGTAAATCTTTCAGATTATTAAGCAACACCAATTGTAGAAGAAAAAACTAGTTGCAATATTAACAAATGTACAATTAACATAAAGCAGTCAACTAGTCAAGATTTAATCCTGTTTATATAATTCTTTCAGACCATTAATTGGCACAGAATTTTATTCTCATGGTGCAAGATCATTATTCCCATGTATTGATCTTCCTCGGTTCAAAGCTAATTTTCAGCTGAAGTTATCCTCAGAGTCAGATATTCACACAACTTTGGCGAACATGCCCTTAGAAAAAAATCTAGATGAAGAGTAAGCATGAACATTTAAATTTATCATATGATATTTGTACCAGGATGTATTTTCAGTTATAACGCCACCATGCTATTCTATCAGAGTTCACCGATGATTACTACGTCCGTAGCTTTTATCATGTTTAACAGTGACTTTGAGTGTAAAGTCCTCCCAGACAGTAATACAATTTGCCACTACTCAAAGACACAAAAAAATATTGAATATCTTGAAGAAATTATTTCCAACATGCAACTCAAAATAGAGAAGTTCTTATATTTATCGCATTCTCTCCCTAAGATTGCTCATATCTTGATAGGAGAAGATAGGACTGATTTGACGGAAAGTCGGAGCCTCATTAAATGGAGGTGATTTTAAAAATTTTTTTATTGTTGTCAATCAATTTGTATTACTCAAAAATCTATCATTAAGGTTGATTTAAAAAAAAATCCACATATTAATTTTCAGAAATGATTATTTGAAAGAAAGAAACATTATGACAATTGATAAAGAGTTATTATTTCGTGAAAGAGTTGCAAATAAAATAGCCAAGCAATGGTTTGGAAATCTTGTAACTCCCAGGTACTGGTGTTACCGATGGGTTAATGATATTTTAGCAAATTATGTTGCAAAAATTATTACTGCTCAGGTAAAGAATCTGGTGATAAATAAACATTATTAATTTTTCATTGAGATTTAATTTTAGTCGTACACAAACTCCAAGGCTCTTGAATTCTTTATTGCTAACAAATTTTCTCGTTCAATGGAAAAGGAAATTTCTTATCCAAGTAAAAGAGATGAAACACATTGCCATGAAAATGACACAACGGTTTTACCGTATGAATACGACAATTATGAAAAAGGTTTTTTTTAACAAATATTGAACACAAAAAATTATTTTATTATTATTGTTATTGTTTAGGGGCAGCAATTTTGCATATGTTTGTATCCAGTGTAATGTCAGGAAAAGAGTTCCGCAAAGCGTTGAAAACTTACATTAATAATAAGTTAGTATTTTCATAACCACACATCATTTTTAATAATTTAATTTCGTAAACTGAGTAATTGAAATGCATACACTATTAAAATTCAACTTTCGCAATTGATTAAATTATTTTTTTATAGCATGTACTTCCCAGTGACTCCTGCGGAATTATGGAAAGCTATGGAAATGAACTTAAACAGGGCTTATCGTAATAAGATTAACAAATATATAAACTTAGATGTACTTATGAAATCATGGACTGATAACAAAGGATATCCAATATTGTCTGTACACCGTTATAACACATTCATACTTATCCACCAGGTAAATCTCTACCTATCTAAAAAACAAAAACAAAGGTAAAATATTAAATTAAGGCTTTGCTTAATTAAGCCTACATTTTAAGAATTTTACACAAAAAAACTGTCATTGTGTAGAAAAGAATTATAGACAATCATGACGATTCACAATATACATATTGGTGGATTCCAATTACATATACTACATCAAAAGAGAAGGATTTCACAAATACGAAGATCAAGCAATGGATGATGCCAATGGGTGACTACCAGATTATAAATAGCATTTACCACATCTCTGCAAACGAATGGATTATATTCAATATTAGAAATACTGGTATTGTTCTGATTAACGTTCCATTCAATTATTTTTAATGAATAATAATACATTTTCAGGCTTTTATCGAGTTCAGTATGATTTGCAAACGTACAAACTATTAACGCAACATCTAATGGAAAAAGATATCAACGATATCCATCCTCTGAATCGTGCACAGTTAATAAGTGATGCATATGAACTGGTGAAAGCAAATTACATTGAAATCGACATACTTTTGAATTTGTTGAAATATCTCGAGAAAGAAACACATTTCCTGCCATTTTGTGCTGGGGTTGATGCCATTTTGAACATTATGAAATATAAATCAGTAGAGATACAAAGAAAATTGAATGTCAGTTGAGTTGAGAACAATATTAAATCAATATCCTCGTTTATCCTTCTCAATAAATTATGTTTATTTAGAATTTTTTAGGGAAAATAATCAATCAAGCTTACAAAACAATAGTATCGACTAATTTCAACTATTCACATGTAATGAATTATATGTATAAGATGAAGGTTGTTCAAACGATTTGTTTTTTAAATTTCAAAGACTGTACACTGCATGCAAATCAGTTATCACAAGCTATTGTGGCTAATTATAAAAATGAATTGTCGTAAGTTCTTAAAGCACAACAAACTTCTTACAATTCAAAGAAAATTAAGATTGTAGTTAACAATAAATTTTCAGAGTGATTCCAGATTTACAAGTTACTATGTGGTGTAATATAGTAAAAAATGATAACTTGAAAGCCATAGACTTCCTTCTTAAACGAATTGGAGATTGGCACACCCCTCAGAGTTTAATGGAAATATACTTAGAATCATTAAGTTGCTCATCTAAAGCTGAAATTCTAAGCATGCAAGTATCTTACATTGTTTCCAATTCAGACTAACAATTTTGGATTTTATTCATTTATCCAACTCCTATTATTATTTGGTTGAGTTTTAATACTAATTTGTCCCTGGATGGGAATATCTCGTGAATTTCACAACTTCTTTTTCTTCACTTTTTATTACCTGTACATATTTTGGGAACAATGCAACCCTTTCAATGTTTGTGAGATTTTGGAAAAGTTAGTCCTGCATTGGATCAAAATTCGTATAGGGAATAAAAAAGTGAAGGAAAATAGATTAAAGGATAAATGTATTATTGTATTTTTGTTTAACTTGACTAATATATATGTTTAACATTGAACACTATCCCAATAAACTAGGTTCCAGCATTGATCATGCTGTCAAAAGTTTTATTTTGTTTCATTTCTTCTAGAGTAATCCGTAGTATTTGGTTCAAGAAACGAGTATATCAACATGAAGAAACTCTTTTGATTGAAAATATTGCTCCAAAAGATTATGATTGTGTTCTAACAAATTTCTTACATGACAATATTGATTGGCTTATTAATAAGTACTTACTTTGAATTACATTGTTTTACTTAAACTACAGTTATACAAATTTTTATATTATTTTTTTTTCTTTTATTAACAGCCATGGAAGAGACAAAATAATATTGTTCATTAAAAGATTGTCCCCTAGAATTAGGACCTCTAAGTGTTTCGACCAGGTCATTATTTAATAGTAATAATTTTAAAATGATAGAATATTAAGATTTTTATTTTTACAAACTTTGTTGTAGCTGTTATTCCTAAGTGATTCAAGAAATATTGCATTACCATCTTTACAGTCGATTTTTAACTCATCGTTAGAAAGAAACATTACCAAATGGATCGATGAACAGAGCAAACAATATTTTCTTTATAAACCATTCGAATTTGGATGTAGTGAAAATTTGAACAACAATATGTTTTACAAACACACTGATCACAATTTTTTTAACAACACATTACTCTAGTTTTATTTGTTGTAAGACAAATATTTTATATGTATATAAAATATTTAAATAAAAATGTTGTCACTATGTTTATTCAATTTTTTTGAATTTTTATGTTAAATTTATTTTATATTGAATAATTTGTGGTGTTTAGGGACCGTTAGTCAATGATTATTCGAAGATCATGAGATGCGGTCTGGTTTGACATAGGTTTTAGAAAAACATTTTCTTTATTGTGCCAACGTATCGATCTTTATTGAGATCATCTTTAGGACTCAAAGAGTTTATTTTCTGTGTGAGTGCCCAAACTCTCAACACGACACACAAGAATGACACAATTACGTAGAAAACAAACACTTTCAGCACTGAAGATGATCTCAATAAAGATCAAAACTTTGGGACGATAAAGAAAATGTTTTTCTAAAACCTATGTCACACCAGACCGCATCTCACGATCACTGAATAATCATTGAATTGTGTATTGAACTTAAGTCTCATTTTGTTTGCTCATTTATTAAAAGCCTAACATTATGTTGAACCAGCACTGGATGTATTTCTAGATTCCTCTTACTCCTGGGTTTCATTCAAACGTATTTCAGCTTTGCACCATCCTCAGTGAAGAACTATAAGATCATCTCCCTATACATAAAGTATACAATCATGGTAAGTAAGTCAGTAAGTATTATTCTGCTACATCCCTTTTACAGTACACATTCAATGCTAAAAAATGAAACATGGGGCCAAGAATCGCACTGCTCGCTAAAAGTAAAATCCTATCATACAGGAGGGCTTAACACCCCAAAAACTACCCCTTGTGCTGGATGTGGGTCAAACAATTTCACAATCAAATTTTATCAAATTATTAATAATTAAAAAGTTAAATACCTGCCAGGAATGAACCTAGAACTGCTAGAAGTAACAGGAAATTATTTCAAAGCTGAAACCCATTTGAATGAATCCAACCCAAGGATAACATCCACCATCAGCCTAATATCCACTTTTATAAAAAACAAGAGGTTTTTTTCTCTCTAAAATATAAATTGGTAATGAGAGAAGTAATGAGAATTCAGGTAGGAAAACCGATTTGAGGAAAACAAAGGATTTTTACTTAAAGCAATATTTTGTTTTAGAATGCTGTATAAAGCAACTATTCATTAAAGTTTGTGTCTCAAGAGTTTTTATTGTCTTTTAATTTTTTAATTTGTCATCAAAAAATTGTATTTAGTACAGAGTAATAAATTTACTTTTAAACATCACAAATTATATCTTCACTGATACATCACACAAAAAGTTAATAATCTTATAGACACCGGGGTTCCTGGCAGACAGCAGAGCTCTCCATTACACCGTCTATCCCTTCCTTCTGCAAATCCTCATAGACGTATTTTCTGGCTGATGTATATTTGTGACAGTGAAGCATTATGTGTTTAAAGTCCTCCTTTACTCCACCGTCTCACAATTGGGGTGTTGTTTCCTGCCAATGCCGTGTTAGTTCTTAATCAATGTATGGTGGTAATCTCGTCATGATCAGGTTGCTAAACCATGATTTTATTTTCATAAGAAGAAAAAGTATCTTGCAAGCCATTCCCTTGTCTGAAAAAGTATACACAGTTTGCCTATTTGGTTTTTTCGTTTCTAAAAGTTGGAAAAGATCAGTATAGTGAATGTTTCTAGTGTTGCAAAACTGTGTAGCATATTTAGCCAGGGTGTCAGCTTGCCCATTACCATAAAGACCCATGTGACCTTTAATCCACATGAAAGAAACTCTTTTTTATAATAGATAAATTATAAACAATCTTTTTAATGTCAGCTACAATTTAATCAATAATCTTTAATATAATCTCAAGAGTTAATCCCCACTATCAAAAATTCATTTATACTACTCTCATGTTTTTAAATTTTTCTACATTTGAAAAAAAATTTCATAGTTAATAATCCAAAATTAACACGGGGGGGGGGGATTGCAATGGTTTAGGCATTGACATTGTGATCATCACTGTAAAGTAAAGGTCCTGGGTTTGGTTATTGGTGACTGCTAGTGATTTATTTTAAATTATACAAAAGCTGGAATTGCTGGCGAGCTGCAAGAAGTTCAACTGTGTATACACTTGTGTATGTATATGCGTGTGTAGATTTGTGTTTTTTTAGATCTGTAATCCAATTTTCTGTTATTGTTTGTAAATAAATATAATTTTGGCTAAGAAATATTATTGGTTAAAAAAATCTACTGTCTAATTGAATTATATAATTGTGTAATTTTCCTTTATTCTAGTGTTCTTAATACAACTTTTAATTGTTCAATAACTTTACATGTTTTAAGGATACACTAAAATTAACAAAGCAGATTTTAAAAGTTAACATGTTTTAAAAAGAAAAAAGTAACTAAGAATATTATTCAGATGAGGTCTCCGATGGTATTTTAAAGAAATCTATTCCACGCTGTTTTAAAAAAGAATTATTATCGAGTGAACCTTCATCTTTAGGAATCGGTAAATCAGACAAAAAGTATTTTGAATCCTGGCTCTGAAACCATCTGTATGCAGTAACATTTTTTTTCTCATCGAATTTAGGCAACACCACAAACCCTCTTTCCTTGGCAAATTGACGCATCTACAATGTAATATTTAGTTAAAACCGATTAAAATCAAATTAAGTTTATTTATAAAGGTACCAACCAAAATAACACATATTGGTGTTTTTGTATGAAGAGAAAGTTTCAATAGTCGATTTGCTACATTTTGCCAGCCATGACTTAAAATCAAATTGCATTGTCATTTTAATTATTATTGATATTAATTATTATTATCATAAAAATGAAGGTTTACAAGGGCAAAAAGCTTACCGAGTAATAAGTTTGTCAATGTTGCCAGTAATGTAATTCATGATAACACATTTAGAGTCTTTGGGAGCGAGGTTAAATATGAGTGTAGTAAAACCATCCTGATTGCCACTGTTGAAAACCCAATCTATAAATCTGAAATAAACTATAGCTATAACTCCTATAGCTTTGTTTTTATGTTACTTATGAAGTAAAAGCTCATGACTATTATTTAATCATAAATTACGCTATAATAAATTTGCTGAATGTTGTATTAAATGTGCAATTTTTTTGTGTAAATTATGTGTGGATTTTTTGTAACTATTTCTAAGCTTCAACTTTATTTATCTAAAATTTTATGTTTATATAAATTTATATTTAGATCTGTTATTCATTTTTTTTTCTTTTATAATCTTCAATAATATTTAGGACTCACTTGTAAAGTACATTCCGATTTTTAGAGCAAGCCAACGCGTTTGAATATACTTTTGTTAACAGTTGTGAAGTGGATGGTGAATTTAACTTTTTCAAAAGATAATCAGGGATAGTCTGATTATTGCTTCTTATGGCAGAACACCATAAAGTTGTCCTTAACTCTGGAATTATACTATATTCTTAATTATGCATTAGCATGTTACCTGCAAGCAAGATCAAAGATCAATAATAATTAGTACTTACGATACTTCTGACTTTTCACCCTTGATAACAGCATTTGCAAGCAATAATGCTTGCTGAACACATTTTGGAAATTTGAGTTCACAAGCCATATCGACAATTTCAATTTTATAGCGATAATTTGCGATATCGTTTATACTGAAGTTTGTTGATGTGACACGATCATAAGCCACACTTATTATCTTTTTGATATAATTCTTGAAAATAAAAGTGCACGATTACATTCACAATGGACAAGAAAAAATTTAGCAGATGAACTGACATGGATGGAATGGGTCGATGGTATTTCTCTATGTTCTTTTAATAGTTTTTTAAAATGAACCAATGCTGCATGAAACGGAGCAAAATGTGTTTCTTTACTCATATACTTTGTCAGATTTAATGGCACATCGATGTCAATATATTTCTGAAAGGCTAGGTCAAATGCATCATTTATTATTTGTGCACGATTCAATGGATGAATAACATTAATATCATTTTCTATTAAATGGTGCGTCAAAAGTTCGTATGTTCTCGGATCATACATAACCTTGTAATATCCTAGAAAATTATTTTTTAAAACAAAAGTCATTCATAAAAAGAAGTAAAACAATCAACACAATAAGACCTGCATGTTGAATGTTCAATATAATCCAATCATCTTGGAGAATATGAACATCTCTTAATTCTTCATACATGCAAGTTGGCTTTATCCATTGTTTGACACTAGTATCTCTAAAATTTGGCTTTGATGAAATTGTATAAGTTATTGGAATCCACCAATAATCAGATTGTCCACAAGCTGTCCTCGATTTATTTTTTTCAGTAAATCTTTCCTGAAGTGTTTTTATTATATTTTATTTTTTAATTCTTTAAGATTAAGTATAAAGCAGCAATTTTTTAATAAATTTTTTGCATTTGCTTTTAATATACCTGACGAACGTATATTTTGGACGAGTTGCGTTGAACAAATACTAATGGGTAGCCTTGGTTGTGAGTCCATGTTTTCATATAATATTCCAAGGAATTTTCTTTATAAAGATCACGCAGAATGGACCTATCAATATTCATCTCCATTTCCAACCATAAATCCTTCTCAACAACGGTGCTATACTGGCTGTAAGTTTTATAAATAAAACAACAACCATCAAACAACGAATTTGAAAAATTTTCTTAAAAATTTCTCACAAAGTTCTAAGATAATTTTGCAATGCCTGCTGAAATTTGCCCGTTGGCATTATAGTTTTTGCGACCATATGTAGAATAGAAGCTCCTGAAATCAGTCATAAACAGTTTTTAAAAGATAAATCATAACTACATACCATGTCTACCTTTTTTATAAAAACTGTACGACATGATCAATTGTGGTTTATTCTCCTCTGAACAATACTTTTTATTTACTAATGTGATTGGTTGAAGAATCTCAACCAACATTGGATCCCACATCTCGTCAACAACAAAGAATTCGAGTGTTTTGGATTCTGGAAATATCTAAGCATTCTAATGTTAATTTCATTGATGCGAACATTAAATTGTTGACATTACCTTGTCCACAATCAAATTTTGGACATATGTAACTACACCCTCATTAAGCCAAATATAACACCAGAATTTACACGTGACCAAATTCCCAAACCACTGGTGTGCTATTTCATGTGCAACAAACTCAAATAAGTACAACTTATCTTTGAGCGTCTTTAAGTCTTTTGATAAAAATAAATTATTTCTAAAACAAATTGTGAAGCAATAATAAGTAAAATATATATTAATACATTTTTCAAAATAAATTGTGAATCAAAATTAACACTTAAAAAAACACTTTAAAACACTTGAACTATAATCATGACATTTTTAAATATTCTCTAACTTCAAATTTAAAAAATAAAAATTATCTTTGAACTTAAAACACTAAATACTTCACAAATTTAGTCATGTTAAAGAAATTTATAATACTTTTTTCTTAAGTTATTGTTACCTCCATGTTATAAGTCCCCAGCTCTCCATTCCAACTGCTTCCTTCTTTCCAATAACAATTTGATCAAGTTTAGGGAGCATATAAGGTATGTTTGTGAAATTAGCGACGCTATTTCTTATGATCGGAATAACTGACAAATGATCCTTGAAATGTTCTTTCTCTTTTGAAAAAGAACAAAACTGGTTTTCTTCCGGAAGCATTTCACATTGTATATCCTTTCCGAACATTATGAAAGCCACTATATAAGTTGACATTTTAGGAGTCTGGTAGAAAACATGGTTTCTAATTTGATTGCTACAAATTCATAATTTATGATATATAATATTTTCGACAAAATTAATTGAATACTAACTTCTGTGTATCTGTTTTAAGTGGCATGTTAGAAAGAACGGTATATTCTTTATTTGAAGCTATTTGAATCTGTATGTTAGCTTTAAGCCTTGGTAAATCAATACATGGAAAAGCTGATCTAGCTCCAAATGGTTGGAACTCTGTGGCCAATGTAGGCCTGAAAAGGAGTAAAGTAAAAAAACTCTAGGAACTCAAGTTTAAAGATTGTTTAAACATTTTTTTTAAATTTAATATAAATATTTAATTAATAGTAATTCAAAATTATCTTAAATTTGATAATATACTATAGAAAATGAACTATTCTTATTAAAATCTACCTTGACAAATTGTGTCCATTGATTTCTTCTATTAGATAGACTGGATCATAGTTTGTAGTTAGAGCACCATAGAATAAAAGTGTGAGAGTAAAATATTGATGAAGGGCCAATGTTTTATCCAAGTACAGCGTCAGTATGTCATTTGTTGTATTAGAAACTGCTTTTTTAACATTGATCTCTGAACTGACCCCATTGACTTGTAAAGATCCGCCTACTAATCTGACTTTGCTGTGTAAATACAGGTAGTTCGTTTCTTTTGTGGTCATTCCTTCCATTTTTGCTTCACCGTAGAAAACATTCCACCCTTTAAATATTTCCTTGATGCTAATGTAATACTTTTCCGGGAACCAGAGAAAATCAAAAATATAGCGATCATCTTCATCAATATCATCAATGTTATTGTCATTACTCAGAGCTGACTGAACTTTACATACAAGACATATGATAGTCAATGCCTAAAATATATATTAATTAAAATAAATTTATTAATAATAAGTAGTTCATTTATATATTCGTTTCAGTTATGTATTATTCACATTTATATGTCACTTGGATTTTAATTTAATAACATCTCACTTCTAATCACTTATTTTTGTATTCAGAAGAATTTTATTAACTATTTATATCAACTTACGATTTTCATTGCTTGGTAGTTTACTATTGTTAGAGTTACCTAAAATTAAAACAATTTTATTTTGTATGAACCAAATAGAAAAAATACTCCAAAATTACCGTAGTTTCTAATTTATATTTGGTTTTTAGGTACTTTATCAACACACTTAACTTACATCATAAATTGATATAAAATAAACAGATTTACAATAATTTTTATGTAGCAAAGATAGATTAGATAATTATATAAAATCAATTTGTAAAAGGATAATCAAATTACTATTTTGCTATTATCCCAAGGATAATCAATTGTACATGTCAATATTACAATGTGAATTGCGAAAATAATCAGTTATCACTGTCAATTTTATGATCTATACATTTTATAGTCTATGAATAATTTTTTTAAATGTAAAAAAGCATAAAATAAAATTTAAAGAGTTAATTAATTTTTTAGGATATGTGAACAATGTTTGTTTATTCTCTGAAAATTCTTATATAAGGAGAATGGAAGAGTGTTTTAAAATATTTATCAAATCTAGGAGCTACAAAAGTGAAAAGATTGAAAAAAGAGACAATAACTGATCAATTCTTGCTGATTATTATTATAAACTACAATTGAAATATTATGGAAAATTAAAAAATGGCTAGTTAAAAAAGATATAAACAATTTGTATTATTTTGCCGTTTTCATTGATTTATTTTTATACACTGTTTGACTAAGGGGACTGCAGTGGCCAATCAAATTTGCCACGCATAAGGTTCAGAGTCCATAACTTTTTAATTGAAAATATTATGGAAAAAGTATATAATATTTTACGTTAGGTTTACTTTTACAATGGGTAGTTGGTCGTTAAACCCTCCTACATGTCAAGAATTTCTTTACTTACTTTACTTTATATATTTTAGCTAATATATTGGGTTGTCCGGAAAATAATGCAGGATTTTGGTATTAAACAAAAAAAAAGAAACTAGTTACTTTAAAGCAATGTTCTTTAATCAAAATAATTTCCCATACTCTCAATACATTTCTCCCAACGTGTTGGTAACTTATTAATTCCGTCTGAGTAGAATTCAGAATTTTTAGAATTGATAAAGTCAATAAATGCATTTTCCAGTTCCGTTTGATTTTTGAATATTATGTGTTGTAAGTAGTGGTCCAGGTGTCTAAAAAAATGGTAGTCAGTAGGCGAGAGGTCCGGAGAGTAGGGTGGGTGAGGCAAAGTTTCATAGCCAAGCTCCAATAATTTTTGTGACGTTACACGTGACACATGTGGTCGAGCGTTGTCATGCAACAAAATGGGCCCTTTCCGATTGACCAAAGAGGGCTTCATTACTGCCAATTTCTGATGCATGGTATTAATTTGGTTACAGTATGATTCAGCATTGATGGTTTCGCCAGGATTTAAGAAGCTGTAGTGTATTAAACCAAATGAAGCCCACCATACCGTAACCATTACCTTTTTTTGATGAGTTGGGGGCTTTGGAGCTTCTCCTTTGTCGAGCCACTGTCCAGAACGTCTAGTGTTATCGTAGAGAATCCACTTTTCGTCACATGTAACAATTCTGGCCAGAAATGGGTCATTTTTGTTTCGACAAAGAAGTGATGCACAAACATCAAAGCGCTGATTTTTTGGCGATCGTTTAATGAGTGTGGAACCCAATTTTCGAGTTTTTTCACTTTTCCAATCGCCTTGAGGTGGTCAGCGACGGTCGTTTTACTGACTTTGAGTTGCTCTGCAAGTTCTCGAACAGTTGTTTTGGGGTTTTCTTCCACCACTGATCGCAGAACATCATCATTAAGAGAGGAAGGCCTTCCACGACCTTCTTCATCTTCAAGGCTGAAATCTCCCTCCCGAAATTTTTTAAACCACCTTTGCACAGTGCACTCATTAACACAACCCTCGCCCCAGACTTGGTTAATGTTTCTAGCCGTTTGGGCTCCGCTTCGGCCGAGTTTAAACTCGTAAAAGAAAATCGTACGAAATTCTCGCTTTGACATTATAAGGATGACTGAATTATTTCCAAGTTACGGAATGCTACAGAGGTAAACAAACAATATCATTTGGAAGAGGATTAATAAGTGTTGACATTCATACAAATGAGTAATCCTGTAAACGTAAACAGAATATTTTATATAGATTTTTTTTAATGAAAACTTAAAATCCTGCATTATTTTCCGGACAACCCAATATAAGAGGAAGGATAATAGAAAATACATATGATTAATTAAGCTTTAACTTTTTTTAATGCTTATTAAATATTTTAAAAAGTTGTTCTAATGTCAATAAAATCTTTGGTGTGATATAATTATAATCCACTTACCCTTGGAAAAGTAAAATAAAGTAATTCCTGTCATGTAGGAAGGTCCAAATACCCATAAGGGGTTGCAGTTGAAGAATCAAATCACTTTACTTTTTTTTAAATTATGATCAATTAATGATTAAAATTCCATGGGCTATTCCAGGATATGAACCTTGAACCACTAGCATATGTATGAGTCAAATGTCCTAACTGGCAACTATAGACCTCTTAGTCTTGAAATTGCATTGGCAATATTAGGGAAAAAATATTAGTAGGAAATTGAAAAAAGTTTCATCTTTTTTACTATTAAAAATTGCAATTAATTAAAGTTTTTAGTTGAGATAAAAAAGTCAATGGCATGAGCGGGATTCGAACCCACGATCTTCGGCTTGATACGCCGCTGCTCTACCACTTGAGCTATCGTGACATCGATCCACTCGGACATCAACTTCCCATCTCAACCGCACCTTTTGAATTTTCCCTCCTTTTTGCCATTTTTGGGTGGTAGAGCAGCGGCGTATCAAGCCGAAGATCGTGGGTTCGAATCCTGCTCGTGCCATTGACTTTTTTATCTCAACTAAAAACCTTAATTAATTGTAATATATTAATTGGTCAAGCGGACCACGAAATTAGGGAATTAAAAATTGCTTTGAACAAATAAAAGGGGAACGCAGTGTTAGAGCAACCGACTATTTGCCAAACTCGCAGTTTTGGGTTCTAATCCTGGTGAAGAGGATTTTTTGGGATTTTTAATTTATATTAGTATAAATAAATTATTGTAAAGTGGTTGGACGTTAACTCCTCCTATTCCAAAGGAATTACTTTACTAAGTTTAAACAGATAATTAAAACATGGTTTTGTATACTTTTTTAGTCAAAAATAACATGAATATTTATAATAATTCATATTGTCTAAAGACAACTATTTTTATATAAATCACGTACTTGATATTTATATTCGTAATAGTTTGCCAGTCTGTGAGATGTTCAATCGTAAAATTATTTCCGACATACGTAAAAAAAATGAAAGAGTAATAAGGCATGTATAAATAATTAAAAATGAAACACAAATTATATTTAGGATTTACAAAAATCAGGTCATTTTTATAAATCTTTAACACACAAAAAATTAAACCTATAACATTGTACATTTTATTTATATCATGCTTTCAAGAGATAGGTCAAAAAATGTATTCTGCGGTTTGTAGAAAACATTGCTCAATATTATACCTTCACTTAAGGTTGAGGTGTTATCAACAAACTGAACGTTTTCTTTTCCTAGCCATTTTTCCATTTGATTACATAGATGTGTGTGGTCTTCAGCATAAATATTGTTAATGTGAATCTTAACATCTTTACTATCAGCTAGTTGTACAAGCTAAAACAAATTTATTAGAAAATTAAACTTAATTTTTTTATTCTTTTTAAGTAATCTTAATTACTAAAAATAGTTTTTTTTTCTCTATAAAAAAAATATTTAAGACCAGGGCTGGTCTTAACCATGGAAAAACCAACCTACAGACCGACAATAGTGGACAAACAAAATTTCAACTTACAATTAGATAGAAAAAATTAACACAATTCCAATTTCAATATAAGTAAATACACAATATCAGTGTGATATAAATTTCATTCAAATAAAAATATGTTTTAAATTATAAATACAAAAATACCTTTTTCAAACATTCTTCATCAGTAATATGATCCGCTATTGATATTAGTATTTGTTTTGCTATTTTATCTCCATACCTAATTTAACAAAAACAAATCAAAAGGTGAAACTTTTTGAAGACAATATACCTTTTGCCAACTTACCTTTGAATTACTTCCGTATAATTTGTTGTTAAAAAATGTATTAAAGTACAATTTTTATCCGAAGGAACTACTTCTGTCACTAAAAAGTTTATATCATTTTTTGTAATGATTTTTTTTGTAAATATATGCAGCAGTACACTAAAATTGAAAAAAAGATAATCAAAATATTTGAAAAAAACAACTCAAACGTAGCCAACCTAAACATTGCATCTGAATCGTTAGCACAAAGTAAGGCATGTGCATATACATCAGTAATAATAGGCGGAGTTGTTGTAGAAAAGTCTACCTTATTTGTTAAGTAATTTAAAACAGTTTTATTTCCAGTCTTAACAGCAGTGCACCACATTGTTTTCCTTAGCTCCGGAACAACACTAGAAAATATTCAAACACAGAATCACATTTACTGAAAAATGATTAAAAAATACTGAATATTTTAATCTTTAATTACCCATATTCATTCCATTTATTTTTTATAATACTAAGTGTGCCCGATTTTGCTTGGCGGACGCAGTGTATAATTTTTAATTTGCATGCCAACTGCACAACTCTTGATTTGAACATATAATTTGCAACTTCATATTGCTTGAAATTCGAAGATTTTACATAATAATAGGCATCAATTATTAGATACTTCATGTAATCCTATAATACGAATAATTAATTACAACTTTATTGCAAGTAATAAAATATTAACTTGCATTTATTTTTGGGTATAGCGTTGTTCCAGCACAAGCCTCAGCTATTTTTTCGAGTTGAAGCATTCCACGATCAAAGGGTAGGTAATGTCTTTCCCTTTTAAGATATTTTGAAAGGTTTAATGAAATATCAAAATTTATAAAATGATTTAAACCTAAATCAAAAGTTTCATCAACCAATTGCGCTCTATTTATAGGATGAATATCGTCTATATTTTCAGTCATCAAATGTTTTATTAAAAGATCATACGTTAAAGTGTCATATACAACTCGATATAAACCTAAAAATGAAGGTGTCAGGTTGATTAATTGAATATAAGGAACTTGATGAATACAATAGGTACCGCTATTCTGTAAATTTAAAATAATCCACTCATCATTTTGTACTGCAACATCAATAAATTGAGATTCATTATTTGGTTTTAACCAGTATTTTAACCGTAAATCATTAAAGTTCTTTTGTTTCATTGTCGTATACGTTAAAGGTATCCACCATTTATGTTCTTTATATCCCTCTGAAATTGAGATCTACCGACAAAACATGAGTGTTCTTATAAAGTTTTGATACATTTTAAATCACATTAATTACTGCATAAACCTTAATTAAGTGTATTTACTATACTTAAAACTGCTGATTGATTTGTGTGTTTATAAGAATGTATTTTTCACAAGTTAAAAAAATAATGCTTCTTAATGTTGTCTTATTCAACAGAAAATATAGTGATAAAATAATTGTGAGCATACCTGATGAGCATTTATCAGTCCATCTTTTGATCTTGAAATAAATACCACTGGATATCCTTCGTTTTCAAACCATGGGCGCATCAGCGAAGTAAATAATTCGCCAGTAGGAGTCAATATTTTTGCCGTTTCGTCAAATTGGCTTTCCAAAGCTCTCCACAGGTGTCTGTCAATTACAGAACCATGTTTACTAAAAAAAAAAAAAAACATAAATAAATAAATTAAGTATGAAATGTGTAAATATATTTTTAGCAAAATTTTTGCAAAATATCATACTTGTCTTGAACATATTTCTTAAGGCCTTGCATGAACGTTTCCAATGTCATTATATTGTTGGCAACCATTTGTAAAATAGCGGCTCCTAGTAAAAAGTATTTGCTTTAAAGATTTTATATTTTTTAAAAAAATATTAATTTTATTTGATTTTAAGTGATAGTTCGATTATCTAGATAAATCTTTAGACATGACCATCCTCCTTCTTCTCAGAAATTTAACTATTTGATTTTTTATATTAATTTATTTTATACAGCTCTTAGAACAACATAATTTTTTTACATAATAAAAGTTGTCCAATATGAGAAACATATTTTTTAAGTAAATATTAATATTGTGATATTTGTAGGTATCAGTGATGAATATCGTTACTTGCAAAATAAATTCTGCCATATAATATTAATATTTACCTTTATAGTAATGTTCTGGTTCGTAATCCCAATAATAATAATTTACCTCGTTGCAATCATACAAGTTTTGCAACACACTAGGATTATGAAGCTCATTGCTCATCAAAGTCAATATCTGAGAAACTGTGTACAACCCTTGAAGAGACAAATTTGGGTACATCTGAAATTTAAAAAAAATATATATATTTTTGCATTATTTAACTAATTAGATTTAATTACATGGTCCATCATTAAAGTAGTTATGTAGGTTGTAACACACTCATTAAGCCACGCATAACACCAGTACTTGCAAGTAATTAAATTTCCAAACCACTGATGGGCAATTTCGTGGAACACTAGGTCAATTAAATCAATCTCTTCATCTAATGTCATTAGCCCTTTTTCCTTAAAAATCTGTTCACTAAATAATTATTGAAATTGTGAATAAAAATGACTGGCAGAAAAGGAAAATAATAAGCTGTATCATTTTGCAAAAATGAATACTTGTAAGTAATGAGCCCCCAACTTTCCATTCCACTAACTTCCTTGTCAACCACAAGAACATGATCAAGCTTTGGCAGCATGTACTTCACTCCAGTGATTGATTCCATATTATCTACCACAGTTTTTATGAAATCCATTTTATATTTTAGGCTTTTCTTATTCAGGTTACTATACCATAATGTATTTCTGTTATCAATTGTCAAATTCTGGTAGTCTAAACCGAGCAAGATGACTGACATAGTATATGTGGACATTTTGACTATTGAAGGGGGAAAGTACTCCCACATTTGATTGAGCATACTTGAACTGAAAAAATCAAAGATTGTGTGAAACCGATTGCTGGTTTCAAAGACTTAAACGATTAATCATACTGTCGTATATTCGCTCCGTCACCGGGCATATTGGATAATGCTGTCATCATCGGTGGCTTCGTTGCATTTAGGTCAAACATGGCTTTGAACCGTGGAAGGTCTATGCATGGAAACAATTCTCTTGCACCCATAGGCTGAAATTCTGTGGACATTATGGGTCTGAAATTTAAAAATTTGAGACAAACTGGAATAATTACTACTTATTAAGCATTAAGATGTAAAACAAGCTTCTTTTCTCTTAATCAGAATGAATAAAATTCTGATGGGTCAATATCTGCAAGTGTTATTCTCCATACAATAATAATAATTGTAAACATAGAATAATTAACAAAATCATTAATTTCACTTAAGTAAATGTTATCGTAACTTTTTTAAAGTGCAATGTTTGTTTGAAATTTACAGATTTTATTGTCAATTTGTGTATCTGCCTGCAATCCGTCCACTATTATTGTGAAACCAAAAAAAGTTGTTTACTTAAAAAAAAAACTTATTGTAAAATGTTAAAAATTTTACTAAAATCAAATCAATTTTCCAAGCTAATTTGGATTCTGCTTAAATTCAGAGAACAGATCCTATTAGATGACAATTTAAAATAGTAAATAAATTTAAACAGTATGTAATTTTGAATAAATTAATTATAGAAAACTTAATTATTTAAACAACAAACCTGTAGTGCCCACTGTATGTATCAGTTGAATGAATGACATGTATAGGTCCGGCATGATCTGACAACCTATTGTTATAGTACAAAGTCAGCTTGAACTTATCAGATTTTGCTAAAGGACTTTTCAGCCTCAACTTCAACATGTCGTTCGTTCTATTCAAACTGACCTCTTCAATTTCAATGTGCCTTGATCCTTGTAATAAATACTCGTTCAAAACGTTTACTCTACTGTGAAGAAACAATTCCCGCGTGTATTTTGTCGCTATTCCTTCAATTCTGACAGATCCAGAAAAAAGCTTATTATATTTGCTAACGGCTATCGATGAACCAAAGTCAATCGAGTAAAAAATGGGGTACCAATTGAATTCAAATGACAAATTTTCATCGTGCTCTTCATCTTCTGAAAGGACATTATCAATGCCAAACAGAAGTATTACTGCTAATACCTGAAAATAAAAAACATTAATCCTTGATTTTGTACTTCACAACTTTTTTATTAGAATTAGTTTAGAAACAGAACAGTAACAACATTAAAATGTTTCTAAACAAAGTTTTTTTAATGGCCTTATGAGCTTGCACATTAGCCACTGAACAAAGTTTCAAATCAAACTATAGTAACAAAAAAATTAATTGCCTACTCAATTTCACCTGCTTCACCCTTAGTATTAAGAAAATTGAAATTTCAGTGGTTAACTTTTATAATTTGAAACAAATTCATAATAATAATGTGAAAACTTTTCAAATTATTATTATTGTTATTTAGAGGTAATAAAAGTTTGACAATTTCATTTATCAACTAGTTAATTAAAATTGAGAGAAAACTGTTTAAATAAACAAATATTTATAACATTCTAATTAAAAACATGTTTAAACTTCATTTATTGTTTATTTTTTTAAAAAGAAAACCATACTATATTTATAAATACATACTGTTCTCATGATTTGTAAATTTAAAAAATGTAAATGCCTATTTGACTTCTAAACATTAATCTGTCGAGACAAATGATTGTGGCATCTCGTAAAATTGCAATGTAAGGATAATGGATTATTTGCATCACATTAAAAAAAACTAATAATAAAAATATTTTGTTATGTAAGACAAATTAAATTATTCCGGCAGATGGTCTGTGATCAATGCTTCATGATTTAATTTTTTTGTTATGTTTATCTGTACATAATTTTTTTTTTTAATTAAATTGTACAAATCTTAATTATAGCGTAAAATAGCGTCACAGTTCATAAAAATCATCTCTCATATTAATTGTGCACCACTGTAGGAGATATAAGATAAAAATTTGAAAATTATTACTTAAAAAAGATACATTTTGTTATTACTAAGTGATATAATTACACTATGTAGCTAGTAATAAGTCTTATTGTATAAATGGCCTAGCAGTGATATATACAATAAGCCATTATCAATAATCATTTATAACTTAGTTACATAAATGTTTATAAGATTCTATAACAATAAATTATAAACTTTTATATTTGTGTTTTGTTTTAATAAAATGTATAAAGTAGTAGATCAATTAATGTTTTGTTGAACCAGCATTGTGTCACTGTCATTCAAATATCAGCTTTGTGCCATCTTGAGTGAGGGACTGCCTGTTTTGCTGTTTTAAATAAAACTATTGTAGTGGCTTTCTAGCAGTTCTGGGTAATAAATAAAATAAAAAATAAATAAAAATGGACAAAATAAAAGTTTGCGTTGTTTTGATATTTTTTTTATCTTCCTTCTAGTGTAATATTTTTAAATCCATTAATCAAATACATATAATCTTGATTTATCTTTGACCTGACGATCCCATACTCATTCAACCGTTAAAATATCATAGGAAAACAATATATATATAAAAAACCTTGGCCTACAAACCATTTAATGTATTTTGCAAACAAAATATAATCTGAAAAACAACAGTACAATTTCAACATTTTTTAAAATCCATTATATTTCATGGTCCGGTTGACCAAATAACTTCTTTCAATTAATTAACCTTTTATGTAAGGTGTTGGTTGAAATGAAATTTTTTTTAAATTGTAAAACAAGTTGTTAAAAATGAAAAGAGAATAGTGTATATTTTATATGACTGAAAATTGTCCAACCCTTCACTATCCACTATCAACTGACATTATTTTGTATGCATCCATCTTGTGTTTAAAAATAAAGGCTAGCATGAATTCTAAAGGTATTAGGTTGATCATATTCACATTGTTAAGAAATATAAATATTTTAGAAATAATATTAAAACCTAAGCATTTATTTTTTAAAAAATGACAGCAAAGCAAGCCCTTAAAAATATTCTGGTAAAATTACAGCCAAAAAGGTTTAATATTAATTCCTAAGCCTTAATGAAACATGGGACATGTAAATCCAAGAGAGATAGAGGATACACTGTATGTTACACAGCTCATTTGTAGCTTGGCATCTAGTTATTCATCCAAGGTCAAATTTTTTGACAAAATTATGTTATGTAAGAAAAAATTTATGCAATACATAAACAGAGAATGAATTTTACTACAATAGAACCATATGGATAACGGATGTACAGAAAGTTACAATTAAAATAGTGTATATGTGGATATATTAATGGAATATGATAAAATTGATAATTAAATTATTTTACCACTCCTCACGACTCCAACAAATTATTAAATAATTAATTCATAATATACATATATTATTACTATTATTATAAGTTATTATGTATTATAAACTTACCATAATGCTTATGTATAAAAAGGTTTGAAAAAATGTAAACTTGACTAACAGATATTTTTATTAATTTTAAAGTCTAGACCGATAATTCAAAGTATTTATTACGCATTTTGAAAAACACATAAGTCTCACATTAAACATAAGTCTACCATCATTTATGGTTGAAGTATCATCTTTAAACTGAAGATGCTGCGATTTTAACCATTTGTCCAATTGAATTTCATGCTGTGATTCACACCAATTTGCATTGGGTTTTAGTTGCAATGGTAAACGTTTTCTCTTGTCAAGTTGTTCAAGCTGAAATACGTTTATTCAGACATTTATATACTGAATATGTATTTACTTTTCAATTTTGTTATATTACAATTACCTTTGTTAAATACACTGATTTATGAATGTGAAATTAAGTTGAAAATAATGGAAAATAATGTTAACGGTGTGTCCATACCTCTAATAATAATGTACTTTATTTCAAATCATATTATAAATGGTACAAATTATAAATAAAATAGTGAATTGATGAGTAATGAACAAATAATCTAAAAATTTAGAGCTTTTTCTGTTCTGCTTTACCTGTAATTCAATTTATTATAATTGGTCTCTAAAAATATATTGCATTTTTGTCACAGGGAGTAGAACTATTGGCTAGAAAGTTATATATATAACTTTCAAACTAAAATTGGTTTCCATACACCTGGAAATTATTATGTAAAATAATATTAGGTAGTCATTGCTTCTAGATAATTACTACAAAGTACATCTGAATATATGTCTCAAAGCATACTCAATCATAGTATTATGGAAGGATATAATTGTCTTTATGGAATCAAAAATGCAACTATGAGCTTAGGTGAGACAGGGCATGCTGAATGCTCGTGGAAGAGAAAACATCTCAACGGTTTATAAGATGTTTGATCATCTTCAATGACCTTTGGTGAGTCAGATATGTGTTGACATATCAAAATCATGGGGTATATTAATTTTTGCAATTGACCATAATTAATATTGACAAACCAGCAGCAGACCATGAAGATCGGAGATGACCAAAAAGACATGTTTATTACCTTGTAGACCTCAGCAGAAATCTCACAAGCTCATAAAATGGAAAGATGAAATTAACTAACTTAACTTTTAACAAGGATTGGGAAAAGGTGGTGTTTGGTATGGAGACTAATCACTAGAAGGGTTCCAGGTTCTTAAGTTAAAGTATTTGTGAATGGGCTTTTTTCAAAACACATAAATATTTTACAAATCTTGAAATGTTTTTTTGTGAAAATTAATAAATCATCTTGCAATCGTAAGATTTACTTTGTAAATGATATATAAATGATAACCAAAATAAACTTTTTTCATAATTTATTTAAGTTTGAATACTATACCTGATGTAAATGGGGAGTACCTTATGTTCAGATTCACCGATCGTTCAACTCATAGTGGAATACTTTTATACATCATAATTTTCGATCAAAATATTGTATTATTTAAAATTTTTTAAGGTTTATAATAGTTTATAGTTATTAACACTAAAATCACTATTGTGTATTGAAAATTATTTTTCAATTTTTTTTTCCCATGGGATTTTTTTAATACAGCCCTACCCCACCGTTAATCAGGGAGATCCCATATTAGCGGAAAACACCATGCAAAGCTCTTAATTTGTACTCAAAAATGGAAAAGAGAAAAAAAAATCTAAAAGGCCTAGTCTTCCTCTATAGGTGAGACTTGAGGAGGATAAAGGATTTGTCCATGAGATTGTATTACATGAAAATTGGTTTCATAAGGCCAATAAATGATTCTTGATTAAGATTATGCAGTATTTATTATGCAAATAACATTATTCTGTATTAAAAACATATAAAAATAATTTGCATAACAATATAACAAAACTAATATGAACTAAAGATTATCGCACAGTATAAAACTTAGACTGTATATGAGACTCAGTTCCTGTAATCAGCATCATGGCAACAGCATATTTTCCATTTAAGCTTCTTGAGCATTGAAACCTTTTTAGGCCGAGGTGGCAAGAACTGGACTGTTGCGATGTTCGTGTCAGGCGGGAAGTGAACATGCAAGGCTTGCTTCAGAATACAGTTCGGAGGTCGGACAATGCTGTTCGTCTCTGAAGCTGATGAACAAGGAGAAATAATTTCTTTCTCTATTTAAAATAGGTTTAACTGCATTTTAATTGAATTGAAGTTTGATTTTTAAATAAGCATTCTCTAGCAAACTGTAATTATCTCTTAGGCAGCAACATTTTCTATCATTATCTTGTAACAATTAATGTTTCTTTAATAAAATCTGAAATGTTATATTAATTTTCATGGCTATTTAGACAAAGAGAGAGACCATCTTATTAATTATAATCATACTAAAAACAATAAAGCAATAAAGCTTAATAAAGTTATCTCCATCTTTGTATAAATATCTCCAATAATTTAAAAAAAGAGAAGCAACCTGGAGAAAAGGAAAAATACACCAAAATTTATGTTAAAATGGTTTTGTTTCAAGAATAATTGAGTAGTAAATAAACTTACTTTCCTCCGCCATATGAAGTTTCAAAATTATAACAATTGGGTTTTCTTCATTTCTTCAGTTTCTTACTCACTGTCAACATAGAATTACAGACAAACGTTTTCCATTGTAAACTGTGCGAAAATAATTTGAAACTATTAGAGTATTACCCTCGTGGGGCTTCTTTTACCCCAATCAATACAAAATGAAACTACGAATGATTGATTTATTTGTTAAGTGTTCACTTTTAGTCAGAATTGCTTTTACACTTAACGTTAAGTTTTAATTGTAGTTAATGAATATTTGAAATCAAGCATTTACAAAAGCCCAGTTTTGATGTAGAGTTGAGAAAATGGGAAAATCTAGCCCTGGGGTGATATTAAGCAAAAATATAAGCTACATATTTAAAAATAAACAACCAGATATTGACAAAAGCATATCTAATTATGACAATTTTAATTTGTACTTGTGTGTTTTTATATTTTCAAAAATCAATTTTATTTTTCTCTTTTTTTTTCTTTTTTCTGGGGGAGGGGGGTTATAATAATGTAAAAGAATTTAAGAAAATATTTAAAAACAAAATTAAAGCATTTATGTGCTCTATTATCAAATTATATTTGATATCCTTAATAATGTTGTTAAATGGATAATTGACCAGTCTATTCCAAAATTGAAGGACTGTGCTATATTTCTGCTCTGGGCGGTCTAGCCGTTGGTTTAAAAGTCAATTTAGACAAGTCTAGATTTTAGAAAACAGGGCAGGATTAGATCAAACAAAGTGGTTTTATAAAATAGTTAAAAATTTCTAATATATTTATAATCTATCTAAGCATGGTAAAAATAAAGGGAAAAAAATTTTAAGTAAAAAAATTCTTCATTCCAAAATCATTTAAAAGATTTAAGCGAAATTTGGAATTAGTTTAAAATAGATATTTTCTGTGACTTAAATATATTTGTTTGCTGGAGATGCAATTAACAAATTAAACAGAGATTTTGTTTAAAATGTTGTTAGCATTAGCTAAGTTTATTACAATGTTGAATAAATTAAAAAGACTTTTACAAAGGTTGTCAAATGTTGGAAAATCCTTAAAAAGGAATTTAAATATGTATTACAATAAAAATTGTGTTGGGAGCTTTCTTTTTGAGGTGTAGAGTGGTGAACTTATACACTGGTCCTTTCTGCCTATTCTTGCTGCTCTGATCTGTCAGATATATTTCAGCATTTTACCATCTTTGGTGATATTGTGTGAAGATGGCAAAATGCTGAAAAAATAAGAAAAATTAGGCACTTTACTCATAGGAAGGCCATAATCTTTTAACTTATTTATTAACAAAAACAATTTTTTTTTATTAATATAGTTGTCAGAAATTTAAGTTATTACAGAATATTAGTTTCAAAATGTGGTGCAATTGAACATGACTTGATTTTAAATTCAAAAAATTGTTTCGAGCAATTGTGAACATTTGGCCCAGATGCAAAGCCATGTAAAGATTAATTCTTTTAAATATTTGAACTGCAAATCATTTGCGTCTGTAGTGAAGCGTTAACAATAAGGATGCCTTGTTAAGACAGTGATTGGTAAATAGTAGCTGATGTCAGTAAAGCAGGAAGCTGCTTATTGGAAGGGTGATATACGCCCCACTCAGTTAAGATTCAGCCGAGCTGAGGGTCACTTGGCATTGGACGTCGGCTCACCGAGCTTGATTGCCGAATGCAACATCATACAACATTTTGTCCAGGTGGAATTTGACCAATTTTAGTTATATGGGGTTCCGACAGTTGGAGATTATTGCGTGCTTCGTAACTGCTGTGGCATGTTTTTACGAGCAGCCGCAGATTGAAGTAGAGCCCAGAGGGTACCGGATTGATCTTCAGCCCACCCTGCAGCCCGGTGACAGTCTGTTCAAAGGAAGAGTAAGAATTGACATTGTAAACCGAGGTAATGTTATTTTTTGTAGAATTGTTGTAAATTATGGTCACAAAGCTTTATAATAATTAATCCATAGGCTCAGAGGCAGTCACTGAACTTAAACTGAATGCACACTCTTCGTTGTCGATTAATGAAAAAGATGTCAAACTCATCAGACTGGCTAATGCAGATCTGTCTGATGAAGAATCCGATGAAGACATGTAAGTAAACTAAATGATTTATTATCATGAAAATATAAAGAAATTTATGTATATATGCGTTTATATGTATGTATGTATATAAATTTATGCCTGGGGACCTTCTTTGTTTTTTTGTTGTGGGTGAAATATCCTTGGGCGTTCAATTTATAAATCAAAACACTAAGTGGTTGCAATGGAGTACATTTATCTAGCCTCAAAGGGCAGTTAGATTGAACAATTTGTTCAATTAATTCCCCTTGTAGTAAATATTGTCACTCGGCCAAAAGCCTTGCATTTTTAACTATTTAAATTAATTTTAAAGACCAATTAATTATAATAAATAATATTCTCTAGAAGAGAAGAATAATATTTATACATTTTAAATACACAAAAATTACAGATTAGCCATATACTTTTTGAATCCGATAAATTTTTTGTGTAATTAGTTTATTAAGAAACTAATCATGATTTTTTTCAGCCCAACATCTGTGAATAAAGTGGAGAAAAAGGACGATTTGTTAATTGTATACTGTTCTCAAAAACTGCAACGTGATGCAACTTATCAGTTGGACATTCAGTACGAGGGTAAATTGGGTAGCGATCCATCAAGTCCAATTTACCAAAGCTCATACACAGACAAAGAATCAGGAGAATCAAGGTAAAATTTTAATTGAATAATAATATTTAAATTGATAAATGATCATTAAATTTATCTGTTGTCTCAATATAATGTCTAATTGTCAAATATTTAAAATTTTGCTTTTTAGACCATTCTTAGTGTTAAGCCCAAGAATCGGACAAGCAAAAGAGGTGTTCCCTTGTTTTGATCAACCTTTCCTCAAATCATGGTTTGAGCTGAGCGTCGTTCATAAACGGGGCTTCACTGCACTTTCAAATATGCCAGTGTTGGAGCAATCAAATATGTGAGTCACAAATTAAAACAATTTATTTGTTTAATATTTAAAAAAATACTATTTCAGTTCTCGAGAGGGTGATTTAATAAGAGATCAATTCTCAAGGACTCCCTTAATGGCAGTCAACTCTTTGGGATTGTTCATTTCAGATTTTAAAATGCCTGAAGTTGAATATTTACAAACAGGTAAAAAAATTTAAGAAATTTTCAAGGTTCATTTTTTTATATTTGACTCTTATTTGGCAGATGGAATAAAAATTGGTTTGTGGGGTAGAGCAGATTTTGTTACAACACTTAGTAAAGCACAGCAGCTGCTTCCTTCTGTTCTTGTTTCTTTGGAATTGTACTTGTCAAGACCTTATCCTTTGCCTCATTTAAATCTCATAGCCCTTCCTGGTTTCTCTGAAGATAGGCCAAAAAATTCATGGGGCTTGCAATGGTTTCGGTAAGTTGTGACCTAGCAAATTCAAAAAGTATAAGTAGTTAAACAATCTTTAATCAACAGGGAAAGCGATCTAATGAATACAAACTCATACTGGTTGACGCACAGAGTCGCCAAAGCGGCTGCAATGCAGTGGCTAAGTCATTTGGCTTCTCCAGTAAACGACTCTGTCGTAACATCCGGCCTTGCAAACTTCCTGGCAACAAATGTCGCTCAACAGGTAATTTTTCAATAAATAAAAATGTCTTCTGATTTAAAAAAGAAAATATTGTTTCTATACAGCTTGAACCTACCACATACTACTGGCATCTTGGAAGCTTCCATACTTTAGTTTTAGAATTGGGAAAGCCCAGGAATTATGGGCTGGACAGTGAACAAAAGAGGTCATTGCTGGAAAGCAGAGGTATATTTCTACAAATGTATTCATAATTAAAATTAATAATGATGAATAAATTATAATATATTATGGTATTTTGCACCGTGTATTGTGTGTATTTCATGGTTGCTTCCACCACACTGTACATTTACACGGAATTGTATTTGATTAGGCTGAGGTGATGTGAGGCGATGGTGGCTATACTTACTTGGCCTGCATCAACTCCCTCAGCCCAGGTCCTCTGCTGATCTCTCGTTTTGCTCTTTTTGGGGAGATACAAGCTGGAGGGTCTCAGGAAAATGGTGGTTGTTGTCTGCATACCTCAACACATAGGTCTGGAGAATACTAAAAAGGGGAATAAAGCGACTAAGCCCATAACGTCCCAACCTCTGAACTTAACCGCCGCTATCCAGCCCCTGATGTTAAAAATGCAATAAAAAAAGACATGCTTAAAAGCAAGTGCAGCATTAGCAGAGAAGCTCTTGTACATCATGACTATCTGTTGTTAGGTGGTCCACGAAGGACCTGACTCATAGAATAAGAGTCATTGTCACTTGATTAAGAATAGGTCATGTGAGGATGTCACCAATATCAATAGGCCAAAGCCCACATATGTAACAGGCATGCAGAGAAAGGTCGTTTGATCCCTCGTAATTGAAGGGTGACATTCCTTGGCTCCAAATAGAGAGCGCGTAGGAATGTGACACGATATGAGAATTGTGCTTGAGCACAGCAGCGAGTATCTGGGTCCACTTCTTAGAGGAAACAGGGGGTCGTTTTATTGTATGTAGTAATGTTAGTTTTGTGACCTTAACATGTGTTGAGAGTGAATGTATTTATTGGCATGATTGTTATAATAGGTGTACAGGGTGAAGGAAGAATACCACTCTAATTGAAAGTTTGCTTTATAAATAAGTAATAATCTGTTTAAGAGTGAGTGAGAGTACGAATAGATTTAGGAATTGATTGAGTTGGAGGCTGAAATGACCTAGCTGATGATATCCCCTAGACCCAAGCATTGGCGGGATGAGTAATTCTCGAGGCCTGTTGGTAATTTATTGTAAATTGCAAGTGCTCAACACTACATGCGTGTCCATGCATGAGTAAATCTGAGCTTATATAAATTAATAATAACTACATTTAATTTATTAATATAAATTTAATGCTTTCTGGATTCTGTGGAATATAATAATAAATCAAACAAACATGAGTGTGATTAATTATTTTTATTGATAGTTTTCTTGCTGATTCAAATGTTTGAGCAAGTTTTTGGAGCAAACACCTTCAAACAGTCTATCCAAAATTTCTTAGCAAAGAAGTAAGTTTTCAAAAAAGTTTAAGTTGTTGCAGTATATTATTGATGTTTTTCTTCTGAAATCAGGGAATTCAAGGCTTATTCTGAGGATGATCTTTGGCAAGTGATAACAGAGCAAGCATGGGTCGACAAAAAGTTGTCATCTTCTATTTCTCTGATAGAAGTGATCCCACCGTGGCTCAATCAGAGAATGCCGCTTGTAACTGTTGTGTCGAATTATGCAACAAATATTACAACAGTGACCCAGGTATGCGTTTCATAGCTAATCTCAAAAATAAAATCTCAATTGAATCCTTTTAGGAAAAGTACGTTGACAATCTTGAGAGCAGTTGGTCGAAAGTGGTGAAGAAGAGCGGTGTCAATAAACAGAGTGGTTGGTGGCTTCCACTTGTCATCGTCCAAGGAAACCAAGACCCAGAAACAATTGGATGGCTCAATCCAGAACAGCATTCCATTGAATTCAATAATATTTCAACAACTAGTTATTTGATTGCAAATCCTGGCAGTACAGGTGAGTTTATGCCTTAAAGGATAATTGTTATAAATTAAAGTTTTATTTTTATTTTTAAGGCCCTTACCTTGTAAATTATGATAGTGAAGGATGGAAAAACTTAGCTAAGAATATGAAATCTCTACCTGTAACATACAGGGCACAATTGATTCACGATTCTATGACATTGGCACTGTCAGGACATCTAAGTACAGTCACTGCACTGGAAATTTCTGCAGCGCTTAAAACTGAACAAGCACCTGAAGTTTGGAGGACGTTCTATCCTCTTGCTGAGAGGTTGAGGGATCGTTTCCAGGGAACTTCTGCAGCCCACAATTTAGATGTGAGAATTTAAAAAAAACTTTTAAAAAAATGAAAATTCCTTTTAAAAAAATTTTTAGGCTTATTTAAAAGGATTGTTAATTCCTGTTTTGGACGCATTGGGAGAAGAAGACAAGTCCTCTTGGAAAACCGAACTTAGAGTTCGAACAAGGCATCTTCTATGTCAAACAGGTTTTACACCTTGCATCGACAATGCAAGGACATTGTTCGCCACTTGGCTTAATGCTTCTCATCCTGATGATGGAATGCCGTAAGTTTAAAAAAATATGACTAATTATATAAGCACATAAAACAAAACCTTTTGATTTTAGAATTGCCAGCAGTCATCTTTGTCCAGTCATGGCCTGGGGAAGCTACGACGAGTGGCAATTTGCCCTAGACAGGTTGCACCACTTCCCACCCAACAGGTCAAAAGCGGAGAGGACTTTCCTCATGAAGACAGTCGCAGGTTGCCCACACGATCCGAAAAAATACTACACGTAATTGCTAAAATTATTTAAACACACTTGACATCGCAGTAATTCAATGCTTACTTAGGCTTTTCAACATAACTTTCTTGAACCGGAAAAATCAGATTTTCTCGGACGAAGACAGATTTATCATCCTTTCGGCAATTTCCGGTGAAAGCATTGGCTATACAACGTTGTTCCATTTCCTCAAAAATAACTGGCATGATATGAAAAAGCGGTAAATACTTAAATTCATATTATATTATAAACATTAAGAGTGTATGCTGATTTTTTTTTAATTCTAGCATTCAAGGAAACTTGTGGGATTACTTTATCCAAACAGCAATGGGCAATTTTAGAACAGAAGAAGGCTTGAAAGAGGTAAATTCGAAACAGAAAATATGCTATTACTAGGGGGAAAAAAAGTAATTTAGTGCTTACTATTTTAAAATTACATTCCTTTTTTTCCTGGTTTTTATTATAGTACAAAATACTTTACTATATATTAAATATAGTATAGTAAATATTTATTTAAATAACTTTTATTGCGTCTATTTTGGAAGATAGGTTATTTTGAAAAATACATGTTTAGATAGAGATAATGAAGATGGAGTAAGTATATATTCTCTTATTGTAAATGATGGTTCTACTCACAGATTTGTTGTTCACAACGATCCAGGTTTCAAGCATTAAATGTTCATCATCAGATTGAAGGACTTACAAACATTACAAACTAAATCATATCAAAGGATTTAGCCAACAATATTAAATTAATTCTGTGAATCTTCAGTAAATCTCTGAACGTTTTAACTTTAATTATCCCCATGCTAATTTTTATTTTACTGATCTTTAGCCAATATATTTGTTACAGCAAATTACTATTGAAAAGTTCATTTTTTATAATAATTTTATACAAACTAATTAATCTTTTTTGGGTTTATAGATAACAGAGTTGCTCGACGAAAGAAAATCCGAAATGGGCACTGCACTTAAGACTGCTGAAGATAGCGTAAGTAGAGTAAGAAGTAGGGTAAAGTGGGCTAAAGAAGCAACACCCGCCGTCGAAGCCTGGCTTAACGCCACCATGGAAGTATCTTGGACACCACAGAGATTCAAGTTTCAAGATGTCGTCGTCGTCTCCCACAGTAGAAAGAGCATGGGATGAGATTTATAAAACAACTTGTTTAAAATACTTGTTAACTTAAGATGTATTTATAAATAAATTAAATTACAAAACCAGTCTCATTGACTCTATCATATCACAGAGCGACGTAAAATCGAGGTATAGTGATTTCTCTGTTATTGGCGAGGTAACAGTCGATTATTTCAGATAAGCATTCCCTCGTATTTGAAAACTCGGACCGATCGAATCCATCAACTCTAGTATAATGGTGTATGTGCGCCTTTAATGAAATAAATGTGAATACTTGAATATAGGGCTATTTGAAAATAAGATTACCTTCTTGTTGAGCAGCCTGTCAAAATCTTCTTTGGTTTTTTGAAAAAAATGCATCATCTCTGTTGTATTTGTCAGACAGAGTAATGACTTTGAACAGTTGTGTGTTGGAACGGTGCATAAAGAGGTTTTGACACCTGGGTATGACCAAGATGTAAATTTAACATTTTCTTCAAACCTGAAAATAAAATATGATTAGACTATGAAAAAACTTTTTTTTTACAAATCAGAAAAAATTCTAGCAAAGTTTGATTGTCTCTGTTCAACCGGGTCACATCATCGCTGGTTTTTGCCTTTCCCTACAATGAAACAACTCCACTAAAGGATGGAATGAAATCAAACAAAAACAAAATGAGAATAGATATATGAGAATAATCAAAGATGATCAAGCTATAGGTTCATCACCTTGCAGACCTCTATGCTTCACAATTTAATTTCTAGCATATATATGCAGATCACTTGGATCGCACAAAATCTTGTTTTTGCAAAGATTTACATTTAAAAAATAAAATAAACATTGTTCCCCTAATAAATCAAGATATAGATGCAATATATTTTTTTTAAATACACAATTACATATTATACAAGATCAATTTGGCATTTACGACTTCACAGTCAAGGAGTACAACAGACAATCATATACATTTAATAAATACAACCTACTTTTTAACATAGTTCCTCATACAACTTAATGAAATATCACCCCTTCCGAACAATGCTGCGCTGAAGACTGTTCCTTTCGTAGCATTGATTGATAAAAGCTGATTGTCTTTTCCACAGATACCGAGCACTAGGTCATTTTGTCTGAAAATAAAATCAACTTGGTAAAATATCATCAGTTTCCAAGGGAAAAGCTAGCAAAAAAACCTAATTTAAAACCGAGGTTACCTTTTAATAACACCAACGTCTTTTTCTTTGGAAAACATTATTGGGCTCAAGCTACTAGCAAGAAAGTGTAACCCTGGAAAGGGTACCAAATTTGTGGAGAGATCGCTGATGTCAAAATTCAACGGTCCAGGAAAACGAGCCCCACTTGAGACAAACATACATTTGATATAATAAAATTATTTATTAGTTACAACATATAAGTTATATTTGTCCGTAAAAAAGACACCTTAAAGGCCTAAAATTTAAAGTACTAAGGATTGAATCAAGGATTTTTTAGCGATGTTAGAATTTTATTTTATTTAAATTTGCCATCCCTTCATCCATAACTTTCCACTTACCTTGTAAAATGTAATAACATTTTGACAATAATGTTATTCATGTTTCTGTAAGGCTCCCAGGTGGCCATGTCTTTTGTGACCATAATCCTATTGCAGATGTCCAAAAGAGCCTGAAACGAGTCGGGTTAAATGTTACAAGTCCAAAATAAAATTAGAATAAAAAAAATTACTTTATTATCAATTGGGAGAACACATGTCGTATATTCTTTTAAGCATTTCAACGAAAATGCTATGTTGTAAGGACTAGTTACGACATCGTTGTTCTCGCCAGGATGAACACATGAAACAATTCTGAAAAATTAAATATTTCATTGTAAAATTATTTTTAAAAATCATTATATTAACAAAACACCTGTCCACTTTTGTGTAGTCATCGTAGAGCATTTGCTGTACTGCACTACCCAAACCTGATCCTGTTCCACCGCCCAAGGAAAAAAGTGATATGAACCCATGAAGACGATCACATTTTTCAACAGATGCCCTTATCATGTTCCTAATTGTTGACTTTTGCTCATTGCCGTGCGTAAAATGGCCCACTGCCCTTCAAACAAAGACCCTTTAATTGCTTTTTAACTAATAAAAATAACAATGCTTAAAAATGTCCTTGTTAATGATGATAAAACACATCTTACCAATTGTTTCCTGATCCTGGATAGTTAAAAAGGGTGCATGCCCTGTCGAATATATCCCGGAGTCTCGAATTATGAAATCGCTCGACTACACTGTTTTCCATATCTATAAGTAAAGCCTGAAAATTGACGGCATTAAACATGAAATAATACTGGCAAGACAACAAATAAAATTACCCTAGCTTTGACTTTATTTGACACCATTTGCTCGATTGTGTGACAGTCGACATTCTTCGGATTGTAGAAGAAACTGTGAAGGGCTTCATCCTGGTTCCTCCGCCACGTCCTGTTGCTATCGTACATTCCATGTTCCTGCAGGATCATCGGCCAAAAAGCATGGCCGATTTGATTCCCGCACTGGCCCACTAATTGAAAAAATACATTAAACAACTTGTAACAACCATAAGAAGATAATAAAATGTCTAGTCATACAAGGTTGTGTAAAGCATCTTTACAATGTTTTCTTTAAAATATTCCGATATTATTTGTTAAACAATTTGTTGCTATTGAAAAAGTTCTTATATTAATATCTAATACAATATATAATTTGTGTGAAGGATCGGAAAGAGGTTTAATAGTCTAATACACTAATTACAGCTTCACCAAACTTTCAACATATATAACACTATATATGTACATATATTTTTTATCTTCGCTTTTGGTTTTATTAATATATACAACCATAAAACTTTTTGTGGGAATGATTATTTAACATTATTTACAATAATGATTTTAAAAATTATATTTTAAATATGTCTGTTCATATAATTCTTTCGTTTTGGAGGCAAGCTTTATCTTGAAGTTTTGTAGTTGAGTTACACAAGGCTGGATCTTCTAGTCGGCTTCAGAACGTCATATGTACTTCATTCTTAGTATACAGGAGAATCTTTTTTGCCCGGAGGCTTAGATATTTTATACTAGAATGCCAGATTTTTTTTTGCTTCTAAACAAGATTGCGGGTAAAGAATACTAGATGTAGCAATATTGCCTTATCTTGAAATCCTACGTATCCAACCACTGCTTCAGTGTGAGATGTGTCAATTTCTTGGAAGTCAGGCAGATACAAGACGGTGTCCCACAAGGGAACATCTTGGTCCCATCCTTTTTATAATTTATACTGCTGACCTACCAATACATCCAAATAACATCATCACCACCTATAAGGAAGATATAGCAATTTTGTCCTCTAATCGAATCCTATCCAAGCTACCTCCAACATCCAAGAACACTTTGAGCTGATCAAAGAATGGCATAAAAAAGTGGCGAACAAGACTGAATTATAAAAAATTTACTCAGAGTACATTGACATTTAAAAAAGTTTTGCCCTCCACTGTACATCAACAACAAAGGGATATTGATTTTCATTCAAGTCAAGCACTTAGGACTATACCTAGACAGCAGACACATGAAATCCCTACACAATACTTAAAAGACTACGAAACAGTGTGGGTTCTGCCAAAACATCTAACATCCAGCACAACTGATCCTTCAAATCAAAAATCTTCAGAAAAAGTGACAAACTCCTTAATACATCACAAACTTCACTGTGTAGACTACAAATAAAAACTTTTTTTTATTAAAAAAAATATTTTTTCCACATATACCATAATTGGTTAGTATGCCGTTATCTGGGCCCTATCGTAGTAATCCTTTCGATACCCAGCTCTGGGCTTACTATGAGGAAAAGAAGTATCGGTATGAGTGGAAAGTCACTAGACTTTTTGGCTAATTTGCCTGGCATTTCATTTCGCTAATTTGGCCGAAAGATTGCATTATTTGGACTAACTATAACATATTCAAAACTTATGTTCAGTGCTTAAACCTATTTCTCTCCCTTGAAATTTCATCATTAAATTCTTGTTATCTGTGCCTTTTTTCCTCCAAGAGCCATCATCAGAGCTTAACTATTGTCTTTAATAATTAATTTTAAAATAATGTACATCTAGAATTCATTTCCAGGTAACTCGAGTTACGTAAATCTGGTGACTATCTGAAGATGAAGGCTAATTAACTTACTAATTTACTTTACCTTTAAACCTAGTATTCATTAGATTAGATCATTTACATCTAATCAAGTTCATCAACAACACAAATACATCTATTCATGAAATGATTGAACAAGTGTGCAAGAGTAGAAAACATAAACATAACATAAACCAAGTATATGCTCTTTCCTAAAGTAAAATAATTCCTGTCATACAGGAGAGCTCACCATAAAACTTTTGGTGTCGCAAATAAGGGGTCAAACCACTTGACAATACATTTTTCATACTGTTATCAATTAAAAAGCCATAAGCTCTGCCAGGATTCAAACTCAGAACCGTAGCATGGTAAATACGAGCCGGACGTTATGCTCTCTGTTTTAAAATAAGTTTCTTAGAATGGACTGTGAACTGTTGAACATTCTTTGATAGTCCCATTTATTTAATTAAATGGAAAGATGCCTAAAATAGTTAAGGTATATTAAATGTGAAAGAAATGAATTTAAAGAATTTATTTTGAACTTGTTTTAATGAATGTTTCTGAGAGAGAAGATAAGGAGACCAAATAGGAAAAGGAAACAAGATTAGAACAAAGATAAAAATCAGATAAAATAAGGCAGAAGTAGAGTTGTTTACAGGCTATAATAGTAATGACATTATGAGAACTGCGAGATATGAAGCCTAGATTTATTATCAATGAAATATGTAGTGGAAAGGACATATTGGGCTGAAACGCGACTCCTAAGTCTTTAATATAATTGACAATATTATTATTAATAGTATAAGAAGAGCAGAATTTTTTAGAGATTCAGTAGAAATACATTACACAGGTTTTTGAAGTGTTTATAGTCGTACCGATACTAATAAATTCTTCCTGAGAGAAAATTTTGTAAGAGAATTGTGTCCTGAGCACTAGAAATTTTAAGATTAACTGCAAAAAGAAGAAAATTAATAGAAGAAATGGAAGTATCAATACTGTTAATAATAGCAAGAAGCAATAGTCCTAAATAAGATCCAAGAAAGAACAAGCATAAAAATCAAAAGAAAGGAAAGATCGAATTTTAACAATTTGAAACCTATCTTTAAGATAGTTTTGAAACCATAAAAGAACTTTGTATACAACATTAATTTTACGTAAAAGAAGATCTATATTTACAGAATCAAAAGCTTTTTAAAAAAAAGATGTAGATAAATTACATCAAGATGATGTTTTGATTGAAATGAAGATAATAAAGTGTTGCAAAGTAAGTAAAGTAGTGGTACGAAAATATTTCATTGTACATGATAATACTGATTAAACTGTCTTCGCTTTGTACGACTAATCTGAATCACAGTATGTAAGTATCACAGATGTAAAAGCAAATTTAATTGTTCCTGTAAGCCTTTGACCTATTTTAAAGTCATCAGAATAAAGCAATCTTAAATATGCCTACATATTGACATAATTAAGTTTTTAATATACAATTTCAAATTTCTTTGAAGAATGACTCAGTCTCAACATTGCCAAGGGCTGTAACAGTTAACAAACTGTTACAAATTAAAAACTTAATTATATCAATTTGCAGACATCTTTAAGATTGTTTTGCCCTGATGACGACCTTAAAATAGGGGGAAAGCTTGGCCAGTAACAACTGTATTTGCTTTTTCCATCAAGACCATAGAGGGCTAGGGATAAAAGAGGCTTTCTGCACCTCAACTTGTTTAGATTTATTGTGCTCCTTTGAATTTTTATTATATATATAACACACTGGCTAGCTTCATGTACCTCCAGAGCCTCGCCCGCAGCTCCTTTGTGTAGGATTTTGCTTGCGGCTTTTGCAAGAATTTGCACCTACAAAGTCCTTCACAGAAACATAGAATGTGCTCTGCGGTCTCCTCCTCTTCCTGCACATTGTTTCTTCTGTCTGTACTCCTATTCAGTCCATGTGCCTTCTCAGGTGGCAGTGCCCTGTCAGGAGTTCAACCAGAATCCTGGTTGCCTTCCTGAAATTTCTTTGTAAGTTTTGCAAATAGCCTTCTATGAATCTCTAAGTGCGGGGGCCTGGGGTATCGTTCTACTAAGTTTTGAACTCGTTGAATATCCATTTTAAGATGTGTCCTCTTTTGTGGCAAGATTCTAGGCCACAGTAGAGTTCGGGACGTAAAGAGTGAATATTGGCTCTACTTTTGACCAACAAGTCAACCTTTTCATCATTGCCTCTACGCCCTGAATGCCCAGGGACTCATGATCAGGTTTCGCTGGCTTCTGTCAGGACCTGCTCACAGTCCCAAACACTCTTTGCATTCACCTCGCATGAGGCTAGATCCTTAGGGCTGCCTGACTGTCGGCGAAGATGGCAGATCAAGACCATACAGAAATCCACTCAAATTCATGAGTAAAAAGTGGTCGATGCATATAACTTAAAACTCGTTTTGTACTGTTGTGTATGTCATTAAAACCTTTTAAAAATAAATCATTATTGATGCTACCAATAACTTAAAGCAATTAATGTAGTATCAACAGTCGATCTGTGACAAAATTTAAATTTTTACCTTGCAACACTGGCTGAACTCAATCATTAAAAAATAAAAATACTGAATTTAATATTGATGTGCATAATTTACAAAATATTTACATATTTTCAAGCATGGCTGACAAGTATACCTTGAATTGTCAGGAACTCGCTCATTATATCCTCCTCTGGTCAGACACCGAACATTTTTCAAAAAGGGCTAATTTTCACAATTTTCTCGGTAAAATACATGAAAAATTGGTTTTGCGAACTATAATCTAAAAAAGTACTACCTAGATATAAATACTAAAATAGATCTACTGATAGTATACTATCATTTTGGTAAAAGTTCAAAACCTTCAAAGGTTACAACTAGACCTAAGTTTAAGAAGGTTTAATTGTTTGTTTAGGCATTTTTTCCTTTGAGAAAAAAGGGTTTTTTAATTTTTAATAAAGTCTGGGCGACTTAAAAGTCTAATTAGGGGAAATGTCCCAATGGTGGAAGATATTTTGAAAAATGTTCAAATTTCATATTGAAGCCGGACCGGCGTTGGTGAGAATTTTGGCGGGTTTTGGTCAAGATGAAACCTCCCAGATTGAATTTTATCCCTGCGAGGTTTTCAACGGCCGTTTTGGCTCGGACCCAGGGTCTGCCCACTCTAAAAATGAAATAAAACCGCTCGATTCCTGATTTAACGCTCAAATAAAACAGGATGGATTTTACGATCCCGTTTCTTCTCGCCTTCTTCTTCTCTTCTTGCGAGTCGACACTCTACGGTAAGAAACTTTTAACTTCTTCCTCGCCAAATTCTTTGCAATTTGATTTCAGTCCAGGAACTCGATGAAGCCAGCCGGATCCGATGCTGCAACTTCCCGAAATACGACATGTACATATACTGTTATAAAGGGAAGCCAAAACATATAGTACATATGTGGGAAACTGTACAGGTAAACATATTCTTTTAGACTGAATAAGTCTGTTTTCTGACCCTTGTTCTTGTTCTGCTAGCTGCTTGTCTCCTTGACTCCAGACAAGTATGACCACTTCGAAGGTTTCAGCCCAGAAGAGGTGTCCGAGAAGTTCGAAAACCACAAGACATCTTGGAATTTTAATGTGTACTTAAACAAGAGGAACTTCATCAAGTTGAATCCATTTAACAGGACTTGCATCGGCATAGTTTCAAAAGAAGATTACGATGTCGGCTTAAACAGAATCCGTAAGTCATCAACGTTGTTACTCAATTCAACCTCACATTTCCAGCTGTATTAAATATAAGTTGAGACAGAGAGGACTTTTATTCAACTGCAGTGGAGTCCAGCTAGTCAAAAGTAGGATGGGGAGCGGGGTAGCCAAGTGGTCAGCGTGTTGACCTTCGGCTCTAGAACTCGTGATTGTTGGTTTAGTTCTTACTATCTCCCTGGCTTTTTTTTTTTTTGCAACCCCCCCCCCAAAAAAAAAAAGTTTGTAAGGCTAATAAAATAAAAACAGGTCTAAACCATCTAAACCAAACACGTTTTGTTTAGTATAGAAGAGAGTTTTGAAAATACAATCATACTCTGCTTTCACGTGTATGTTGCTTGACAATTCGGATAAAATGAAAATCATGCTAAGCAGGGTTCCTTCTTGTTGTTTTAAGCGGCTTATACATGTACAATAATACTGCACAAAAGTACTACAAAAAAATAGAGGTGGCCCGTAGACATACAATATTATTTCACAACAATCAGGTTTGTACAATTGAATTGTATGGAGATGATATTAAAGAATTGTTCAACACATTGTGCAAAGCAGGCGTACTAATACAGTATTATTGCACAACAATTTGATTTGTGCAATTAATAGAAACATATGGAGATGATATTGAAGAGTCAATCAATATATTATGCTAAGTAGGCATAGACGTACAATATTATTGCACAATATTTGGTTTGTGCAATTAAATTGAATCGTGTGGAACTGATATATTATAGTTGATCAATATATTGTGCAATGCAGTCGTAGATAGTGAACATTATTGTCAAAATACATTGAGTTGCTGGATATTTTTGATTTGGTGAACTGTCTACAACGGTGAGTCCACCGAGTGATGAATTGTGCAGCGTGTGAAGTGGAGGGAGAATATAATAAAGTATAAATGGGAAATGCAGACCTTGCCAACTAATCATAAAGACAAATAAAAAAATAATTATTAAAAAAGTTTTCCATGAATCTTTAAAATAAACTATGTATTACTAATCCAAGGAGATGCGTTTTGTGAAAACAGGCGCCTCCCGGGCACTGGAGCATTTGGGAAGCGCATACCTCGAACTATCCAGTGCCACAGGTGCGTCTCTCAGACTTTTAAGGAATGATGAACATGAAATGGCATGCTTGAAGAACAAGCATCATCTGACAAGTGCGAAACCAAAGTTGTGCCAAAACTAACCATGAAATGTCCCATATGCAACAGACTTATCTGTGGTGTTAAGTGTTAAATAAAATGTTTAAGCCAATGAAATATAAAATTATAAAACAATAATAACAAACTGAAAAAGAAGACATTAGAAATTTATATAGATACAACAACATGATAAAACAGTTGTTTAATATTCAAATTGCAAGACAGATTTATCACTGAAGGTGGTAAGAAACTAAAACGACAACCCAAAGCAGAAAGGATAGGCATAGCAAACAATAAATTTTATTTTATTTATTTAGAAATCATGAGATGCGGTCTGGTGTGATGTAGGTTTCAGAAAAACATTTTCTTTAACTTTATTTTCTGAAACCTACATCACACCAGACCGCATCTGATTTCTAAATAAATATCAATTAACAGTCACTAATCACCACACAATTTTATTTTAATTGAAACCACTCTTCTGTTCTCTCCTCTATTTGCAATTGTTAATAATAACTGTGATTAATTTTTTTTTTGTTTTCAAATTTCTTTTAACTTCTAGGTGTGGACTACTGGAGAATCTTGCTTTTTGTGAGTGGAGTCATTCTATTTCTGTCTGCCTCTAAATTAAGCAGTAATTCAATATTTTACTATCTAACCGGAATATCCGTTGGGATGTGTGCCTCCTTACTTATATTGATCTACATATTGAGCAGATTCATGCCAAAGGTTTTATTCATGGTGTAACTAAATAGGAGAGAGAGAGAGAGAGAAACACTAGCACGTCTGTCAATTTCAGAAACCGGTCATGTACAGCTTTCTTGCTGGAGGTTGGACTCTAGGATTGTACTTAGCACAATTGGTTTTTGACAACATAAAAACGGTTGTGGTAGAATATAAGAACTATGTTTTGTACTATGTTTTAACAACCGGCATCATTAGCTTCATCATATGCTATCGCCTGGGCCCGGTAACTGATCCAAGAAGTATTAATTTAATTAAATGGGCAATGCAGGTAAAATTAAATTAATTTTATAATTAAAATGCAATTATGCAATTATTTTATTTTATTATTTCAGTCTGTGGGGTTGATGATAATGTTTTTTTCAAGCGATTTTCAAGAAGCTTCAATGGCTTTAAGTCTAGTCTTATTAATTCTGTACAATTTGCCTTTTATGTTTATAGGCAGATCATACAACAGAGTGTAAGTAGTTTTGTTAATATTATTATTATTATTTATTAATTTATTTCTTATTATTATACACTTACTAATACATTAATAAATACAATTTATTTGGTTAAAAATTAATTAATTCAGTATTAATTCAGGAAAGGAAATCTTTACATATAATTATGAATGCTTAAAACGCCAATCGAAATTATGGCTGAACTGCTCACAGATTTTTGCTCTTGGTGACCTAAATGAAAGCCCTGTTCTCAAATTTATTCAGAAAATTATCAAAAGTATAAATTATTAAGTATGAGGATGATAAATAAGTAGATAAAATATGATGGATATGAGTTGGTGCCAGAATTCAACTTTCGTAAGTCATCTGTTGTGTATGCCTCACTGCCTTGCAGTCGCAGTTACAGTACTTTTCAGTAAGAAAGCAGTGATGCTGCTCAATTTTGAATGTACAAAAGACATGAATTACAACACAACTTAATATTCTAATAAATACTGTAAGAAAATAATTGTTAATTAGTGATTAATTTGTATGTCTTATATTATTTCAGTACATAAGTTTAAAATAGGAGGTAAATTAAAATCTGTTATATTATTTAGCATTTATCTCCAAGTTTAATGATTATTCGGAGGTCGTGAGATGGTCTGGTGTGGTTTCAGAAAATCATTTTCTTTATCGTGCCAACGTTTCAATCTTTGTTGAGATCATCTTCATGGCCTGGGATTTACAAACATTGCTTAAATTTAACAAATGCATGTAGGATGTGGAAAAAATTAAATTTATACCATGCAAAAAAAATATTTTTTATATTCAATCAAAGTATTTCTACTCACTCGAAGTGTTTGTGTTCTGTGAAGATGTGCCATTCTTGTCTGTCTTGTTGAGAGTGCCAGTGAGATTTTGCTGTTTTATGTTTATATACGTTGGATTTTGAAGGGGTGGGGAAGGAAGTCGGTATAGAAAGACGTTTTTGTACAAGGAGTCAGCTTCTTTGAGGTGAAAAGAGCTGACGATGAGGAAAAAACGTAATGGTTCAGCCAGATTATTCTTTCAGGATTATATAGACGGGGATAATTAGGAAAAGGAAAGCTAAATTGTTGAAAAATTAGACTATGTAAAAAATTTTGATGTGTGGAATGTGATGAATGTTTTATATGTTGTATTATATGTTTTGTGTGATGTGATGATGTATGTATGTTATCGATATTGAATTTGATTAATGATATTGGCATAGCTGTGACTGAGTTTACATGTGTCTGTTCTGTAATTGATGCTGTGTTTATCTCTGTTGATGTAAACCATTTCTAAAAAGTTACGTTTGTTTGTTTTGTTCTGTATGTAATATTTTTGTGTTGTTGAAGTCGAAATAGAATTTGTGTTCAAAATGGTGGGTGTGGGTAATGAGTGCTGTAGGATTTTGCTTGGGTTTTTGCAATCGTAGATATGTTGCTTAACTCTCTTGTCCAAATATTGGGATGTAAGACTGATGTAAGTTGCCGGACAGTTTAAACAGTTGATTTTGTAGATTACGTCAGATTTATTTGTTATTGGTGTGGGGTCTTTAATTTTGGAAAAAAGTGTGTGAATTGTTTTAGTTTTTGAAAGCTATTTTAAAGTTAGCGGAAGAGAGAAATGTGTTTAATTTATGTGTTAGGCCGTGAATGAATGGCATGGAAATGTATGTTGGTTTGTCTGTATTTGATAGATTTGATGTAATATTATTAGTAATAGCGGATGGTGTTAGTGTTGAGTTGTAGTTGTTGATTATTCTATTGATTATGTGTTTAGGGTAGTGCTTGTTATGGAGGATCTATTTATATATCTTTGTTCTTGTGGCAAAATGATTCATGGCTTAGGGTAATAATTCTGTGAAGTAATCCTTTGGCCGTGTTTATTATAGTATGAAGAGGATGGTGAGATGCAAAGTTGAAGTAGTGATCTGTGTTTCTTGGTTTTTGATACCTATCTGTGATTAATGTGCCATCTGGTTGTTTTATTACGAGTGTATCTAAAAATGGTATTGTTTTGTTTTCGATTTCATGTATAAATTGTAGGCGTGGGTGAAAGCTATTAAATGTATCTAAAGTAGTTTGAATTTGATCTGTGGGAACTGCTGTCAATATATCATCTACGTATTTAGTGAGGAAGGGTAATGTGAAAGGAAGTTGTGGTATAACTGTGTTTAACAGATAAAGAAAATGTTTTTCTAAAACCTACGTCACACCAGACCACATCTCACGATTTCCAAATAATCATAGACTAATGGTCACTAATCACCACACATTTCCAAGTTTAATTTTACATCTTTTGATTTCTAATTTCTCAAACCAATCTAGTCCTCTCATTTTGTTGAAACTGTGGCACACTGTTGTATTTAAATTTAAATTGTGATATGTTTAATTTAGTTGGTCCTTAAATTCAGAAAATTTGTTCGATTTGGGCAAGTATATTTTTAATTTGCTCCTTTGTCTAATATAATTAATATACCAATTAAGTTGGTAAGCCCCAGTTTTTGACCAGTCAAATTTTGTATTTAGGTTTTGAGAGGATGTTTCTAAATGAAGACATATTTATTTAAGGCACTCTAGAACCTTCTCTTTTAAGAATTGTACCTACATTTTCTGATAGTTCTCCAAAGTAAACGAAAAGCAATAACCAAATGATTCTTTTTTGATGGTGTGGCTAATTCCAATTGTTGCTTAGTTTAAAGTTAATTTTTTTAATTCTTTTTACTAGCAACCTGTCGATAAATTTTTTTGGATTCATTGTTTTTAGCCTAGATTTTGATTGATTGTTTGTTATTATTTTTTATAATAATAGTTAATGGGGGTTTCAACTACACTTTCAACTTCAACGTTTGGTCTATGAGCCAAATGAATTCAGCAGATTCTTTTCACCATGAATGCGACAAACTGCTGAAGTATGTCTGTAATTGTGAATTTTCTATATATTTCTATTTCAATTAGGTTATTTTGGGCAGTTTTAAGACTGAAAAGTTTAAACAACCATCTTTATTTATTACCTTTTATTTAAAATTGACACTAAGGTTAAAGAATTAATTAATTAGAGGAATTCTTTTAGATCCACTAGTGTTCCTGACCATGTACATAAAATATCATCTGCATAATGTTACTGAAAAAGGACAGATTTAATTTAGTTGCTATTTGATTTGAAAAGACTTTTAAGTTAATGTTTTAAAATACAAGGACAGATTCACTGATTCATATCGGGTTGCCATGTGATGGTGAAGTTATGTCAATTATATACATTTGATACTCATCCAAAACTGTGGATGTCCGTTTAGGACGCCCAGAAAATAAAAATTAGAGCAAGGAGTTTTGACAGTTCTTGGTATAAAAAACTAACAACAATGCAAAAGGAAAATTTTAACTTGAACTTGCGTTTTGTTGATAGTATTCCAATGGATATGTGCATAGATTTAACAAACATACAGCAGAAGAAATAACTAGAGTTTTCCATTGTTCAGAAAAACCTGAATGGGGGCTATTACTCCAACAGGTCCAATAGTTGTATTGAAAATCAAATAAACATTACATAAATTTCTATCTTTCAAAAATTAGTATATTTCATTAAAAAAATAAAATAAAAACACATACAAGTTAAATATGTTTAATTATTAAGCGAATGCTTACAGGAAGAAATGGTGGCGCCCACCTAAACATAAACTCTTGACCGAGGATGAATATCACCAGCAAGGAGTAATGGAAACCGAGAGAGCACTGGATGATTTGCGTGGTTATTGTTCGAGTCCAGATTGCAATCAATGGAAGACTGTTTTAAAGTTGAAGGACCCACTAAGGTGTGACATCAATTTACAACTTATAAAAAAAAGTGAACAAAGTCGACAGTGTCAAGTATTTCAGGTTTGCCAAATTTGTGGAAGGATGCTCACACCTGGACGACAGTGAGGTGCTCGCCTTCCACCACGAGGATATTAAAACGATGGAGAGTGAGAGTGGAGACGATTTGTTGACCGATGACTCAGATAGAGACTGAGAAATGTGTATAAAATATGTACGAATTGTTCGGTTGTTTTTATCCTTGGACTATTTTGTAAAATCTTGTAATCAATTTTTCTATTATGTTTTCCGCCTCATCATTCAAATCTTCTAAATACTCCTTTTAAATGTAAAATTTCCTCTTGTTCAAATCAAAAGCTTCCTGGTTACTAAAATAGCATTTTTTAAATTATCAATTTTGTACGACTGATATTTTGTATTAAAAATTTAGTTTTTTTTATGTCTTAAGTTTCCTTGACTCACCTATTTCCATGTACATCTTGAGCTAACTGGTGAAGATGGAGGGGAGGGTAGAAAAAATAAGTTAGCTATTATGTTGTCATAACAATAATCATCAAAGATTCCCTGTACTTGAACCTCTTTGTTTACCCTAGTAAGACATTTAAATATGGAAATGATGCTGAGTAAAAATTATTATGTAATTCAGATTTGCCACAACTGAAAACAAATTTTTGTACTTCCTTTTGTTAATTGATAAACATTGACTTAATGCTGAGGGTAAAGGCTTTCATTAATTGCTAATACTGTGCTAAAATTTATGGAACATAGCTGTCTCATTAGGAGACAAAACAAGTATTTGGTTGGGGGAACAAAAAATAAATTGGGTATATAAATTTTTACAATGTTATCCACTTCCAAACTTAAATTTAATGAAATAATTATTGGAATATTAAAACTTTTAAGCGATATTTTATTTCAAGACACTTATTAAAATATGTTCTCAGATGTAGCATAATTGCTTACATTTCCACTTTGCTAGTAGATTTGTCATTTACTTTGACTTTCGCATCATGTGTCTTTGTTTCTTCTTCATCATTTTTATGCAGTTCTTTTAGTTTGTTGTTTTTCTTCTAAATAAAAAAAAAAAAAAAAACTGATGAATGAAATTAATAAAACACCAAGCTGTAATTTAATACCTCTGTTCCAAAAATCTTCTTTTTAAGTTGACTGTATTTTTCTTTGACAGCAGCCAATTCATCATTTTGTACAGTGATTTTCCTCATCAGTTTCTCACAGGTCTGTTCCAGGAATGCTATCCTGCCGAATGCCGAGTCCTTGTATTTTTCTGACTCCGTGATGATGTGTTTCAGCTCTGTTACCTGAAATCTCCTGATTGTCATGATACGAGTAACAAAAATAAAACAGTCACAAATACCTTTTTTGCCAACGCTCTTTCTAATTCTTTTTGCGACTTGAGCACAGTATGGAGATTATTCTCTTTGCTTGCTGCGGTTGAATTGAGAACAGCTACAGTCGTTTCTAGTTTGTTGATCTGCTCTCTTAGCTTTTTGTTTTCCATAATGATTTTATCAACTTTCCCAATTTTAACGGGATTACTTAAGTAAAAATATAAACGTATAATTTATAGATTGCAATTGAAATATAATAAAAATTACCTTAATTCTTTTTCTGTCTGCGTCCCTCCAGTTGCTTGGTCCTTGTTCATTTCTGGATAATCATATTCATTGTTGGTGAAAGACTCTGTCTTTCTGATTATTTTATCCAATCTGGCGATATCTTCGTCCAACTTTTGCAACTTCTCTGATGACATTTTATAAATCTAGAATAGAACATTATTCGCTTTTTGTTCTTGTGGATTTTCTATTTTTAAAAACTTGATAATGGCACAAAATGTAGGATTTCAGTACTGCCAAGCTTTTTGTTTAAAATTTAACTTTCAGTACTGAAGAATTTCAAAACTCGCAGCCCCATTTTTATAAAATAAGCATCAACTCAGGGTTTATCATCCTTTAAGGTACTTTCGTAATTTCTATTATTCATCATTTTTACATATGTCATTGTTTAAACATAGTACAAATTTGACATATGTTTTGGTACACTTGAACATCAGCATTGATAAACTAAATAATTAAAGCGCTTTTAAATTTATTTTAGTGATGTAAAAGTGAAATTTCATATATTATAATAACACTTCAATAAGTGTTTATAAAAATGTGTTTCTTGTAAGGCAAACTGGTGTGCCAAAGGAAAACCTTTAAACTTAAAAACTAAAGCTTTAAAAGGAAAATGCATCAGTGAGCAGTCGGTGCCATTAATCGACTATAAAAATAGTAACTATAATTGAAATGTATACCTATATACTTTGATTTCTCAACTAGAATATAGTATCTTCAATGGCACAGTAAAACCGCATTAACGATTCGAACTTAACGTTTTGACACTATCCTTTATTTTGCGAAAAGTAAAATAATAAAATTTAGAAGGAATCAAACAGATGTTTCTTTTTGAAATGCTTTTTATGGTATAATAAACATGTTTTATGAGATTTTTAATAAATATATGCTTTGTAGTTTTACAGTTGGTAAAGCAAAAAAAAAAAAAATACCTTCAGAAATCGTTGCATAATTTTCAGATAAGCTGTTACCGCCAAAAATGTACTTCAAACATTAAAAATCTTGTGTCAGTTCACTTCATTCAAAATTGAACAAATTTATATAAAAAGACATCATCAAAATGTAATCATAAACTGGTCGACATATGTGTATGTCCATCTTCAGCTGGATGAGGAACATACAGACATTTAAATTATGTGATTATTCATAGATTAAAATGATGTATGTAGAAAAATGTAATATAACTTATTTTTAAAAATTAACTCAAATTATCAGTGACAGTTTAAAACCAAAGAGAATTGACTTTTAAATTAATAGACATGCAATAGTTGTAAAAACATTTATTTACATTTGTTTTAAAATTTATTAGTCACGAAATTATCAATACAACTGTCCTTTTTTTTACTATTTTCCACATTTTTTTAGCTCATTGTACTTGAATTTCATATTGGCTATTTCATGCTCTTGTGTGATGATTTTCTTTTTCAATTTCTGACATTGCGTTTCAAGCTCAATGATCCTGTCGAATGCGGTGCTCTTGCAATGTTCGGATTCTTCTAATGCTATTCTATACTCTTCTGTCTGTGAACAAAAGTCAATGTAAATTGTTTCGAGTCAACTATTGTGATGTACCTTTTTTTCGAGCGCTTTTGAAAGATCTTTCTGCACTTGTAATTCGACCTGCAGCCTGTCTTCTTTGTTAGTGACTGTTGAGCTGTAAGCGCTTACTGAAGACTCGAGATTATACAGTCTCTCTTTCAGCCTTCTATTATCCTCTAAAGCCTTGTTAAACTTAGTGAGTCTTTTACCTTAAAACAAACATTTTAAAATCCACTTTTTTCTCAAACTTTAAAGAGTATTGTCTTTCATTCACCTTTGGCTTTCTCATTTTTGACATTTGAAGATTTATTTTCTAGAGTAAGGAGGCAAGCTGACCTTTTTCTGGTCCCTTGTGTACACTTTGTTGGCTTATATTTTTTTTCTGTCACATGCATTCCCCTGTTGGAACTAGAATAGCACGCACAAACACACACTCCCCTTAAGGCCGTTTGATTCTAATAGCTGAACTCGTTTATGAAGCTTTTTTTGGAACTTTTCAAAATGATACCTTTTTATTTTCCAGTTACAAGAATTTTGGTAAGAGGACACAAATCGGAAACATATGGCTAAAAAAAATTAAACATATTTTTTTACTATTTATAAAAATAATTAATTATAGACAGTTCTCTCTAACATTGAATCACTACATGCCAACAAAGCCTATTCTAAACCCCCATATTTTCTTCTTAAACTTACCCCTGGATTAATTTGGTTTTTAACGTTGATAAATTAAATATATAACAATGTTAAAATAAGTTAATAATAATTATTTGATTTTTTTCCGTGTAGGATGCTAGTGTTGGTCAATGATTCAAATCTATTTTACTTTATTTTTTAAATGAGGGTTTGCCACAGCAGATGTCATATCGACCCCTGGGGCCTTAAGCCTAAGCCGGGAACACACCCGATGCAACACCATGCGAAGCTACCCGATGCTGCCCGTTGCAAATCCAAAGTCCATTTTTCCATAAGATTGTATTACCCCTGTGCACATCTGCCTGATGCTATGCTACGCTACCCTACTCTACACTGCGATCCCCACTGTCCAGATTTTCGTCGGGTAGCATCGGGACAGTCAAAGACAAAAGAACTGGACACTCATATTTTTATTCTAACTACATATATTATTGTCATTATATTAATTACAACATACTTATTTTAATATAAACAAAATTAACCGAGATCAAAAATTCATTAGTTTTTATTTAAAAAAATTAATTTTATATGGTTTGGTGGAAAATTGATCAAAACAACGGAATACCATTTTTTGATATAATGAATTTAACTAACAGTTTATTACACGGTTTTACTCATAAAATTTAACTAACGATTTATTTCATGATTTTGCTTATAAAATTACACCATTTTCATCGTGTAGCTTCAGTACAGGACACTCATATTTTTTTGTAGATTATTTCAAACTAAATACATGTAATTTTGTCATTATATTAATTACAACATTCCTATTTTAATGTAAACCAAATTAAATGAGATCAAAAATTCATGTTTTTATAAAAACTATTTAATTATGATGGTTAGGCAGAAAATTGATCAAAACACCGGAATAATTTTATTTAAAACTCCCTAGTTTTAGTGGTCCGCTTGACCAATTAATATCTTTCAATTAATTAAGGTTTTTAGTTGAGATAAAAAATTAATTTAAAAGTTAAGTTTAACAAACAATTTATTACAAGGTTATGCTCATAAAATTTAACTAACAATTTATTACAAAGTTTTGCTCAAAATAGTGCATTAAGAACAAAAGAGGCGTTGCGATTGTGATAGTGATTATTGTGATACACGCTGTGACTCTATGTGATCTGTGCTTGACTTCGCATATATGTGCATACCCTGCCAAAACGTGGCAAGGCGTCGGGTAACATCACATGGTGTTGCATCGGATAAGTGTGTTCCCAGCTTTAGTGTGTTAAAAAAAATAGTTATTTGGGTTTGAATTCAGCCAAAATTAAAATAAATAATAAATATCATTATAACTAAATATCATTCACATGTAAAATTTTAAAAAAATCAACAATTAGTTGATGTACAGGGTGACTTGTGAATAATTTGTCAAACTAGGTATTTCTACACCAAAAACAAAACAAAAAAAAGGTTTGGACAAATTAGCAAACCATTTGTCACAAGCAGTTATTTATGTACTGTAAAATTTGGATCCATTAAACTAGCGACAGGGAAAAGAAAAAGAAACATTACTACATTAGTTTGACAAAAAATTCGATTTCATTACAATCGCTTATTGGAAAAACAGTTGCAACAAATTGCCCACTATCTGTTCCCTTGCTCTAGGATTTCTTCCTCGTCATCAATAACACGAGGATGTCATGTTGGTCCAAGGATTCAGAAGAAAAAAAATGAGATACTAGGTCAATTCCAGAAGAAACTACTCTGGTCGGATATCTGAATATTTGTCCTGGACTAATGGTGGCAGTTGAAACCACAGGTGCATTAGATCGAGTAGTGGTCATCAAGGCACATTAATATGGTGAGTTAAGAGAAGCCCTCATGACTAAACCTGAAACATTTCTTTCAAGCAGCTGGTTTAGTATTTGGGTGTACAGTGAGTAGAGCAATGGTGCATACTAAAAAGACTCTCAGGGTTTTCACGATTAAACAACTCCAAAGAATGCTCCTCACCCTTTTCCTAATTTCTTTGAGCTCCTCACTATCCATAACCTGAAAAAAAAATCTGATTTTAACTACAATCACAAAAATGTTAATATCTTAGGAAAGAATCAATATAGAAACATCGTTCTATTGCCCTTACGTTTTATTTAGTGAATCCACTATGGCAGTATTGACATTTAACCCTGTATAGAGCCAAGGTATAGTACCCTCCAATTATGCGAGGATTGTGCTGGACACAGATGCAGGCTTTCACCCAAAAATAAATTTTTGCTTCAATCTAGTATGATATTTATAAAGTGTTAAGAGGATCAAACATTGAAATTGTATTATGATATATAAAGTCAAATTCTGTCATATTGTAAATCAATTTTATTTAAATTACACTTTGTTAATTTTTTTTTCTGAGTACACTTAGCTCTTGTCATAAAATTAATAAATTAAATAATTTCATCATTAATAATTATTGACCATAATACAATATTTTTAAAAACATTTAATTTGTTATGAACACATATTTTCTAATTGATAATGTTAATTTAATTAAAACAGCACAAGTACAGGTTAAATAAAACATTAATCAATATTAACTATACATTATTTGTTAACATAAATACACTTTTAAATAGCATTTTGGTAATCATTTAAAATTAATATTAAAGTACTCGAATTAGTGCATGAGTACTAAAAATAATAATGGCACCATTGCAAATTTGTCATGACTTTTTAATTGTCTAGTTAGGCGTTGAATTTAACTGATGAAAGACGCTATAAGACCTGAGGTAGAAACGTCTTTAGCTTCAAATTGAACAAAGCTGAGGAATGTGATTTAATACGTGTAGTTATAATATTTTATATTTAGGCAAGAACTTGTCATGTTCACACGAGATGTTGAGTTTTAAGGACATGGTGAACACAAACTCATTTCATGTCTTGGAAGCACAGTTTAACTTTATAAATAAAGAACATTGTAGACTAATTATCTTCCAGGGAATTAAGGCACTGGTTAATAAGGCGGCAGGAGCTATCCCATGTTTATTAACTTCTGAGTCTAGAGAGTTTTTTGCTTTTGTCGACTATCTTGTCTGGCGGAGGACTTTTGATTTGTATCTGCCTCTCGTACAAACTGTAACAAACAAAAATATTGTAAAATTTTTGATTTTACATATTTATATATTTTTAAAGAAATTTACAATTTATAAATATCTGATCTTATATAGTCCATGAGACGAGGGATACCAGTCTGGAGCTGGTCCTCAATCGGTGTAACCCAGTTGTTCAAGTGAAGCCTGAATTCCGATTTTTCACTTGTGAAGTCCAAATTGCCTGAAAGAATTGTTTTAAAGTTTATTTCTCAACTGGTCACTTTTTCTAACTCACCAATTTCAGGAGGCAGGAGTGTTAGCCTGTTTGCCTGAATGTGAAGTTCTCTGAGCCTCGTCAGCTCTCCGATTTCTTTAGGGATCTCAATCAAATCATTGTCCCTGAGCACTAACTAATTGTAAAACATTTTTTAAAAGGAAACTGGTGGAAAATTTAAGTGTTTACATAGCTCACAATAATACTCACAATTTGCAAATTTTTTAAATTGCGAATATCCGAATGTAAATATTCAAAATCGTTGTCACCCAGGTACAAAGCTCGCAGCGTTTCTGAAAGTAAGTTTATAAGATTTGTGTAAAATTTAGTTTGTGTTTTACTGGTCATGATAATTTTTTGAAGATTTTAAGATTTTTTAAAATATAGAAACAGAGAAAATAAAATAGATAAATGCTTTTTAATGTTATATTGAAGCTCGTGAGACCTTGCAGCTTCATATCCTGGTATCAGCGATAACAGGCTGATCTAGATAATTATTAAGCTGCCTTTTTAAATTGATTCACAAAAAAGAAAAATTGTTGGAAAATTGGATGTATACTCTGCAGGGTATAAGCACTTTCATAATAAAATTAAAATGAAAAAATCCTTAAATTGCTATTTTTTACATTAGCAGACAACTTAACTAAAATACTAATGTAGAGATTGTGTTTACCTAACATATAAAAATTGCCTGGGAGGGTTTTTTCATTCAGGTTGTTGTAAGTCAAATCCAGGACTTCGAGGGCTGGGAATGCACCGAAGCCCCTTGGCAGCACATTCAAACGATTCATCCTGAGGGTTGAAATCTCGTTTTATAAAATACTCCCATAGTATTGCCTAAAACTGGACTAACGACCAGAGATGGGCGGATTTCGAGGCTCACCCGACATTCAATATCCTCAGTTTGGGCATGGACGACAACGAAGTCGGCAGCTCTTCGATCTGGTTGTTGAAAAGATTCAGGATCTCGAGGTTGATCAGGTTGGCCAGACTAGGTGGTACGACTGAGATAGTTTCACATATTAGACAAAAAAATTCTCTATTAAAATTTAACTTTAATAAAAATACTCTTACCCCGAATTTTGTTGTGCGTCAAAGTCAGTCTTGATATGTTCAGCATATTTACTAAAATATATTTAATAATTATTATAAAGTAAACCAATAAATATTACAACATACAATTGGGAGCTACTAATAGGTCATTTCAAACCATAACTCATGCACTTTGTATCTAAAACCATAACTAAATTAAGAGAGTAATGGAGTACTGAATATCCTACCATACGAGACATTATATACCCAAAAATTGATTAACCTAAAAGAACTAAAATAGAAGTATTATCTTTCAAAAATAAAAACAGAAAGCTCAATCTCAGTGCACTCAAATAGTTCTCACATCTGGTAGAATTCTTAATTGCTCTTCTGTATTCAGCCAAGCCCTTCAATCAAGTGAGACATATCAAGCATCTTATGCTGGACACGTTTGCTGGCTTGCTTTGACCCAAATATCCACAAATCATCCTTACCTCTAGGCATACTGCATCAGGTGAGGAAAATCCCTCTATTTTGTCTCAAATCCATGATGACAAACTACACATACCCATTTTGCCAACTGCCAAAAAAAGAAAAATCACAAGGACTTCTGAAAATCACACATCAGGGACAACTTGCTGTGCTCGAGTACAGTTGTATGAATCCACTTCTGGTGAAATTTGTCTCTCAAAATCTCTGCCAACCGACACCAATTCAATTACGTGGAATATAACCAGCAACTTTTCTCTTCTTGTTGATAGCTGTCAACCATGTACAGCCTATTTTGAATTAGATGAGAATGATCCGTTTATATGTTTCACATCTCATGAGGGCTAACTAACTACTGACCATTTTTTTAATATAAAAGTCTGCTAATCTACCCAACTACAATGCTATCACATTTTTAGCATCAGGGGGCAGTTTGTTATATTTAACATATATTAATTATGTAAAATAACTATATATTCTTGAACCACACCCAAGGCCTAGCCAGCTAGTGGCCTGGGGTCAACAGTTTCTTAAACCTATCCCTCTGTAGGGTCTCACCATCCAAGGTTTGCAACCTGAGGCTGCTCCGTACCAGAGACCTTAAGTTGAGATGCAGAGACCTTGAGTGAATGACAGTTAAGAGGTATCAAGTGAAAAAACGTTAGTGACAGTTGAGATAGTATTAGATGAAGAGTCCATTAGAGAATGACAGTTGAGATAGTATCATAGGAAGAAATCGTGAATCATGACAGATTAGATGGTATAAGATGCAGAGACCGTGAATCAGAGTCATAACTAGAGTAGAGTTATAATTAGAACCTGAATGAGAGGCAAATACTTGACTGTCAGAGACAGAGTTGAGGAGGAGAGTTGGAGTTGGTCAAAGAAAGTTAGATGTGGAGAGTCCGATAGATGGAGAATAGGATATAGTGAAATTGCATCCGAAGTCATTATTATATGGTTGTCTTCCCAAGTAGCCCATCATCAGAAGAGAGGCTCCAGTGATCAATCGCCTTTAAAACCTATGACTCAGCACAACATTCCTCCCCTGCAATAAAACTGATTTTAGAGCAGGGGCACCACTCTCTAAACTGATGTTTATTTAAGCCTTTTTTCCCATGTAAAATTGCTCTACCTCTTTGAGAGATATATCCCATGGCAAAGAAGAGATATTTGTGATACAATTTGGTTTAAAAAAAACCACAACTGAACTGAACAGAGATCAAGTGAAATTTCCACTCAGCCTTTATACGAAGCCAAGGAGCCACATTAAGCAATATATCTCTAATATGCGCAGATTTACTTTGACCCAAAAGTTTGTATCTGAGCCATCTGTGCATGGTTTATTCTGAGTCGGGATGATAATGTTACTTCTATAATTCAATCATCCGAGGACCAATTTTGAACTTTACAATGGATACCAGGAACTGGAGGAGGAGGTCCCCCTGATTACTGCAGCTGTACAGCTTGTACTTTATTCCTGGTTCCATTTTTTAGGAGCTCGCGAGTGAATTGAGCACCCGATATTCCATTGTTCTTCTATCAAAGAAACTCGTTTTTGAAGGGGGTTGGCACCAAATTCAGGGTCGCTGAGATCCGATCCCGCCCCATACTTTCCATTGATGAGTGTCGTGTCAATTTCTTTCAATTGGGGCCACTGGTCCCCTTCGGCGTCAGAAAAAAAGTCCAGAGTCTAGAGGCTAGGTGGGGACCCACGACCGCAGGATTTACTAGCCAAGAGTCTGACCCTTAACCACTCGCCTACCACAGCCTCTTCTATTGATTAAAAAAATTTCATTTTAGTGTCAGGTTCAAACATTGAGACGTTTCGGGCTCACAAATATTAATCATAGTTGTATGTCTTGCTTTAGTGAATGAAAAAATCATTTTCATTTTACTTATAGTTTTGTTTTGTTTTTACTTATTAGTTTGATCTATTAAAAAATCTGATTCTTTGGAATGTCTGTCGATAATTTTTTTTAATAAGTAATTAGGCCTTTTTTTAAGCAAATTAAGGTGTTAATTTGCAAATATTTAGCAGGAAAGCTGTTAGTTTTTTTTGTTTAAACGAATGTAGCTTGAAACATAAATAGTCTCAAGGTTTTCACAACAAACTTGGCCTAGTTTTGGGTTCAAGAAGGCGGAGTATATTTTTCTCAGGCCAATTTATTATTAAATAACGGCATAAATCTTAGAATTGTTAAATACAAAGCGAGGTATTTTTAATTGTAAAGGGAAAAATAAAATTAGAAGGAGGATCGTTTTGTTAAGGAGTGCCACGCCTGGGGAGACCTGCCATGGGCCAGTTTCCTTATAAGGCGAGGCTGGCGACTGTTGGGTCGGCGGGTCTACTCACAGAGGCCGGGCATCTCCTCGAAATTGGCGATCCCTTTGTCGCAGAGATCCAGCTCCGGGTTGTTGATGGCCCGGGCCTCGTCGATCGTCTTTTTCGCCTTCGACATTTTGGCGTTGGTCGGTAAACAAGAGACTGGCGGGTTATCCATTGCGAGCGCAGCCCGTGGACGAGTTTCTGTGGGGTTTTGGAGCGCTTTTATGACCGGGGCTGCCTGGGAGGACGCCTTCGTTAAGACTGCAAGTCTGCAACCTCTTCTACCCCCGCCACGACAGTCCAACCCTGTCTTGACCATATTTGCAATATGTCAACAACTGGTCCACAAATCCCTTTTAACTACCTTATTTCTTATAAATAAAGCCTAAAAAAAATTCCATTTACTCCTCTGAAGACAAACTAACTTATTTTTGCCAAAAGGCACGTTGCAAACTCATTATTATACAGCTAATAAAAAAGATGAAACTTTTCCCTCCATCCCCCCTTTTTAAAAGTCAAGATTCAAATCTTACACATATTTTTTCAACAGTATGATGATGATTAAAATATCTTATGTGCACATTCTACATATAAAAAACATATATTTTTGAAATATACTATTATTGCCTCATTCTTCCCAACTTTGCCCTTACAATATAAAGGATAAAACAGGCAGAAGCTATTACACACTTTATAAAATTGTAATAGTAAATTAACGGAATGTCCCAACCTCCGGGTTTAATCACCGCAATCCAGATGCCTGACATTAAAAAAAAGCAATAAAAACATGATTAAAAGAAGGAATGGGCAGAGAAGCTCTCGCATATCAAAAGCACTGTCAAGATAGCCCTTGAAGTACCTGGGTTGTAGAAAAAGGATAATTCTTACTTGATTAAAGTTAGGCAATGTGAGGTATACATACTTTTGCACCAAAGCCCACTTACGTGTCAGCAGGCAGAGAAAGGTCAATGTGTCCCACCTAATTGAAGTACACAATTCTTTGGATCCTATTGAGTGAGCATAGAAATGCTACTCAATACAATAGTTGGGCTTGAGCATAGCGAGGTTGTTTTTATTTTGTATAGTACTGATACTACGCTGTGTCCCCAAGTGTGTGTTGAGAGTGAAAGTATTTATTGGCGAGAATGTGTAGTGTGGGAGGGCTGAGGCAGAATATTGAGTACCCCATTGACCATTTTAATCCAATAAAAGCAACAATATGCCAACCAATCCTACTATACTTTGCTTTTTATTATTTTAAATCCTGCTAACTTATACTATTAGTTATAAGACATAAGAAAAATATACACTCTCAAATTTTATGCAAAATCATAGTATCATAATAACAGTTAACTAATATTTGTGTTTACAACTTACTGTGAGTAGGAACAATCTTTTTTAAAAAAGAATTGAACACCGCACTCACTCCATCATTCACCATTTCTAATAATTATGTATTCCAGAAATATATATTTTTCTTCTTTTTTATTTTTGTTTTATTTATTTATTTATTTTTTAGACTTTCAGTTAAAATGCTGCAAGAAAATTATAGAGAGTGTGTACATCAGAAGTTTCAATTGACCGCTAAGAAAAAAAATCTTTTGTGTGTGAGGATTTGAATCTTCATTTTTAAAAAGAAGAGGTGGAAGGAAAGAAATTTTTTATTAGCTATATCAAGTTTGACTAGTGTTTTTGGCCAAAATAAGATAATTTCTCCTAGTAGAAGCAAATTGAACTTGAGGCCATTTTTCCATATAAAATATTTAACTTTGCTCTTCTATACATGGATATATGTATATGCATATATTTCCGTATTTAACGTTATATTATTTCTAATTAAAAATTTTACTGAATGTAATTCAACTAAGTAGGCCCAAAATATTCTTATTTTTACTTACTTAATCAACATATTTTTATGTAATTGTTTTCTAATATTATTTATATAATATTTTGAAATATTTAATATTAATTTACAATGACAATTGAAAAATTTACAATAACAATGACAAATGTGTTCTTTTTCAGATGTATTTATACAAAACATTCTTTTAATCTATTTTCTTACTTTACATATTCTATAATACTGTAATTTTTTCCTTTGTTTTGCTTTTTTATTTTATACATTGTATATTTCTATATCTAAACTTTTTTTAAAAATAGAATTAATACTGTAAAATATATTATTACTGTTAGTCTATTTAATACCCTCAAACGGTGAACCATGAGAAACGTCTCCCGAAACGTCTTTCTTGCTCTGTAATATATACTGCTGATATGTAAACTTTGTATATATATTAAAGAATAAAAGAAGTAATATAAGAATAAAGACATGTAATAGTAGTAGTCTATTTATTAGAGTGTAGTTAAAAAGGGATTTATGGGCCAGTTGGTGTTAGAAGAAAAAACCTTTTTATTAACTTATTAAGTGATAATTTTGTATGTTTTGCTGTGTAAAACATTTATGTAATTTTAAATTTATCCCTAAACATTTATTTTAAAATTGTTCTTATGGTTTTGAACGAATTTGATAATTTAAAGGTGGAGGGTAATCCTTGTTTATAAAAATAAAATTATTTTTAACGCAAGCATTAAAATTGATTTGATTCAGAGATTTTGTTGAAGTTTAAGATTATTAAGAGAGAATAAGACTAAATTTTATAAAATTGTGTGAAATTTCGTTGTAAATTGGCTTAGGCCGCTGTTGTAACGGTCGTGTTGGCTGCATTGTCAAAGTGATTTGTGAGAGCGATCAGTTGGATTTGTCGTAAAATGGCTGTCTAGAACCTTTTTTGAGACCCGGTTTGAATAGGCTGTCACAATTTTCTCCTCACGACCGTGTATGCACCGGATTTCCATGCATCCATACACAAATAGACGGTAAGTGGGCCGTTTTCGGATCGGTGCCGGCTCCCCGGCCTGCCCTTCTCTGCCCTCCGCCCTTCGTCGAAACGGTCCCTTCGCCCTCCCGTCTGGACTTCGCCAATATTTTCCCGGCATCTGGCCGTTTAATTCCACCGGCGAGGGTCGTTTCGCCTTTTAATCATCGGACTTACCACCCCTGCTTTCTCTCCGGCCTGAGCTAATTGTAAATTTTCAAAATTTCTCTTAAAGCGGCCAACGTTTCGTAGATTTGCATGTGAAATAGGTCATTTTCGGCCACTGTCAAACACTCCGTATTTGATCCCAATTTTAGCCAACCAATAAATGCTTAATTGAATAAAAAATTGAATTCAAAACAAAAACCTTTGAAAATCTTGCTCAACACCATAAATTAAAACATCAATGGCATTATAGGCCACCATCAATTTCATTTTACGGATCCAACAAAAAAGACCTCCATTTTTTTGACGTGTGGTAATTAAAAATAATTTGTTGTTTGTTTCTGATCATTTTGTTCTGCCTATCTTTGCTGTTTTGGTCTGTCAAACGTGTTTTGGCATTTTGTCATCTTCAGTGCTGGGTTTGTAGTTGGTCAACGCCAAACAGGGTGAGACAAGACAAACGAACAAGAAACACCACCAACTTCATCTTGTTCTGAACTGCGTCGTCCAGTCCTGGTTTAACATAGCAATTTGAAGCATTTAATATCCTATATCCTGTATAGCAGCCCCTTTTTTTTTGCAAGGTGTCCGCTTTGTCGTTGCCTTCTACTTCCACATGTTTGGTTTTGCAGTTCAACACCATCTTTGAACTAATGGTCTTTGAGCTTTGTGCTTTGACGGTTGCTTAGCTATCTGACATGAAAGGACTAACCTAATCATGATAATCTTAATAATTGAGCTTAGGATGTCCGATACTTGCTTTTGCAGTACATATATTAAAATTGGAACTCTACTGTTTCATTGTCCTTCGGTGTACTTCGTTATTCTGGCAACATGCCCTCCCCAACACAACCAACTTTGCTTAATACTCTAACTCTTGGTAATTTGATGTAGATGTATCCTCCATTCTGTGCCTATAGCACGTCAGTGAGTTCTAATTCATCAAGTAATTTGATCAGTAGGCTTGGTTTCAGTGGTTGAATTTCTTCTACGGTTACATTGTATGTCACAAAGCACTTCCTCCTGCGGGCAAGTGTAGCACCACAGTTTGCTAATAGGTGTGTTTGCGACTCCTCTGCTTTGCAGAATCTGCACATGCCACTTTTCTTTAAATGTCGGTTTAGGTTACAGGTCCTGTTAGGAATCCTGTTAAGATTTGCAGTTTTTTCTTACTTACCTTGATACATTCTATTACTTCTTTCCTTCCAAAATTTGTTAGGAGGTTCTTGGATTATCAGAGATGTTTGTGTCTGAGTGAGTTGTTCCCGCATTTTTGTTTTATCCTTATATCTGAGGTACTCATTGATGGGTTTCCATGCCACAGAATGGTTAGGCTGTATAGCAGCCCTTTTTTTTTTGCAAGGTGTCCGCTTTCTCGTTGCCTTCTACTTCCACATGTTTGGTTTTGCAGTTCAACACCATCTTTAACTAATGGTGTTTGAGCTTTGTGCTTTGATGGTTGCTTGGCTATCTGACATGAAATGTTCTTGTTTTTGTACCTTTATTCAAGTATAAATGAGTACATCTTCCGATTGCATAGACCTCAGCTTGGAAAATACTGGTGTATTTCCCATGGGTTCCGGGTATTTAGTTCCAGGAACGAATACACCTACTCATGTACCTTCTTGTGTTCTAGATCCATCTGTCTACGTTTGGTTGGTGCCGTTCTTAATGGAGGTGTTTTTTCTCTTTCCCATTCTTTTTTGGTACCTAGGTTTATATGGAAGTTTTGATTAAATTCAAACATCCAGCCTATTTTGTACAATTACTACAAGTAGTTACTGATCATTTGGTTTGCCTATCCTTGCTGGTTTGGTCAATGATGAACAGGGTGAGACATTACGCACTCATATACAAATACAAATTCATTATCCTACTCAGCTTTTACTTCTAATTGGCTCATAACAGTGAGATTTTCCTTCCTGAATTGGTCTGTCAATGTGTTTATGACAGACTCGATGCAGCAAGAAAAGGCAGATAAAAATTGAACCGAGAAAACTCATACTTTAACTTTACTTTATAGCATCTTCTCCTGGTTTCCCTCTCTCCATTGTCTTTATATTTGCAGAAGATTCTCCCTTAAAAAATTGGGAACTGTTTTTTATTGGCTTTTACCAAACTTTTGAAATGTATGTGGGTACTGGTTGAATAAATTTATTGTAGAGGATGTCTTTTTTTTTCTCTTTGATATATGTTTGCTGGTTTTATATCAGTTTATCCTGAATCCTGAATTAATTACCTGAGCCTCTCTCTTCATTGCTTCTGCATGTTTGCTTATCATAAATAATTATACATATGAAGGTAATAAAATTATTTCTTTCAACATTCATCATTATCCTCAGGATTGGTGTGAAGTCCTGTGTGCTTTTATTTTGTGTTGATATAATTAATAGTAGAGTAGTTAAATCATTTTAAATGTTACTTTCCTGATATTAACAAATTGAAAATTATAGGCTTTTTAATGTTTGCTTCGTGTTGTTTAAACTTAAAAAAAAAAATAGCTATTTTCAAATTATACTTGTCTTTAGTCTTTTTTATTTTTTTAAAAATTTCTTGGATTGTTTAGTGTAGATCTCTTCAATTTTACGCCTTGAAATGCCATTAATTGTGGCAAGCATTTGTTCAATATTTCAAAAAAAATAATCGGACAATTATTTTTATGGACTGTTCAGATAATGTTTTTAATTGAAAACTCATGACAATGAATTATCAAACAACTAAAAAAAAACCCATGAAATAATTTTGTAAAGTCAGGATGACAACGATAATGAAAAAAAATGTACGGGCAACAATTTCCAATATAAACTATCCCCCTAGTGGTAAATGTGTAATACAAGTGAAGAAAATAAACATTTCAAAAAGTGAAAATATCCTGCTTTGTTTAAGAAACTCCTTTATAAAAAAATAATAAACGAAAGTTGATTCACCTGTTTGATAAACGAAGAATTCCATTTTAATCAAATTAAATACAGATAAGAGGAAAATCGTTCTCGTACCATATTTAAATAAGTTTTTATTTGATCGTATCAATATTTAGTTTCCCCGAATCTGAAGTTAGGTTTGAATTCGTTCACTAAGCTAAATAGTATTTTAATTAGTTAATTTAAATATTAAAAGCCAATCAATTTATTTCACCCCATGTTTATTATTTGAATTATATATTATATGAAAAAAAAATTAAAAGCTGAACCAGTAAAAAGGAAATTTAACAAAATAATATAGTGTTATTGATCAAAACCAATAAAATGCCTGGCATTTAGCCATAAAATGCATAATTTGAACATGGCGTTGTTACTAAATAAGTCTCGCCTGTTCAAAGTTTATATTTAGAATTAAACTAATAAATATTTGTTAGATTTCAAGTATTATTTATCTAGGGCGAATTGATTTTAGTGATTGATATTTGGTGAATGGGTAAGCTTAATTGTAACTGTCATGATGATACCACGTTTAATTAAGCACTTTTTGTCTCAGTACCTTGGCAAGTTAAACATTTAACTATTTTTCTTGTAGTGTTACACAGTTATATTTATAATTAGGTTATATTTGTGAAAGCTAGATGTCCCATTTGCTTTCTAATGTTCCTATTTTTAAAACTGCTTTCAAGAGTTAAAAAATTCCTCACTTGAATTGGTTTTTTAAATAAAATAAATTCCAAATCATTTTTTTAAGTTATCCATATACAACTTTATATTAAATATATGTTGTATGTTAATTTTCTTTTAGGTGGATTAAAAATGACTGTATTATGGGAGGACGGTGAGTGTCCTCCAAGGAAAAGGCTCTGCCTCTCCGCAAGCCAAACCCGCCGTGGCACCACTTCTGGTGAAGAAGTGCATGTGCCAGATCAGAAACAACAGCAAGAACCTCCAATGGCCATGCCGATAGAAGCAGGTATGAGAAGTCAGACTCTTTAATAATTAATTCCATTTCTCAGTTATTAAACAATGATTTTAATTTTTATCTTAAAAAATAAATTTTGGTTAAAAGAAAACAATGTTAATTATAGTAAATAAAATGTTTTGATGGTTTTATTTATTTATTTTTGTATATTATTGTATATAATTATTAACCAATATTATTTATGGCATTATATGAAAAAAAAAAACTTGTATAAATTATTGATTTATTACAAAATAAAAATAAATGCTTGACAGATACTCGTGCCTTTTAGAATGTTTATGTAAATGACCTGATGGATTTCCAGGCATGATGGTTGTCGGCGGTGTTGACGCAGTTGGAGGTGCAGCAGTGAGATGTGGGCACGACGACTGTGAGAGCCCAATCACCACTCTCTCCAATCTAGGGAATACTTGCTTTCTAAACAGTGTTCTATATACTTTGCGATTCGCACCCTCTTTTATACACAACTTGCATCACCTCGCTTTAGATCTCAAAGAATACAGCGGCCGTCACACTTTAAAAGTATAGTTGTGAATTTTTATATTTTTATCATCCGGTTTGTAAATGTTGTAGTTTTTTCAGTGTTCCTCTTTGGGTCGAGGCGGGAAGAGTTGGAGCAGCAAAGACCTGCCGTCTTTGGGTGGGGGTGACGTTCCCAATGTCAAAATGCAAATTGCCACTGATAAACTCCACCAGCTGTACGAAGCTCTTCACACTGAAGAGCTTAAAGACAACATGGAGTCTTATCACCCCCACGTCTTCCTACACTCTTTAAGGTTTTTTATTTAATTTACAAATTAAATAAGAATGGATTTTATCAGCTGCCTTTTAGGGATGTAAACCCGATATTCGAAGGAAACCAACAACACGATGCCCACGAGTTGCTTGTCTGCCTCCTCGACAACATCAGGGAGACGTGCAAACAGTTGAGGCAGCTTGTGGCATCGACACCAGTTTCGACAATACCTTCTGCTCCGCCGTCGCAACAGCCTGCAAAGCAATCTTGGTCCAGTCAAGTGCGAAAGAGCCTTAGCATCACTAGGGCGAGACCTAAAATTAATGGCGATGATAAAAAGTTAATCCCATTAGGCAAAGGTAAAGCGAAAATTATTATTTCTTTGATTATTATTTATGTTATTTTTCTTGTTTAGAATCTCAGATACAAAATGGTGATTGTTGTACAAATGGTGTAGACGAGGAAGATGACCATAGCAACATTGGCCATAATTTTATTAGTGAACACTTTGAGGGTGTTTCTCTCCTAAAAACAACATGTTTAGAGTGTGAGCAAGTAACTCAAAGGCAGGAGACCTTCTCAGATATCTGTGTTCCCATAACTACTAATCTTAAAGGTAAAGCTTAACTAAAGCGTAACTTTATTACTTTTGCAGTTATTCAATTTTGTATTACACATTTATATTGATTGATGATTAAATAAATTATGTGCTTTTGTTTGTTTTTGTAGATAAACCTTCAAATGTCAATAAATTGTACCAAAATGCTCTTGTAACAGAAGAATATTTGCATGACAGTAACAAGTACTGGTGTGAGCAGTGCCTGCGGTACAATGAGGCAAAACGGTGTGTCAAATTTGAAACTCTTCCAAAACTGCTGACCCTTCAGATAAAACGATTTTCTTCAGGGTTCGGGTGCGTGTTTAAATTTTAACAATCGAACCAATTACCAAATTAAAGTGGTTAAATAGTGTCTTTTTATTTAGTTCTGTTGTTAGTAAAGTCAACGAGCACATGCCGACCCCATTGGTCCTGGGCTGTTTTTGTGAGAAGTGCCAAAGCACAAACAACCCAGACCACCAGTACCACCTCTATGGCGTAATCATGCACCTCGGCGCTACGATGGCATCCGGGCATTATGTTGCCTATGTAAAAGCGCGAGATTCATCTGTCGACTATGACTCTTGCACAAGGGAGAGGCGCAAAACTGCTAGTCTTAGTGCTAGTTTGTCGTCCTCAGCAGCTGCTAACTCAAATGACAAATCAAACTCAAAGAGGAAATGGTTTTCTCGCCAAAAAAATACTAGTCCATTACCGAGAGGGCAATACTTCAGGTAAAAGTTTTATTTGGCACATTTCACACCGAAACATGGGTACCAGATTAGAAAGCTGTAAAAATGGTTTATATAGTTTTTTATCTCTCTCTCTCTCTCTCTCTCTCTCTCTCTCTCTCTCTCTCTCTCTCTCTCTNTCACTCACTCACTCACTCACTCACTCACTCACTCACTCACTCACTCTCACTCCCCCTCACTCCCCCTCCCTCCCACCCTTCCTCCTCCTTCTCCATTTATGTAGAATATTGGAGATAGTAAATGTTTTTTAGTTTGTCATTTACAGAAATGTTATTGAATGCTTTTACTAGCAAGTTTTTTGTTTGCTGTATACCTCAGTGCCATACAAATACATCACAAAGCGTCAGCCGAAGAGGTTAAGTTATTTCTTTAACAATTGCTCCTGCTGTATTCAGTGAATTTGACTAAAGTATTATTAATTGTCATCAACTGTTAGCTGAAAAAATATCATGTACTGTACAGGGTTTGTTTTATGTTTAAATAACGGTAACTAGTCAATGTCTTGTTTGAATTTCAATCAAAGTGACTCGACAGAAATCTTTCATGTTAAGACTAATGGAGTGCCTTGACACAGCCCCACTTTTTTTCCATTTTAACACGTTATATATTAATGCTTTTATCTATATTTTTTTAATATATTTTTATATATCTATATTTCTATGCTTTTATATATTTTTTATATATTACCTTAGATAAGAGTTTTGTTTTAGGTCATCGTGCAGAGGTGCAGAGTGTTGTGGAGTGAAGCTGCGTATTGATGAGACATCTGAGCCGGTTTGGTTGGAATGCGACGATGAGACTGTGAGGACCATCTCCAAAAAGCAACTGGAAGAGATTCTCGCTCAGAAACAACCGAAAAACTCCACCCTCACCCCGTACTTGTTGTTTTACGCAAGGCAGTGATGTTTGTTGCTTCTAAGCTAGCTTGTGATGCCACATTCCTCTTTCCTTTAGAAGAAAGTAATAGTCACACTGTTAATCTATTCAAATTTCAATTGCAACACTGATTTCCAATTTTACTACAGGTTTCGCTGTGTTAAAAGTCGCATTTATCAATTTTATGTTCAAAGCGAGAAATGCTTCAATCAGTCACGTCTACTTTCTGCATATCAGAATATGCATCGTTTTAAAGTGTCTCATCTTGTAAGAGTTTACAATTGATTGATCGATTACAGTTGTTTCTAATATATTTTTGATCACTTAAAGATTTTAGAATATTTTATAACACTATGTTAATTTGTAGTCAAAAATTGAACACATTGTCCTTGCATAAGACAAAATCTAATTTTTTTTAATGAGAGCATAATATAAGCATGGTGATCTTGACCCTCCATGGCAGAAATTCGTCAATTAACAACATTGATTTGTACATTTTATTATGATTGAAAGAAAAGTGAGACAAAAATTGTCTACTGTCAATATTTTTCTAGGTTTTTAATAGTTTATTTATTCAAATCACTAATAAGGGGGTTTAATAAAGCACATTAACTATTTATTATTGGTTTATGTGAAAATAATTTAGAGGCACATTTTATTTTAATAATTTCATAAATTCAACTTCTTTTTGAAATAATTTCCTTAAATTCTATTTTAACGAACAAAACTACAATAGTTTACACTGTTAATTGTGGCATAATTTAATTTTTTTTTAATATTTGTTTATTCCTTTTAAATGCATTTGGCCTAATAAATTAATTCAGACTGGAAACCTGTCAAACCAAAAACATTGCAAAACTAGTATAAAGTTGTTATCGCAAATAATATTTGCTCAATGTTACAGTTGATGATAGATTTAGTATATTGTTGATTGTGTCGATATATTTAATTATGTATTAAGTGTTCAATGAGGACATGTTCATAAAGTTACATAAGGCTTGCTTACATGTTGAGATTCCAAAGGAATTTTTTTAAATAGACGAATCCCAAATGTACAAAATACAAAAAACCTACACCAGTCTTTACTGGTAATTCCAAAAATTGTAAAACAAATTTTATTCTATTATAATTACATTAATTTTCAATTATTTGGTAATGTGGTTTATGCTTTTATATGTCAATAAATGAAACTGTTTAACATTGTGGTTGAATACTTGAAAACTTTATTCAAAAGAGGAAAAAGTTTTCAGTCTAAGGCTCTCTGTATTTATAAAAGAAAACCTGATCAGTATTTGCAATGTTACTGGTTTTCTAGTCTTCAGTTAAATTATTTTGACAAATTAAAAAATTAATGACATCTAAATTGTGATATTTTTCTTACAGCACGTTGAATTAATTTTCTCTTTTGAGGTCGACGGTAATGGGCTGATAATTTACTTATCGCACAAAATTAAAAGTACTTTTGTTAAATGTTCACGAGATAGTTGTAGTTAGGTTGATTTTGTTTAATTTTAATTTTAATCAGGATTAATAAAAAATTTCATTAAATAAATAAAAACAACTGTTTATAACCTCTTATAGAGCATCGTTTGATGTAAAAATAAAACTGCCTAAATTTATAGGGCTGAAATAAAAAGAAATATATACATTAATTGTATAATAATCACTGTAAATTGTCTCGTCTATGTATAGTGTATATTAAAAATAATGGTTGTAGAACTTTGGCACAAAGCTCTGTTTTAAGATTTGGAATAAAAAGCCCATTGCTTTGCTTCCTCTAATATTTAGCAATAACAATTAAATGAGATCTATGTAATTTATAATTACACAAAAAAAAAAAATCAAGCTAGCTACTGTGATAAGGAGCATATTTGGTTGAAATCATATCGTTACATAATAATCTTTGAACATTCCTTAAATTGTTTTTAAATTAATTTTTTTTTTGCGTCTTAGATTAATGTTCTGAAGCACTGCAGAATGAACCATTTTAATACATGTGTCATAAAAAATAAATAAAAATCATGTATTTAGTTTTGGCCTACATATGAGATATATTACGAGATTATATTGAATCATCATAAATAAATTTTATTTATAGATTGTAGATTATAGTATTTTTATTGTTTGTGTAATTTGTTGAATTTTGTTGAAATTAAAATAGCTTGATAATACGTTCCGTGATATGTTCCATGTTGTCTTCTTGTACGGTGTGAATTGAACTTTTAAGACAAAATGTATATTTATTATACTTTTAGATCTGCCTACATTTGTTGTTAATCAATGTAACACAAATATTTATATAATCATTACTTCAGAAAAAGCAAACAAGAATAGGAAAATGTAAGTACGTCAATTAAATTAATCTTTATTTTAATTACATGCATAGTTGTAGTAAGCAAAGCTGTGCATATTTAATTTAGAATAATGTATTTATTATGTCAATAGTTTTTAGCTCATCGGTTTTTATTTTTATTTATTAATGCAGAAATGAGCTGATAATGTTGATATGTATTATTTTTTTTTTTAGAACAAAACCTGTCATTGTAATTTATTTGGTGAAACAACTGCATATTTGCTTATGTAAAAAGGTTTTGATCAAATTCTGTGTCTAAAACCGTGAAAGACCTATAATTGAAAATACTAGATTTTAATAAACCATTTGAAATAATCATTGAAAAATTAGCTGGTTAGGAAAATAAAGGGAAAAGAAGACAAACTTGGAGTTGGTAAATGGTATAAAGAAGCCTTTGTGCACAACATGGCCCCCAGACCGATCGTCTTTCCAGCCGCAACAATAATAATTCTTTCAAGTAGCAATAAAAGCTCTCCAAGTGTACAAGGTCTCAAAATTGTCTGGAACTGCCTAAATTCTCTGGGGAAAAAAAAGATCTGCTAATAGCCTAATGCTAAAGTGGGTCGTAGGTCATGAGGGAATTACAGGCAACAATACACTTGCTAAAAAAGAACTGGAATATTGGGTAACTAAAGAACACAATAAATACTGCGGGCGAAAACCAGGTGTGAGGCAAGCAAAAAGACTTCTTGCAAAAACTACCCAATGTGAGAAAGAGTTCTTTCCTGTCACCAGAAAAGAATTAACAAAACTGATATATTTACAGGACATGCTCCAGTTAAATACCACGTTAAAAAAATGGGACTATCAAAAAATGCCCAGTGTTGAGTAGGTCTAGAAGAGGTAGAAATGTAGAACATATCCTATTGAAACTACCTAGCAAGAATGTAATGAGGAATGCTGTTTTTGAGCCGTACATTTCTATATACTATCTCTTCCTCATAATAGAAACGGAAATCTAAGAAACTTTAGCAGAAATCAGCATAATAGATTGAATGCTAAAAAGAGGAAATAAATTAATTCTAAGGTATTTAAAGTTTAAGATAGTTTTTTTCATAATCATAAAATATTTCCTGTATATACAGACTATTTCTAATATTAACACAAAATATTACTGCTTCGATAAAAGTGAAGTTTTGATAGGAATAAGTAGATATATTATCAATATTTCTCTAACAATAATTAAGTAATAACTCTACATGTATTTCTATCTATTTTCTTTGTATTTTATAACCATCTTCAAAAATTGTCGCAGGTAAGTTGTATGATCAGATGCACGAGTAAAATCATCACAGGCTGTACATCATGTTATGAGAGTAGTACAATGTATAGCATGAGATTTTCCAATCACTTAATAGAAATGAATGATGGAGTGAGTGCGGTGTTCAATCCTTTTTTAAAAAATATAGTTCCTACTCACAGTAAGTTGTTTTCCAACGATCCGGATTTTGAGCCTTAGCTCATCATCAGGTTGAAGGATTTTTACAATTATCTTTTTTACAGGAATTATCTTTTTTTAAAAAAGGATTCTAATCACTTTTCCCCAACTTGATTTAAGCAAAAGTAAATCCAGGTAAGGCAAAATCAAGTACCTCCCATGTTTGACTGTTGCTTATGTAAACGTGCTTTAAATATTATTCAAGGATATTTGAATAAAAGTAGTAATTTGTAGATGTTTTGAGAACATATAATTTTCAACAGTTTGTTTTGGAAAATATATCTTATACTACATATATATAATATATATACGAGAATCTTTAGACAGTTCAAATAATTGCCCTTTTAAAGCATCTATATAATAATTGATAATAATAATTGTCAAATAAAAATAACTATTTTTTTTCTTATGAAACAAAAATTAACATAGAATTGTCAAATTTAACAACTATGCAAGATATACAAAATTAAAACAACGTAATTCACATAAGTTACATTCTATTTAATTAAATACAATACTCTAGTCATATTTTAAAAACGGGTGCTTCAAATCTAAGCCACTGATCATTTATAAAATAAGAGAAAGAAATTTTACAATGTACAGTACAGAAGACAAACGTGACTATAAAAGAATAACAAGAAAGTCGAGTAAAAGAAGAGAATTTATGCTTGAAAATCCCACCCCAAGATAACACAAAACATTTAAAATCTCATATAAATAATTTTTTTTGTATATTTTTCTCAATTTTCCTTGCAAATTTTCTCTTGCACAATAGCTTAGTAGTGCAAAAATGTTATCTAATGTTTTTCCTCTAAATACAATACTAAATATAAATTTTTCTTTTTATACAACTGTAAAATAGTACAGCATATGGGAGGCACAATGCGTCATTCATTGCGAACACAATGATTGCTCAAAACTAAAGCAACAATTCCACATTTTTTTTGTCGCCAAACTGACCTTTCCTTACATATTAAAAAAAAAATAATTAGAAAAAAAAGTTCAATTTCCATTGATAAAAAAAATATTCCAGTTTTAAGGGATGTCATTTTATCCTAAATTACGGTAACTGTTTCTGTTATTTACAACATAAAAAATACACACGATTTATTTCAAAACAAAGAAAGTGAAACAATAAACTTTTTTTAAAGTTATAAACTATTATGTTGTACATTATCTTAAATATTACAAAGACAATGACATTACACAAAATATAAATGTACATAAACACTAAACACCCTATTATTAGTCAACATAATTACAAATTGTTAATTATTTAATTACAACCTTTCTTGTCAGAAGCTATAAAAATTGATATTTATATATATTATATATTTTTCTTTTTAAATGATGAATTATTTTATTTATTGGATTTCCGTTTTCCGTAATTACAGTATATAATACATTTACTTAATCTATAAAAAATATAAGATAGTCTTGAGGAATCTTTCTGTATAACATGAGTTATTAATTTGTAGTTTAAAGGACTAGATAGTGCCTGTATATACAAACATTTTAAAACTCAATACGAAGTGTGTTCAAAATAAAAATAAAAACCATACAAATAAAATAATAATTTTATTAATTTTTTAATATTTTATTTTACAAGAAACAATAAATTTCATGTTGGTGCAATTATAAAGTCATTATTGGACCCTTTTTTTATTATTTAATTTGAAAACTTTACACAAATATATTTATATATGTATATAATTTACACACTGACTCACATACACACATTTACATACATATAAAACCAATTGTACTATAAGAATCACTTTATAGATTTTTTAACTAATAATATTCTTTTTATTAATATAAAAGCTTTTCATGGAAAAAATGTAAAAGTAACATAAAATTTAAGGCTATCATGACATTTTTATGATAAATGACACATGATTCCTTTTGAAATTTTGTATCTTTTCATCATTTAGGCACTAGCATGTATATAGCTTTTGTTACATGCAATTAAAAAAATCTAAAATATTTTCTCTCTTAGTGAGTGCTTATATAATTTGTTTATTTTTTTATAATATACATTTATATATTTATATATATTTTTAATTAAAAGCTTTTTTTTTTACAACTATCACAATATAAACGTTTTATACAAATGTCTGTTTTCTTCTTTTTTTCTTTCTTTTTGTTTTAATAGTTTAAAGTATATAATATGTACAATTTATAGACATTATTTTTACATAAAAACATTTTTACAAATTTTCCTACTTATAATTATTTGAACTCTCGGGCAAGAGGACTGGGGCTAACTATATATTTAGTTCATCCATTTCCGACAATTCGGCGCTCCACACATGCATGGGATTTTATGCTGATCATCTTCTATATCAAATTTGTAATCGTACGCAAGCTGTAAAAAAAATAAATACATAAATAAATAAGTAAATCGTTAAGTCAATGGGTAGATGATAATCTAATTAAAAAAATTATTGGCTTATAAAAGAAGTCCATAGCAGTTTTGTATTTTACTGCTCAGCCAGGCAAATTTGTATTTTGTATGGTCATGATGGTTTAAGTAACTAAGTAAGTACTGTCTGTATGACTTCACCCTGGGTGCTCATCCATCTGCTCTCACCACTCTTCATTCTCCTACTTTCCAGGCCATCCAAAATCTACATTTATGATCCCACTTCCCAGCATTAAGCATTATCTAGTTATTTATTTACATGTTATGTCTAGTTACAAGAACTCTCAAATTTAAGTTTTAATTGAAAAAATGTTAATTTCTTTTTCATTTTAGTTTTAATGAAAATATTAATTGCAATTATACACAGTATCTCACAAAAATATTGTGAAGAAAATCGTGGTTTTACTTTAAAATAATATATTTCACTATTAAAGCTACCTATTTTTTAAAAAAATTATATTTACATCTATTAGATTTTGTGGTCCGATGGTGAGATTGGACAAAATCTCAACCAAAACCTTAATTAAGGATTAATTATTTGAAAATTATATTTACATTTAAAATTTATTTTTATTTTATAAGCTAAATTTCTTAATTTTTTTAAACAATTAGGATTAATAAATTAATTATGGAAAAGTAAATGTGGATCCAATCACAAGTCACAAAAGTAATCAGGATTGGAGTTTTTCTGGTTTCCGTTTAGTTTCTATTTATCACAATAATCTGAACGTATATTTCTCATTTATAACTGTAGCTCTGCTATTAGCTTGTATTAAAAATTAAAAAATGCAACGTTTCTTCAATGAAAAATATCCTACCGTTATTTTTCGAAAGGAAAAAGGAATGACATTAAAAAAAAAAAAAAAAAAAAGTTCAGATGTGAAAATCTTGTCTAGTACCCATGATATTAGAGAGGAAGACTGAATCGCCAACACAGATAGGGCAGGTTGATTGAAAATCTTGCAAGAAACACGAGCGGAAATTTTTAACGGATGATAAAACATCCGTTTATGAACACTTCCAAATCACAAGAAATTATTAGTCAATAAGGATTGAGGTAAACTCGGAAACTATTCAACATGTATTATGTAAATCCAATTTTCATGGACAAATCACTAGAAAGAAGCTATTAATCAGTCTGGAGAAATAAAGAGAAAAAAAAGCGGCTAAGCTTTGCAAAATGATGTTTCTGGTCTGAACTCTTCCTGGGACGATAATTTTTTGGATGAAGAAAATATTAACCTCCATGGTACTAAAGGTACTGCCACAGGGTGGAGAAGAGATCAAGCCTGAAAATACTTGTGGAATTGTAAAGCATGGTGGCAGCTCTATTATAGTACATGATGGGGCCATGAAATTGGGAATTAACAGACAATTTTTTTCCATTGAAGAAACATACTTTTGAGGCATTTGTTTTATACAAACTAATAGTACGACCACATGGAGAAACGAAGAATACAGACTGGGATCGTTGCGATAGATATGAGGAAACTAAACAAAAATAAGTACACAAATGCTAATTTACTTTTGAGACCTGCTGGTTGGATCCACACTTACTTTTCCATAAATAATTTATTGATCATAATCATTTTAAAAATAATTTTCAAAAGTTTAGCTTGTAAGAAGGACATAGTTTAAACATAACGTAAATAATAAAAATAATATATAATAATACTAATTAAAACAATTAAGTAGCTCTAATAGTGAAATGTAATATTTTAAAGAAAAAAGTACGATTTCCAATTACTTTTGTAAGATACTGTATGCTTAAATGCATTTTTATTTGTTTATATATTTTGATATTTATTTTATTCACAAGAAAAAGCTAATAAAATTACAGAGTTGTTAATTGCTATGTGAACCAAATGACTTTTTAACCTTCTTCGTTTAATTTTTTTAAAATTATTATTATTATTTAACCCGTAAGGGATGGTAACCTGTAATTAAAACAATGAACCTTAACAATTGTTTGGCCCTGGTTCTGGCACACTGAAATTAGAAAAACCCGCCTAAGTTTTCGCTCGGAATTATGGGTAAGATAAATTTGGTGAGCGAGAATGGTGAGCCATAAAAAAAAATAACAAGTGGTTTTTCCCTATTATACCCACTTGCAGAGGAGTTAATCGCTCAAAAATCTTAGACATACTGTGAGGATGCAATTATAAAATTACATGAAAGAGGACAAAAGGTAGTGGAACAAAATGGCTCTTGCATTGTTAATTAAATTGGCTTACTAGAATCCGATATTTTGAATTTACCATCAAAAACGCTAGACTTATTTTATGACGCGATTAACATATAATTCATGACAAATTTTCATTAAATTGATAGTTGACTTACTTCTTCTCCTCTGCTAATTCTTCGTTTTGTAAATATAATTATACGCAGGTCTCTTTCGACTTCCACGGTTTCTGCAACGCAGTTAGGACTGCAGGAGTGGTTGATGTACCTCGCCAGTCCACCGCTCAAGGTAGCATCCACCACCCTTTCTTCATCTAATCGGAACATGTAGATTCCTCGGTTCTGAAACAAGGAAAAAACACGTTGAATTCCTCACTGAGGAAATTATTATTTTCGTTTTATACCTTTGCTTCGTATTGTTTCTCTCTTGTTTCGGCCAGTTCTGTTCTAATTATCTCCCCAATGTATTCGATAACCATAGTGTGCTTCTCTAAATCTCTTGCTGCATACAGCCCTAGCCCTTGTATTTTCGATCTAAATAAATAATAAAAATTAAAAAAAAAGCAAATCAACACTCAATGATTATATCTAGCAATAAAAAAATACACAACAAAACTATTGAGAACTGCATTTAATTAGAAAATATTTAATGTGTTAGATTACTAGTATAATTTTTATTTAACTAGTTTCATATTTGATCAAAACAGACAAAGATCTTTATTAATGGTTGATACACATTAATAATGAGAACATACCTTGCTAAATAAACGTTGTTCCGCCACTCCTGCTTCATTTTTTTGTACTGCGATGATTTAGAGTGGACAAATTGCTTCGAGTAAGGACATGAGGGTTCTCCCGATTGAGGAGTGGACGGAGCGAGTGCTGGTCTTGAAGACGCCGAGCATGTCCTTTGCGTGTGAGCCCGCTTCCACAAACCCTGACCCTTGGGTTTACCCTCGGAGCGTGCGCATCCTGTCGGATTAATGGCCAGCGGAAGTTCGAGTAAAGGATTTCGCCCATACTTGAACTTATAATCTGTCAGGGTTTCCACACCTAAATTAACAAAAAAAGAAAAGATAGTGAAAAATTACAAAGTTGATTGGAAAAATTGAATTATTTATATAAAATCAACCAAAAAAACGTACCTGGTAGGCTCTCCAAGACTTTGACAATAGCAGGTTCTGTGAGGCCGAAAAGATCTTCACCTGAGATGAATTTTGTAAAAAGTTGAACCAGATTGTCAGACCGCCTGAGTTCGGCCATAGGTTCGAGTATTTTGAGCCATACGCCCTTTGGCGTGGTGTCTTTCAGCTCGAGATCAGGCTCACCCCTTTCCTGAACGACTATTCTGAACTCAGGGCGGCTGTCGACTTCATGAATTGAACATAAGTACTTGCACCGCTTATTTACATTGCGCATACTCCAATACATTCTCAACTGCACATTTTAAAAAAAATCTCATTAACACTTGATCAACTTAACTTTCATCGTGAGAATAATGAGTACTTACGATTTTGTAACCAATAGGGTAAATGTAGTTTTTAGTGTGAAACGCTTGTAGCTGGTGAGGTAAGAGCTGTCCGACTGATAGAAATATTAAAGAACCGACCCTTAAAAGGTTCGTCTGTTCACTGTGGTGCATGACTGAAGCGACCTGGCGGCCTTCGTCCCGATTGATATACACTCTGCGCATCACTGACAAGGTCGTGAGTTCATTTTCCTTTTCGTTTTTCTGAGCATGGCTATTGCAATGTAAAGTCTGAAAAAATAAAATTTGTTTAAAAACATTCTTTAATTGTGATTAATTAATTTTACCTTATTTTTGTAGAAAACACATTGGTCCTTAACGGCACAAGGAAGGTGGTAGACGAGTGAACACCTCACTTTATAACACTTAAGAGTTGCACCGGTTGTATTACAATAAGCGCAATGCGCCGTCATTCCATTTTGTAAGGCAGATTCGACGTTCATTAAACCGCCGTTAGTTGTTTCGTATACTTCATACGACCAAAGGGCACAGTTTAAATGGACCCACTTGTTCACATCATAATTTAACAGCCTGAAAAGAAGAAATTAGTAGTGTAAGCCTCTCCCTTCTTACTATGAGTTAGGTATATTTATTATAAGAAGTTAATATCTTGAAAATAAGGCCACCAGGTGGTCCTCCCAGTAGGGAAGCAAAAGAGACGTTTCCCATGCGTTTTCTTGGACATTATAGAAGTGCAACAGATTAAAAATCCACTAAATAACGAAAGTCAAGGTTATTTACGGATGGAAGGTTGTTGCAGACCTAGTTCTTCAAGCTATGGTATGCTATAAATTCGGGGTCACTTCAATGGGGTGGGTGTTGTACACTATTTGATACAAGTATATTCATTTGGGACCAGGAGGCTGCCTAATGGTAAACATGAGAATTATGAATTATTACACAGTCAACCTTTACTAGAAGGAAGTTGACCACCTGATCCAATAGTTTTTATTTTCATTTTTCCTCCTACCCTGGTTGAGAAACATAAAAGGGGATGATTTGAAAAGCAAAGTCAATCAACCCAAGGACTCGGTCAAGAGCAGCCAGACTCAGTCAATCAAATTCAGCCAGCAAGAGCCTAGCCATGTAAACAAGTCATAGACCTTTTTTTTTTTTTTTAAAGGATTGAACACCGCACTCACTCCATCTTTTGTCATTTCTATCAAGTCGAATAGAGTCGACTGATGAGGATCCAGGAAGCTGCAAAAAGATCCTGAAGGAAGTGGAATCTGGTGTTAATGAGCCTTTGTTGGGAAGTTGTGGCTGACTTGCCTGTTTTTGATTTGTAACGATAAATATTTATGAAAACTATTTCTCTGGTTTATTGTATTTTTTTGGAAAACTACCTTCTCTCCACACAAAAAGTGGTTAAGCGTGTATGCTGAAGTGCATATCTTATAGTTTAGCAATAACCACATAGAGCAACAGCACCCGCTTATAGTAGATTCAGAATCTTCAATTTCTATCTATGATCCGCTTACCTTGCAGGGCCGTCAGTTACACCATCACCAATTTGATGGCAGAAAAGGCAGACCCTAGTGTCATCTTCAAGTTTAACCGGCATCACCGTAATTCCAGATTTAAATAATACCTGCAATTAAAATATAAAACAATATATTAAATTTGCACAAAAGAACAACAGAAAAAATATAATATACAAATGAAGTATTAATTAAGGTTTTAATATTATACAACTGAAGATTAAAAAAAAAAAAAATTATAACAAACCTCGGCCATTTCTTTGTCCGAAGGTGTTTTGTGGCGGTTGAGTGGCGGAGGTATGTTGTTATTCGACCAAGTACGATATCGAGATGGTGATTTCTTTGCTGTTGGGACGATGGTTTTCTCTATAGTTTTAACATCCCTCTTTCCAGCTCCTCTGGTACTCATGTATGGTGAAATGTCATTGGGTGGTTTCTATTAAAAAAAAATTAAGTTCAATTAGTATTAATTTATAATTAATGAACTGACAACTTACAAAAATAAAATTGCCAAGCAAAAACTATGCACGGTTAAGATTTATTATATAATAAGCCAAAAATAATGATGAGCATATGAAAAAATAATGGCACATAACATACTACAAATTACATATATCTACTGTTTTATGAGGATAACAATTTTTAAAATATATTGTTGTATCGAGAAGCTAAGGAGTAATTTGTAATTTAACATTTTATTATGTACATTTGTGTATTGATTACGAGGATTTTATACATGCGTAACAGTCACATTCTGACAGATCATTTTGAAATTAAATCAGGAAAAAATTTCAACTATTTTTTCTGATGAAATAATCATTGCTTACAAAAATATCTACATAAAAAGGTAGGAATTCAACAATTAATTAAACCTTTCTTTCAGGAGGACTTAATGTCCAATTACCATAGGTTTTACGCTAGTAGTGAAATGTTTTTATAACATGCAGCTTTTTAAAGTTTTTATTCTGCAAATACATGCTGGGATTATCAAAAATCAAACATTATTGAAAGTAAAAATAATGTTTAAAACAAAAATTAGCGATGATTATCTGAATGCATAAAACGGGTTTGAACAACCACTAATTATTCATACCTCTTTCTTAAAATCTTGTTTTATTATTGTCGAATCACAAATAGCATCCAATCTAGACTTTTTCGAGATATCACCATGGTGTTCGACAATCGAAGCAGCCTACAAATAATTGTAGTAGAGGATTGTTTTTTTAATTTCACAGTTCTAGTGTATGTTATGGAGTCCATGTATAATGTTTAACAGTGTGCATATTTAATACAAATAACATAGAAATACAGTAAATCATGAAATTGAACAAATGTATGTAAATGGTGGATGCATACTTTTTTTTCAAATTTAAACTTTCACCCTTATAAAGGTTTATACTTTATTACCTGCTAGCCCCGTTAAGTTTAAGGTGGCAAAAGTCTTATTGAAAGATATTGTTAAGAAAGGGTTTGATCCTAAAAGTCAGTCTAGAATGGATATACGATATGGAAGCAGATAAAATTAATTTGAGGCAAGCTTATTATACTAGTTCGATGTTGGGCATAGAGTGGTGATTCAACTATGGTTCAGGATGTTTATGTAATGGAGAGAGAGGAGAGAGGAAGGAGAGAGGGAGAGAGAGAGATGAATGAATCAAGACCAGCATCGTTGTGGAGCACCTAACAAGTTTAAAAGCAAAGACAGTGCATTGAGGATCGTATGTATTAACAGTAGCAGAGATTTTGTGAACATCATACAACAATATAAAGAAGAATCCGATCTCTGGTTACATTGTGAAAATCTCTGGGGAACCCATGAATCGTCCCTCAGGAATATGGCTTGTTGCGTATCACACGAATCAATCATGTCATTGGGGATAAGACATTTTTGTTTCTTTTTTTTTTTTACGAGGGTTCGCAACAGCAGAGGTCATATAAACCCTCAGGGTGCCGGTGTTTTTGAAAAAAAGCCCATTTGTAAGTATGTCGGGTTCAAATGCAGGGCCGCTGGATTCGAACCCGGGACCTTTACCTTACAGTGATAGCGCTGTGTCAAAGACTAAACCTTGCGGCCACCGACGCCCCCCGGGGATGACATCATGAACAGGATTGCAACCTTCCTTGTAAGGTCTTATTGTCTGTTTGGTAGGATATTTCAAACTGTTCGCTGTTTTTTTTTTTTTTTTTTTTTTTTTTTGGGGGGGGGGAAGTCCATTTGTAAGTATGTTGGGTTCCCATCCAGCGGCCCTGCCTTCGAACCCGGGACCTTTACCTTACAATGATAAGCTCCATGTCAACGCTTAAACCATTGCAGCCACTAATGAATGAAGAAGACAGCTTGAAAAATTTTGTGAGTTGTAATTTTCCCTCGATTTTTGAGAGTGGTGCATTTCTTCTTTTTAACATTTTATTTTATCCAATATGTCCAAACAGAGAGTTTGCATTACTATGAGTTGTGTTTTTGGTTTTTATTCAGTCTCTTTTTCCTTCTATTAATTTTTTTTCTTCTTTTGGACAAACCATCCAATGTTCATCAAGGAATAAAAATGAAGATAGCTACATAGCTAATAATCCGATTATTGGTAAGTTTTAGATGATGACCCTATTTCTTTATTTCAATTCAATAAGAAAAAAATAGTTCTTGGGGCGATAAACTTGTAGTTTGCATATTGTTTTTCATCTTGGACTTAACCCACTGCTCAAGATGGCCAAATAACTGCCAAAATATGTTTAACAGACCAAAACAGTGAGGGTGAGCCGCCACATAAGGATAATCAGAAAAGTTGGAAAAAAAAAGACAACTTTAACTAGTGGAATGTTAAAATGCAGATCATAACTGGGAAAAAATGGTAGTATATAGTGATCTAACAAAATTTATATCAAAGCATTTTAGATCTAACGGAACAGAGTGAGTGGAATTTACTGAAAATAGTTTTTTTAAATATAGGTAAGGGATGTTAAAATAATTAAATTCAAAAGTTGAAAAGCATGATGTTTTGCAGTAATTAAGTAATTCTTGTCATACAAGAGGGCTAAATGTCCAACTGCTCATGTCGTACAAGAGGGGTCAAATCATTTTACAATACTTCTTTCATATTATTCATAATTTAAAAACCGTGAGTTGTGCTGGGATTTGGATCCAGGGACCCAAGTGTGGCAAATACAAGTCAGATGCCCAAACCACTTGTGTTGATGTATAAGAAGTTCCTCAACCCCAAATCAATAAGCAGAGAACACACCCAACGCAACGCAACGCCACACAACACCTCTCATTTTGTGGGGGTGTGCACATCTGTTCGATGCAAGTGTACGCTACGGACAGTCACACAGCGTGTATCCCAAACACAACGCCTGTTTTGCTCTTAATGCATTAATACGAGCAAAACCAGGTAATAAAATGTTAGTTAAATTCATTCCATCAATAAATGGTATTTCAGTGTTTTGATAAATTTTCTGTCAAACCATCATAATTAAATAATTTTTTATTAAAACTCATGAATTTTGTTCTAGTTTAATTTGGTTTGCATTGTAATAAGTATGTTGTAATTAAATATAATGACAAAAAATCCATAATTTGAAATAAACCACAAACATATGAGAGTCCAGTTCTTTTGTCTTAAATTGTAGTCGACAAAAATTAGGAAAGTGGGGAACTTGGTTGCAGCGTAGGAGAGCGTTGTGTGGCATCAGGCAAATGTGCACAGGGGTAATCTTACAGAAAATTGTACATCGGATTGGCAAAGGGGGGCTTTGGTTGGTTTACATCGCATTGCACTGCATCCAGATATCAGGAGGTCCACATATTTTTTAATACTTTTGTGTAATCACAGAGATTTTTCTTTGACAAAAAGTGTAACATTCAGTATGAATTCAGAGAAAGTATATGTGTATTTATTTTTGGCAACTGTCGGAATTTCTTCTGAGCAAACTAACACCACTTTGACTTGGCCAAAAATCACTCCTTAACAATATGAATAGTTGAAAATTAAGTCTTTTATAAAGCTACATTTGCCTTATGGTGTAAAATATTTTATTTGCCATATTAAAAAAAGGTACTTTATTGACTGTACCTGCCAAATAATTATGTACAATTCATTGATCAATTTCATGTACCTCTGTAGATTATAAAATAACTTAGTTACTAAAAAATTGTATATTAATTTGGTTACCTTTTCACTGTGTATTGGTTGTGGGTGGGCAAGCGCAAGTTGCATGTAGCAGTTGGAACTGCAAAAATAAAGATCTTCTTCCCCTTGCTTTGCCACAAGAGGCATCTCAGAAGCCTTCTTTCTCATAATATTATTTAGTATTACGACATCACAGTGACGGCAGAACTTTGCATTGCCGTTGAGAATAGACTGAATGTCGATGTGGCCTTTAATAAAAATCGTATTAGAACCGTGAGCATTTGTTAGAAAAATTTATCCAAAGTACCTCCTTCTTTCCCATCTTTGCCTTTGATCTTGTAAAGGCCGAGTTTGTGAGGCGTGTTGCTCCTTTCTGTGATGCTGTAGTGGACGGGAACAGGGATTCGCAAAACGTTTGCCAGATTCCTGAGAACGGAGAGGACATCGTCGGCGGCCTGAGAACTCAGGGTGAGCGTCACCGTAACATTGTCGCAGTGCTTTTTGCTTGGAGGGCCTTCGTTCTCTTTGTCCTAAAAATAATAAAATTACAATCAGATTTATAGATCAAAAAAAATATTTGCATTATATACCATATCACTATAAAATCGTATTGGTTTTGGTCGAACAATGAGTGGAGAAATGATGGGTATATCCGGAGAGAAACGGGACAATTTGAATTTGTCTTCTTCACCGTCAGAATCAACGAACTGCAAACCTTGAATACAAAGAACAAAATTTAATCGTACATAAAGACAAAGCACATTAAAAAAAAGAAGAAAATATTGTATATTATTATAAAGTTGACACAATAAATACCTGGAAATTTTGTTGGAAAATCAGGCATAACACATTCAGGGCTAGAAGAACTGATGATGGTATCAGGAGTATCATTGTCTCGGTCTCGATTATAATCATATTTCCGATCATCAACTACAAAAAATAAATAACAATAAAAATAAATTTCAACATTAAAAAGCAATAGCTTAACTTACATTCATCTTTAGTGCTGTGAAGTTTCAAAGGGGCAAACTCTTCATTGTAAAACCCTCTCTGAGTTGATGGGGTGGTTGGTGCTCTAGGAGGTAAGTCTCCGAATGGAAGAGTATTATAGTGGTCATTTTCAGATGGGAGGTATGCTTGACCATAAGACCCACGCAATTCACCCAACCTAGTGCTGAAAAAATTTAATGTAAAAGTTTCAGCTTTCAAAGTGGAAAAAAAAACCTTATTCATAAATGTGTAGAGATTAATGACCGTTAATCGATAGTAATTCAGATATCGTGAGATGCGGTTGGGTGTGATGTAGGTTTCAGAAAAACATTTTCTTTATCGTGCCAACGTTTCGATCTTTATTGAAATCATCTTCAGGGCTCAAAGTGTTTGTTTTCTGTGTGAGTGCTGGGCACTCTCAACACGACACACAAGAATGTCACATCTACCAGAAAACAAACACTTTGAGCCCTGAAGATGATTTTAATAAAGATCGAAACGTTGGCACGATAAACAAAATGTCTTTCTAAAACCTACATCACACCCGACCGCATCTCACGATATCTGAATTACTATCGATTAACGGTTAGATAGAAATACTTTGTTTGAATATAAAATATATTTTGCATTGTATAAATTCACTTATCCACATCCTAAATGTATTTGTTAAATGTAAACATTGTTTGTAAATCCCAGGCCCCGAAGATGATCTCAATAAAAGATTGAAACGTTGGCACAATAAAGAAAATGTTTTTCTGAAACCTACATCACACCCGACCGCATCTCACGATATCTGAATTACTTATCCATAAAAGCTGTATCAAACAACAAAATTAGGTAAGTTTTTACAGTGAATTCAACTAACCAGCTGTTGACCTTGCTGAGATCGCCAGAGCCTACAATAGGGCTTCCAGTGAAATTGTAAGTCAGGTTGGGTTCACATATTGTCATCGCCGGTGTCTGCCGTAGCTGGTGCATCAACGAATCGATGAATGAATCATAATCTTCTTCAACTTTTGAGCTCTGTTGAAAGAACATTTCATAACTATATTTGTTGGCATTATTACTGAAGTAATCTTCTCCATGAGAAAACAGGAAAAAGATTATCCATAAAATAATGTTTTTGTTTGAAGAAAGTAAACATGCAGGTATGTAAACTTTGTTCAAACAAACAATAATCTTAAAAGAAAACAACAATAGTGTGCAATTTTTGTGTATTAAGCCAGAGAGAATAATTTTACTGGGCTATTTATTAATTTAGTCTTATAAAAATATATTTAAACCAAGAAATTTTCATGCATGGATTTCATCTTTACTTTTAAAGAATTTGAGAATCTTGAAAATACTTTTTAATCTCTTTTACTTTCTGATATTTTAAAGTAGTAGTAGTAATATATAATCCCCTTCTTACTGGTTAAAGCATAATGTTTACCTTTAATGTTGGTGGCAATAGAACAACAAAGCACGAGGAATATACTCTTTTCCGCCTCATTCTTTATCTTTTATTCGCTCAATTTTTTAAAATAATATAATTTAAAATAATTCAGCTCCCAAAAGAGCTTGCGAAATAAGGAAACCTCTCAATTTTACATAAAGAACAGCTGGTCAAATCAATCAAATTTGAAGGGTATAGAAACCTAAATTTACATTGGAAGAATAGGCCTTCTTTTAGAATATCACACAAGATACCAATGGCTAGGGAATGTCAGGATTAGTACTTTAGTGTGCTTCAACAGGCCATGTATTAAATTGATGAGATTATTTTCTATCAACTATTTTAATGTGAAAAGTGGATTCAATTTCTGAATTAGGTAGGCTTATGAAATGTAAGATTGTCTAAATAATTCAATAATTCTAGCTTAAATTGACAGGTAAACATGTATTGTCTTAAATTATTTTTTTCCAACCGTTATTTTGTAACTGGAAAAAGTATATATGTCCCAAAGTTTGCTGTTAAAGTCCCAAGCCTATTTTGCCTAAAATAAAACAAAAACAAAAGAAAAAGTCACTCACTTTTCTTGGCCGTTTCTTTGGCGTCCCTCCAACTGCTTCTTTGCCTAAACTCTGCCTTCTCTTCTGCTGATATTGTCTCCTTTTTATTTTCTTTAAATCTAAATAACAATTATTTCAGCTTAAATTTGTTCTTTTGAATGTTTCAACGAGTCAAAACTTACCTTGCAGGGGAGATTCACCGGGCTGTTCAGGCTCCATTCTGAATCCTGGAGAAAGCATTTCATCAGAGGACATGACTTCCTTCTTGACCTCGACAGCAACAGGCATATTGACTGGCACAGTCTCCTTTTTTATCTCCATGTTGGGCGTCATTATCGGGCTGGGCTGGCTGAACGAAAGCGGCTCCCTTTTGATTACAGTCGGCGTTTGTGATTGAATCACAGGATGGTGTGGTGGCGATAACAGTTCATCTAAACAAGACGGCACAGGCGTACGCTGCTGTACCTCCGTCGGAGTTGGGGGTTGCACCGTGGGTTTGGAAGTCGGAATAATTTCCTTAATGACTTGAGGTTTTGGAGGTTCGTTGAGGACCGGTGGAATTAAAGATGATGGGGTTGGAGGTACAGGTCGTGCCAGTTGATCTTCTAAAGATGGCACAATCGGCAGAGAAGGTGCTGTCTGTGGGGATGTCGTCGCACAAGCCGTATTCTGTAAAAGCTGCTTCAGTAAAACATTCTGAGAATCTTCTGATGACCTCGGAACCGTCAATCTTGTAGTCTTGTCATCGCTTTCCCTTCTTGAAAGTAACATGTTGCTTAATGAAACAAATTTCTTCGGTTCTTCTTTCTGTGCTGGCTTCGCACTACCTAGATTCACATGGTGGGTATCTTTGTCCAGTAATTGAGATATTTCTGAACTAGACACAATCCTCTGTTGTAAAAGGTCGTTTGACATTATTTTTTCCTTATCTAATACTGACAATTTGTGGGAGATACCTGACCCTGTATCAGATTTCATACTTTGAGCATTCATAGAATTGGCATCCCTCATTTTATTTATATAGTGATTTATTTCTTTGTTTGCAAGATCATTTGCACTTTCTATAGCAGACTGTTGAGTGTGTACTAATTTATATTGAGGCGCTCCACCCAGGTTGTCAGATTTTATTTTAGCCGGTACATAAATGCTTCCATGTTTCAAATTCATGTGAGGTGGCATTCTAGCATTTTTATTTATTTCATTTTCATTTTTTAGTTCTTCGTTTTTTATAGTGCGTTGTAAATGAGCTGCTAAGCCTTCTACCCTTAAATCGTCATTCATGTTTCTATCTTCCTTTTTAATTTCTTTTGGTACATTGTGATTGACAATGGCATAAAAATACTGTGGATTGGAATTTTCAGACCTTAACATTGATGTAGTCAATTGAGCTTCGAGAATGCTAGAACTCACTGAAGGCAAAATAACATTTTCAGTTTTATTGCAATTCATGTTTTCGGAGGACTGTATAAGTTTTAATCTGTCCACAGTTTTTACATCGTTCTTTTCACTGGTATCAACTTTATTCTCTATTATATTCAATCTGATCGCTGTCTTTTTCTGCAGTTCATTGTGCTCATTTGTAAACTTTTGCATTTCAAATTGCTCGTTAAGCTTCTTTTGTTTCATTGAATTATCTTCTACATCATTACAGTTTTCAATCTTTGTCTTTGTCACATCTCTTTTGACTGTCATGTTCCATAATTTCTCCTTGTCTTTCAAGTTGGTACCATCGTTTTTGTTCAATAGTTCTGCTAATCTGTTGTTATCCATGAGCTTCATATTAGAACCATTTTCATGCTGGAATGTTTTTGGGTCAACAACAGCTTTTATAGCTCCAGAAGGTTGTTGGTCTTTCTTAAAATTTTGAAGATCCTTTTTATCGTTTGATTCTTGGTTATCACTTTTTGTTCCAAAAAGAACCTGATTGAGGTAGCTGGTTGTAGATGTTCGTACTGAAGGCGTAGAGACGTTTACATTAACCGGTCTGCTAAAGTGGGAAGTCACAACGGAATTAGAACTAGCCTGAATGCTTTCAATACTGGAATTAGTCTTTTGGAAGTTTTGTGTTTCGGCAGCAAATTTAGCAGCTGCATTTACTGCTCCTTGTACTAAGCTCGCAACTGTCGCCTGTTGGATGCTTAACCTTCTTTCAGAACAGATGGGAATTGATTTTTGAGTGCTGACGGGTGTAAAAGTTACAGAATTTCTTGAAACAACAACATTGGGCTGTATTGTAGAAATGACCCTGTCATGTTCTGAAGACTGTAAATTGTCAGAAATTTTTATTATTTCTGGTTTTTTAATCTTGACTTCTTCAATAGTTTTAAATGGTTCAGATTTTTCCTCTACAGGGGTGGAAACTGAGTCCAATTCATTATGAATTATTTCAGGAGATTCATTTTGTAAGTCGTCATCAGGTGAATCAGGAGTATCGGATGTTCTTTTTTCTTCAACTTTAATCGGTTCACCTGGAAGAACCTTACCGACCATTCTTTTCCGGCCATGTGGGGGAGATGGCATATCTTCGTCAAATTCAATCATGTCATCGTCAACTTTGAGGCTGTCACTTATGTTGCTGTCTATAATTAAAATATCATTATTACCATTATCAACGTCTAAAACGACCAGATCAGTTGAAGAAACTAAACAGTCATCCAATATATCACTGTCGTTCATCATGTGAGAAGGATCAATGTTCATGGGCATTGAGACAACAGTTGACATAACATTATCAGCGAGAGCAGACTGAAGTTCTTCAACTTCAAGGTTTGTTTCCTTGCAACTCTCAACTAAAACAATGTCTTCATAAACAGTTGCTTCTGAATCAGTATCTTCAGACTGTCTGGTTTTAACAGCCCCGACATCTGATTTCTTAATAGATGCTGGCTTTGTAGGAGGAGTCATGGGAGGAGTTCGAGATTCTTCATCAAAATCGTTATAATCAACACATACTAAGCTTGGAACTTTATTGATTGGAGAATTGATTTTGGATTTTGAATCTTCTGTGTTAGTGCTGGTCCCGGCAAGAGATTGGCCTACTTTTCCTTTCAATAAAGGCTTCCTTGGCATTGCCTTATCACTCCACATGGGCGATCCTCCTCGCAATCCCAATTTGACATATCCAATCCTTCCGATTTCTGGAGGTAATGGTATAGGATTGTGAGGATTGTACGGATTACCACCACCCCCTGCTCCATTTCCCTCTTGTTCCTGTGGGGTTCGAGGATTTTCTACACTCTGAGGGCGCTCTGTTGCAGGGCTGTTTCCAACGCTTCCCCCAGTACTCGATGGCCTTCTAATAGGCATCGGTGACCCCATAGGAACCATTGGTGAATTAGGTCTATGGACATATTGGGGTTGGATCATAGAGCTTTGAGATGAGCTCATGGGAGAGCTGGGGGGTTGTCCGTACTGCTGTTGTACTCTTGGAGAGTGTGGTGGCATGGGCGAGTTGGGTTGATTGAATTGTGGCATTGGTGATGTTGGCGTCTGAAGCCCTGAGTACACCATCGGACTCTGAGGTGTCATAGGTGAACTCGCAGTCTGATAATTTTGTACTCTGGGGCTTTGATGTGGCATCGGTGAACTTGAAGAGTGAAACTGAGAAATCATTGGGCTCTGTGGATGCATCGGAGAACTGGAAGGGTTATACTGCTGAACATTGTTCATCGTTGATGTTATAGGAGAAGGAGACTGATTTATAATTGGACTTGGAGGCATTGATGATCCTGAAACGAATGTCTGATTCATATTATTTGTATTTTGCATTTGTGATGTCTGAGAAAATGTAGGCTGATTTTGTTGAACTATTTGCCTGAATTGTCCAATTTTTCCTTGTCCTATTATTAACTGTCTGTTCTGTTGCACTAACTGCTGCTGCCTTTGCAGTATCAATTGTTGCTGATTTGTCAGATCATCTTGAAGGATACCCTGTCGAAGTAAAACTTGACGTTGTATATTTCCATCAATCTGACTTCTCGTCATGTTGCCCACTTCCTGCAGTTCTTGCTGTTGCTGCAGCAGTTGTTGTTTTTGCTGTTGCAATTGTTGTTTCTGAAGCAAGAGCTGCTGCTGCTGTTGTGTCAAGCCTTGAATGCTTTGGATTCTGATAGTCTGGCCTGTAGCCTGCTGTGATAAATTTGGCGACATCACCGGTTGAGGAGAAGTCGTAAATCCTCTAGGTGAGGAATACGATATTGCAGTAGTGCCCGCAACCTGGTGACTTTGGAGTGATACAATCCTTGGCCTTAAAGTCCCTTCAGGAGATCTTGCAAACCTTGGAACCATACCTGGATGTCTATAATATTGAAAATAAACACAAGTAAATACAAAAAATTAGTAAAATTAAAAAAAAGTTTAGATTGACCTACAATTTATAATAAAGTTGAAGAGAATCTGAAGGAGGTCAATCTGAACTCCTTTCAATCCTCTTTAACTTTAATTAATACAAACATAATAATAAAAAAAATTAAACTACCTAATTTGAAACTGATGTGGGCTAGGTGGTGTTGGCGCTAAAGCAGTGGATCTAGGTGATGCCATACCACTATTTTCACTTTTGTCATCTCCGCTCTAAACATTTACATTTTAATTAGTATTAATAATCAATATGCTGAGAGGTAAAACTTAAGAATACAAAACATACTTGTGATTGCGGTGTCCCTATTCGAGGACTATGATGTAAAGGTGATGCAGCTGTCTGAGGTGAGGGAAGCGCTGATTGGGTAGACACACCAGGAGACATCATATTACTTGGGGACTGCGGAGATGCAGAGCCAACGCTATGTGGTGCACTTCCCGCAAGCGTAGAGGTTCCACCACCATTCTTCTGGTCTTGTTTGTTCTGATATTCCTGGGAATTTTAAATTTTTTTAAACCAATTCTTCAGTTCAAATCGGGTTTAATAAATGAGAAAGAAACCCACTTGTATGATAATACTGTGGGTTCTGCTTTGCTTTCTAGCAGCTTCAAGATGTTTCTGCAATCCTGTCTGCTCAACTGTAACCCTCTGCAGCTCCAAGGCATCCTTTTGGGTCAACTCGTTGCCATTTTTCCGCAATTGCCTTTGTTTACTGTTCAAGGACTGATAGCAAAATAAAAAATAAATAAAAAATATATTATTTTTTACGCTGTCCAAAGTTGTCTCAACACCACAAACCTTTCGTACTTTGCGAAGTTTTTGAACCTCTGATTCGTAATACTTGAGTTGCTGTGTCAACACGATGTTGTTGGTTTGCAGCCACTGCTCGTACTGCATCTGTGTCTGTCTGTCCTGTTCAGTCACAATGCACTCGGGAGGGGCAGGTGGTGCTGGTTGTACTGGGATGTTAAGAAGTTGTACATCTATTGTAAAAATGCAAAAATTATTATTTCATCCAAAATGAAAGTGTATTTAAAGAAGAAATTAATACACCATCCTGTTCCTTTTAGCTTTTCAATGGATAAATAAAATAAATAAATAATCTTATTAATAGATTACATTTGATTAAGTCAAGAGTAATTTTTTAACTTTTAACAACTTTTAATCCATTTAGCTTTTGTAATTGAAAACAGACAATTTTAACCATCAATTGTTAAAAATGTTTTGAAGGAATGATATGTCGTAAACTAAACAAATTGTATACAAATCTACTTATTACTTGATAAAAACATAATTACTTACATGAATTTAAAAAATTAAATTATTTATAGAAGCTGTGAAGAACATCTCTTGACTGATTCTGTATTGTTTTCACTCTTCTAAATTTGATAATTATCATAAAACCAATGCAACTATTTACATATATTTCAAACCAAAAATTATTTTCTCTTTTCATAAACTCTTCAACCCTAAATATTTTTTATTACATGACTAAATTAAAAATAAATAAACAAATAAAAAACACGCAATAAAATAAAACAGTTAAAATCTCTTTATTTCAATTAAAATTCCCTGTGGAGTATTTGTTCAAAGCTCACTTTGGTTGCAATGGGGTGGGCTTGAAACTCGTGAGTTGGTCCCTAGGACATCGGCCGTCAGCATTTCAAAATCTGCATCGCTCAAGAGTGAAGCACCGGAACCTGAGCCGGGTGTCACCGACTGCTGTTCCTGTTCACGCTTTTCCTCTTCTAGTAAGTCCTCTAACAGTAGGGGCTGCTCCTGAAAGAGGTCGAACTCACGATTACGTCGAAGTATAATTTTAAATGGAATATGTCTTGTGCTTTTCCATTTGATAAATGCGTTGTTATTGTTTATTTTAATTTTTCTTCTTTTTTACAGTAAAAGCTCTACTGCAATATGCAAACTAAAATTTTATTTTTGTTTAGTATCAAAGTGCAACACATACATACAAAAAAATAACTACTCTGAATGTTTATAAAAAGTTTAATAAATAAAACAAAATCATGCACATTCACTATTGACTTTATTAATAATATAATTAAATGTTTTACTCAATATCTACTGTCTTAAAATTTTAATGTTAAGAAAAGTGTTAAAATAAATTTAATGAGCCAAAATAAAATCAATGCAGCAAATAAAAGATTATTTAATATTGAATACAAAACAGAATGAAAGTTGAAAAAAAAGAAAAAAAAAAGACAAATGTCCTAGAATGAATTTTAGCCCATTACATCTTTATTTTATTATTTTTTGTTAGTAAACTAGTTTGAATTTATACTGGGTGGTTTCTCACCTGTAGGAGGAGGGATCTTCTTTGAGGAAGGGAAGTGCCTGCAGTCGGGGCGAGGGGGGGCCTGGGAACCTTTGGGGCTCCGGCACGAATCTATTTGGCATATACCCTAGTTAGTCATGCATTACCACAAAGCAAACAAATGCCACACAAACTATTTGACACTACGTATGGAAAATAAATATGATAAAGTATGCATTATTGTCCCAGTTTGTTCTCCTAACTTTTTCATTTATGATTCCGTTGATGAATTGTACTGAACAATAATAAAATTATATAAAGAATTTTTTCCAAGTTTTAAAAGGGTTTACATTTCTTTTTAAACCAAAGAAAGCAGTAGGCAAAAACACCTATCATGCAATTTCAAATTTAAAGGGGAAGACAATAGCTTATTTACTGACACTGATCTGAAAATAAAGCTGGTAAAGGGAGGTTTTTCTATCCCAATGTGTCATGCAAAACCATTAATAATAATAAAAATAAATACATAAATAAAGAAATATAAAAAATAAATCATCAAATCGGGTAGAACAACAATTTTCCATAAAACTCTTAAGGGATAATTTACAATTGATCAAGAAAACCTGAGTCTATGTTGCATTTTCTTTTTAAATTTTGATTTATCAGAAATAACAATTCATTTTGAAGTTGTCTATGCGCTTAAATTATGGAAATTTTTTAATTCTACTAGTTTTTAAATCAGACATGCTCCTCAATTGATAAAAAGATAAAGTTTTCAATACTTTATAAAATTTCCGATCCAAAATTTACAAGAAAATAACACTTAAATCACAAAATTGTAACTAAAAACTTAAGTCAAAATTACTGAGACTTACCCCTGATTGGAGTTGTCCTGGATAAGGAGGTGGTGGACCTGGGTAGGGTGGAGGAGGCGCAGGTATTGGAATAAAATTCTGCCCTTGATTTCCCACAATGTTCGTAGATGTTGTCAGTTGAGGACGAGGAGATTGACCTTTAACATTTACAAAATTGTCATATTTTTTATAACTGAATATGCTGAAATTAACAAGTTGAAAATTCACAACTTACTTTGCAAGACCTGCATTCGTGGTAAAGGTGCTGGTGGAGTTGCAAACTGTGCACTAAACGTTTTATTCACAGTTTTTGTTTGTTGCCTAGGAATTGAAGCCTGAAAAGAAGAGTGGGTAAATTTTTTGATTTTAATACTATTTTATTTTTAATTTACCTGTGGTGTAAGAGGGGCGACGATTGAGTTTGTCGGAGAAGGTGTAGGTTGCCCTGGAGGCGTTCTGCTCACAGGTTGTGTCTGAGTCAGGATAGGGTTCGCTTTCACCAGCGTTTTGTTCTCCTCCTGCCGTATTGGTGTGTCTTTGGACTCGTTCGGGCTGAAAAAATAACGCATAAAATCACAAATGTCCAAATCTTCGTTACGTGTGCATAGAAGATACTCACATTACGGGGGATTGCTTCTTTTTGACAACCTCTGCTTCAAGATCGTCTAATATATTAGTCTTCTCCCCACCCGAAATGTTGTCCAGCTCAGGATCGGCATATTCAAGGATGTTGAAATCTGCTCCCATTTCAGCTGTAAAGAAAAGTAAAGTTATTTTTCTTTATCACTTGGACCATTCTTTACTTTTTTTTTTTTAATGTTCAAATTTGTATTTTACCAAGCAGTTCATCATCGTCCTCAGCAAGGTCTCCGAATATTGCAGACACAGCCTCAACCTCAGCAATGCTACCTCCCTCCTGCTCAAGTTTTTCGAGCTCGGCAGTAACCACATCAGGGATTTCCTCACCATCTCTTGTTCCTGAAAGATAATTTATCAACATTATAATACCTTAATTATTACATTAATACCATTATAATTATAATTTTAATTTCAGGAATAGTTTATGTTTAATGAGTTACCTTGAATTCTTTGTTCAACAGTTTGCTGTTGGATCCTTTGCTCTGCTATTATCTGGTGGGTGGGTCTTATTATTGTCGTAGGAGTAGCTGCATCTAGAAAATAATTATGAAAATTCAATTCAATTCAATTTTTGTGCAAATATTTAAATAATTGTAAAAATGTGAAACAAATGTCACTTTTAATTAATATTTAAAGGGAAAAAGATTAAGGACTAACTCTGAGGAAATTGCTGTGGCCGTTGCACCAGGTTAAACTGATCGAGTCTAGTAGCTGGCCGAACCTGTGAACCTGGAAAAGCAGCCCTTTGATGTTGTAAAAGCAAACGAACTCTTCCATCGACTCCCTAAAATAAAGAATTTATTATAATTTTATATTTTATTTTTATATTATTAAGATAATTACATGTATAGCCTGTTGGGGAATTGACTGTGGCCTCACTTGTGCAATAGGTTGCCTTATTTGTGCAGCAGCAACTGCAGTTTGACCAGAATCGGGTGTAGCCTCTTCTGTAAATTAAATAATATTTATTATGCCATTTTCAATTAACAATTACAATTGAATCTCACGTTTTATTTGGTGCCGTTGTAGTAGATCGCGCAACTGGCGATTCATCTCTTCTGGTGTGGACTGTCTTGGAGTAGAAAACGGCGAATTGACCGGGGGCCTGATGCCGATCATACGTGGGAAAAGAGGTGCCGCACCGGGAGGAGTCAAGCCCCTGGCCGTTTTGATGCCTGGGGGTGATGTAAATTGTTGAGGTGGACCCCTAGGCGAGGCGAGGGCGATGTTTGTGATCGGCTCCTGAGGTGTGGCCACCTGCAGTTGCTGTGGAGTCAAATGGGACTGGGTGTTGGACGTTTCTGGGTATTGCACTATGGTTGTCCCATCACCACTTATCTGCCGATGCACTCGTGTCACTACAAAACACAATAAACACATATTTGTAAAATGGTTTTTATCAAAATAAAATGCTCTAAAAAAATTTAAAAATTTAATTTTACCTTGGTTTCTAGCTTGTGAGTGAAGCTGTTGTTGCCTCATAGCCTGAATGTGCTTCCATTGTCTCTCTTGTTCTGCTTCCCTTGTGGATTTGTTTACTTGAGTTTTGTCTTGTTCCTAGAGACCACGGTAAATGTAAATCCTTATATACAAACTTCTCACTTATAAGCATTTAAATCATGGTTCAAAGAAAGCAATGGATACTTAATTTTTTTAAATGAACATATCTTGTTTTCAATTTCATATAACAAACATTACAATTTTAAATAATAAACATTTGCTAATCACATTTACTTAAAACTAATTTTTAAATATGCAACAATAAAATGATTCAAGTACATTAAAACAAAACAAAAAAAATCTATGCTTTAGAGAAAAATCCACAAATGTCATGCAAGAATACGCATAAATTCTCTTCCACCGAAATGCATAAACCAAAATCATCACCATGGCAAGGCCCAACTTAAAGGAGCCATTGTTGTCTTTTGATGCTTTGGAAGGAAAAAAAGGACATGTTGTGTAATATACTAGTAAGCAAAAAGCAAGGGTTATATGCTATGTTCGGTTGAGTCAAAATTTGACTTTTTTTCTAGTTATTAGTCTAAACAAAAGAAAAGATTTTTATATATATATCTATTTAAAAAATTAGAATCAGACAAACTTCCACATATTAAAAAAAAGAAACAATAATAAAAATAAAATACAATAAAATAAAAAATGATACAAATATTAGTTGGACTTAAAATTCACTGTGAATATGATATGCTCCACAAAAAACAAGTTTGAATTTAAAGAGAAAAAAAGACAATCATGTTAAAAAATCGAAAGAAAAAACAATGGCTCAGCAAATAAATTCATGCAAAGCAAATTTCAACCATTTCGTATAGATGGAATTCAAATGTACTACTGAAACGTTGAATCTTCATGTTTACAATTCCCTCAGAGGGCAAATACTGTAAATGACTTGTAGAGGGATACTGTTCAGGTTGGTGATTATTTCTGGGGTTAGAAACTGGTCATAAGGTGGTCATTATTTGGAATCAGAAAACCTTGTCTTGTTCAATGTAGACAGGAGGAAATCAACCTTCGTTGCAGTAGGATAGGCCTATGTTTTAAAGAAAATTAATTTAGATCTACAACAGTCAGATATGTAAAGTTAAATTTCCAATCCTTGGGAAATACCAGATATTAAACGAACTTCGAATGATTATTTTAACTTTTAATCAGGTTTGCAAATTATAAAATTTTAAAATAAAAAGGATGTCTTTTTAACCAACCATGTGATACTTCTGATCCAATAATGTTTAAAATTAATTTTCTACCCAAAAAGTTTTAAACACTTGAGCGATTGCCAATTTTTAGTCATAGCTTTTTTTCTCACTCCCCAACAACAAAACAATAAAAATACATTAAATTAAAAAAAAATATGAAACTTAATTTATCAATTTTGTTTACAGAAATAAAAATATAACACTGGTTGTATTTTTTTTCTTCTACTTAATGCACATCTTGAATTTAGCAATATGTTTAAATTGTAATCATTTCACTAATTTTAGGTCCTGTATAATCCAAAATATGAGCCATTTAAAATTAAAACATTAATTGTATAAGAGGATTTTATTTATTTGTGGTGTTATTTAAAACAATTAAAACAGTCCTTACCAAATTTATTAAATTATGTTTACCACTAATATTTGTTTGTGTCATTAAATCCCAGTGATTGAGTGATAATAGCAATTCAGTAACGATTAAGTTCACAAGAGTATTTCGTATCTGGTTAAACCAACTCAACAAAAGCCTTCAATAAAGTGTCAAAAGAGCCCTCAATTATAAAAATATCTTTCTCAAATAAAATAAAAGATCTAACAAATGAAATGAAAAAAGGATTGCAGATTATTTCTCTTATTTGAATCATGTGCGCCCACAGATAAAGACAAACAATACATCTACTACATTTATTTAAACTAACTAAAATTCAGTAGCTACATAATTGCAAATTAACACTCCAAGAAAAAATACAAAGTAAAATAAAATAAATTAAAATAAAATAAAAATAAAATAAATAGTGATATGAGAGTACAATCGTGCATAAGGGCTCACCGTGGAAGGTGGAGTGTCGTAGGTTTCTTGCCCTAAAGAGGGTAGTGTGCGCATAATTTCAGAAGGAGTTAACACACGGATGTGCTGATCAGAGAGTGGGGAACAAATTGTATTAGTCGTTCTTGATTCAGATTCAGATGTGCTATGAACTGTTTTGACAGTTTGAATGAATTGCACTTGTGATCGGACTGAAGGCTGTGTTATAACAGTACTGACTGTGGATGTTTTTGTGGGAATGATTTGTATGAGGTTTTTTGAATCGGTCGACTGTCCCGAAGTAGTGGAAGTCATTATAAGAGGAGGGACTGATTGTATGACGACATTTGTCGGTGGGTAATGTATCGTACTCCTCTCATATTGGTACTGTATCGCACGGGTGACGGGGGTCTCAGTCGTCGTAACGATTGATGTCGGGATTATATGAAATGTCGCCCTAATCCCTGGTGTGTTTAAAGGGATGTACTGAATCGTGGAAGGATGCGATGGGATTGTAGTTGGGAATGTCTCTTGAGTAGATGGCGAGTGCAATGGTGAAGTGTTGGAAGCTGTTGAAACTAATTTCTGTTCTGGACTTGGAGGAGTAGCGGGATACGGGGAATTCCTATCACCGGATGTAGGTATTTTCGAGGGGGGACACACCTCAAAGCTCTTCCCACTTGATGCTTGCTTGCCATTTGGTGCGTCTTCATCCGCCAGCTCCTTCCCAATCTGTCAGACCCATACTTTTGCATTAAGTGCATCAAATCATTCCAAACTCATTTAAAGGAAAAATATTAAAAATGCAGTGGTTTGTTAGTGTTCATACAATTTTGTTTTCAAAAATAAAAATATAAATTTAATTTAAATTTTTTGTTGTTAGTGACTTATATTATAATACTAAGTATGTGAAATCTATTTTGTTAAAGTTTACAATATTACTAAATGTTATAATTATTCACTAATCAAGCTCCAATTTCTAAAAGCCATAAGTACACGGGAAACTTGCCTACTGTGAAAATTCCTATAGATTGTATAATTCAATTGCCATATATTTGTTCCAACAAATAGTTTACTGAATTCTGGTGTTCTTTAAATTACAAAATATTTAAAACAGATCAATTACCTGTTGCGTTTTCTTTATTCGCAATGAACGGTTTTCTTTCGCTTGTTGAACAAACGGCGCTTTTTTCTCAGCTGGTAACGTTCGCCATTTTTTAAGTATCTGTTTAAAACGATCGCTCCAACCTGGGGAAAAACAATTATATGCACAATATTCTTTTAAAGAATAAAAAATATATATATCTTACTAGGATATTCTTTTTTCCACTCTGAATGGTTAATGTTAGCATAGAGTACAGGTGCCATTGTTGCATGTTGGCCAAGAGGCTCATCAGCTTCCATCTTGTGTGAAGTTCTATTATCATCACCGCCCCAAGGACTACCTTCTGGGCTGAATTGTGGGCTACTTCAAAATAAAAACAGCTGTGATGCCGATCCAATAAAAGGAGTTTTATTTATCAATATATTTTACTTACTTGCTATACTCTGAATTGTATGGTGAAACAGATGGAAAACCAATTGGGGAAGACAAGTTGGTATGGACTGAAGGAGTGAGCGAATTGGGGGTTCGAGAATGCATGCCACTCTGCAACGTCCCTGAGGAAAAAAAAATTGTATTTAACCAACACCTTTATTTTTGGTCAAACTGTATAAATTTTCTTTAAAGGGGAGAGGGTCAACCAATTGTCAGATTCTTTTTCCTAATCATTCCGTTCTTCCTTTAGATCCTTTAGAGAATAACTAATAGTCCAATGACACAATTGGTCTCATTTTATTTATGGCTTTCTTGTGAACATTTTCATTAAGTTTAAGGCATATAATTAGAATCTGTACAGAGCTAATAAACTGTATGAAAATTCACTCAAAAAATTGCTTGAATTGATGTTCCATTTTCTTAAGAAAGATGACAACTTATTCACTAGGTTTTTGTTTGTTTTAACGGTTCTCCAACCATATATATATTTTTTTTTTACATTATATTGAACATTTTGTAAAAATCTGCCCCTAATTATCATTATTCAGAATTTGTTTTGAATATGAAAGTGATATGAAAAGTGTAATTCAAAATACTGAGCTGAAGCCTAGAAAAAAGGAACATGAAGGTCAAAAATGTGTCTTTTCACCAGAGGATTTTTTTAAAACTTTGTTTGATTTTTGCCCACACTTTTTGTGACATATCACTTTGTTGAAGCCGCACCGTACTGCAGACATTGTGACATTTCCACTGTACGTTTCAGGGTTCCAGTTTTATTGGGATTTATCTATTCATAGAGCCATTCTGATCTGTGTAGAATTTTTAATTTTTAAACTGAGCAAAATTAGTTTAATAAAAACATTTGGTGGTAGAGGTCTGGGTACCTGGTCAGGTAGGGTCAAGCACAAATGTGAAGGCAAAGCAGTTAAAGCTGGGACGTCTCGTCCTCCAGACCGAGCTACCATGATCCAGCCTGGTGACACTGTGCGAGCACTTACTCATTTGAACGCTGTGAGAGTGTTGACAGTGTCAGTGGGCTGGTTGTCCAAAAAGCTCTTGTGAATTAAGAGCGCAACAAAAAGACCCCCCCCCCCCCCGAGAGTTTGAAGTGAAAGGAAAGGATTGTGTAAACCCGATTGAGGATTGGCCCCGCCTGATATGGACACCTGCTTATGGGTCAAAATCTATACAGATAGCCTGTACGTAGAGAAAGGTTGCTCAGTGTGTGACATCTGATAGAAAAGTGCCAAGCCTTGGCCCCTTACAGGAAGTGAGTAGGCATGTGCCCTGATTTGTTGGTTCTCAGGCGGGCGAGTCAAATGAAGGCTCCCCTATTCTCTTAAGAAATGGGGGTGTTCCTCACATATAAATATTGTGTGTATTTATTTGTAGATCATTTATTATATTAAGTGATGTATATATTTATTTTTATTAAATTTATAAATAATTAGTTTATTGCGAGTGTGCGATTTACATATGGCATAATAGCGTAAGACCAATGGCGGAATATCAAGAACCATTTGTCATAACAGTGAGTGGGGGCTGAAATGATTTCACTATTGGTAGCCCCATATATCTATAATGACTTTTTTAGTGCCAAAATTGGTTGCCCCCCCCTTAACAGATTTGAACATTACCTTGTTGTGGGGACATTTGAGGGTGAGAGGGAGTCCCGGGCGTCGGTCCCCGTGCTGGGAAAGCGCCTGAACTTTGCGATTCTTGAGATTCATCTGTTAAAACCCCTTTGAATATTTCCTCGACGTCTTTGGAGTCCATGTTCGGTAATCCTGGAAAATCTGGGTGTTCTTTATAAGTTCATTAAATTATAATAGAATGAATTGAGAAATGATACCAACCAGTTTCCCTGACCATCGACTCTATACTAAAGTGTGGGCCAAGTATTTCTGACAACTCGTCTTTTTGGTTTTGAGAGTCATGCTGATTTGAGGATCCTAGGATATTTTACAAGTGAATAATTATTTTAATTTGTCTAAGCTTCAACACTTATATATTCAACACCTACCTCCTATTAAATTCTCTGTTTTAATTCCATCCCTTTCATTCATTATAGTATTGACTAGATCATTAGGGAGTAAATTATCAGATAAATGGAGTATGTCTTTCAATCCTTCGCTATCACTCACGTCCTCCTCCTGAAATGAAAACTTTCTCCATTTAGCAATAAAATTAATGTTAAAACTGACACTTTTTGATATTTACTATTGTTATTACAAAGATCGCTCATGCAAAATAAACAACTGAAATTTTTATTTTGAAATAGAATTTTTCCAAACCATAACCTATCCAAACGTAGCCAAAAGTTAAACATTCCTTTAAAGAGGCTCAAGAAATCTAAATTGGTTCAAGCGGAACCTCGTCTATATTATTTCACAAGGAAGAAAGCTAACTTTTGAATTTAAATACATGGATGCAAAGTTTAAAAATATGACTGTACCTTTACTGATATTTTAGATGAGTTTGAAGGGTCAAAATCTTCGTTTTTATCAGAAATTTTCTCTTGCTTGGCTTTGACTTCGGCCATTACCTTTAATTCATCCTGTGTTAGAAAACATTAAAATGCACATCCAATGGAAAACTACTCAGTTAACCAATGGCAATCCCGAAGAAGGTATTTTGAACAAATTTTTCCAAACGGAACTAACTTTGCCTTTTTGATTTTCATTTCCTTATTTTATTACTTTTTTTTCATGGGCAAATTCAATGAATATGGAAATAAATAAAACTTGTAAAATCATAAAAATTATTCACCTGTGATAATGTGATAGTCTTGTCATGGCTAACTTTATTAGATTTTCCTTCGTCAGAATCGTCACTACTGCTTTCTAATTCTTGAGTTGACTCCTTGGTTATATCCAACAACTCGCGTCCAAAAAATGCCTCCTTCATGGACGAAAATAACAACATTAAATACAGGTGTACATAAAAAATAAATAAAAACAAAGTACCTGTAAATATGATGGATAGGTTTCAGCCAATTTACTTCGTTTTTTATTGCAGCGTGGTTTCCTTCTTGGCTTATCTTCTGCAAAAGGGTGTGTTGAGCCTTCTTCATCATCTTTAAACCTTGAGCTTCGCATTTTAACAGCTGAGAACCCTCCAATTCCTTAAAAAGAAATAATAAAAAAAAGTTAATAATGGATGAGAAATGTCTCTTTTTAATTTGATTATAAATTTCTTACCTAGCTTTTGCAAGTTTCTTTGTTTCTTGCGTTTTAAAACAACAACTCCACTCTCCTTTGTGTAGAGGGAAAATCCTTCAGGAGGACTCAAAACTGGCCCACTGTCTTTTGAGCCCCATATCATTCCATCTTTATAAACAGTATTTGAGTTATTTTCATTGTCAGGATCTATAATATAAAAATGAAAAAAAAAAAAAAAAAAAAAAAAAAACATTTTAATTTTACCATTTATAGAATCAAGGCCCCCCAGAATATCATTATCCTGGGGTCTTTTAAAGCCAGGCCTTTTCCGCCGCACCGGTTGATTGTTATTTTCCAGGGAAAGGTTTTTAATATGTTGCAGACCACATTCCGATAAACAAATACCATCAACATAATAATCATTTGATGATTTTCCATCTGAAAAAGTAAATTTTAAAAAAGTGTCAAAAGAAAAGTAAGAATAACATTACTGAGTTGTCTTACCAGGTGTGTATTCGGGTGAAGGCACTCGCACAGGTGTTGCAGGGAGAACGAGAGCGACATTGCTCGGCCTGCATAAAACGCAGGTATAACCCTGAGCGCAACACGCTTCCGCCTCTTGTTCAGTATTAATAGTATCACAGAAGCAATGCAACCACCTTCAAAACAATTATATTAGCACACAGAGCAAATACCTAGTTTGATTGAGTTCGCCGCTACCTTTCACAGGTGATGCATTTAATAATGAGATCTCCATCCGTATATAATTCCAGGCATGCAGGGCACGTTGTTCGTGATGCGCAAGCTCCACATTGTGAAAAATTTGACTGCCAGTCCGAATTCACACCAGGAGAACTAGCACCACACGTTTGACAATGTGCACACCTACATCAATTTAAATGAAATATCACTTTTTTTTTATTAATTGTATTAAATAAATTGCACATAATATACATACAATTAATAAAAACTACAATTCATTACTCAAATATCTCATTATTTCTCAGAAAGGGAACTTTATGCCAAATAATTTCTATCTAATCATAATTGAATTACGGATTTATCTTATATTATTTTATTTTTTTAAACTGATATCACTAATAACATACCATCTGCACTTCCATCCTCCTGTTGGCACAGACCCAAGAGGTGGGTCCATGCAATAAATATGATAGGAAATATCACAATCGTCACATAGGATCAATCTCGCCTCGTCGTTCCTTTGGCCACACCCTTCACAAATAGTGCAATCCAGACACCGCCAACCCCTTTGTAACATCACTTTGGTAACCTGCAAAGAAAAGAGGTTGATATTCCAAAACAAATCTGATTAATAACTGATAAGACAAACCTTAACAGAAACACAATATGGATGATAACACTGGCCACACTGTGAACACGCGATCAGACAGGCCTCCTGTTCTATGCCCAAAGAACCGCACATGACGCATATATCCTGCCCTAAAACAAACCTATCCTTGGACGAGCACAGGACAAGCTTGTTTTCGACACCAGGCTCTTCCTCGCTTTTAACGGAAGAATCAGGCAGTGGTCGCTGTAAATTTGTTTTTTATTTTAAAATGTCAATGCGATAAATAAATGTTTGATGTGACAGTAACCTGAAGACCAAGCCCGGGATAGCCAAAGAGTCCCCTCATTTTTGATTTTGCTCCTCTTTTCCTGCCGAAGTCTGCAAACCGAAGCCTTTTCTGGTAGTGGCTCAATGACGATGTGAGGGATGACATTTTCCCACTACCTTTTGGCCTACCTGGGCCCACTCCCAAGCCTAGCCGTTTTTTCGCCAGTTTTGACGCACAAAACGGCTTGCCTTTCCCCAGGCCTATTGTTACTCGCAGAGGACCATCATCAGACTAGAAGTAAAGTGCAAGTCTTAAACCTGAGCTTTTTAATTAAATTTGCTACACATGCTTTTTTAAGACTTAATAGTAAAGGCTTAATATTCATACTGGCTTTAAAAAAAATCTGTATGAATTTTATTTTTAAAATTCTAGTGTACAATATTTTTCTCTAAGATATTTTCTACAACACGCACACAAAAACAAAAGAACAAATTCTACATAATTGCTCATAAACTAAGCTGCTTCCCTTTTATAAAAATAAATAAATAAAAATAAAAAATAGCATTGGGTAAGCATATGACAATTCTTCTGTCATTTTCATGCAGTTTCTAAGCATTGGCCATTTTAAGTAAACTTCATGCAACAAGGTGACATGATTTAATTTTTTACATGAAGCTTTCTTTATCTTTATTTATATATGATGAAACTTGTGAAGTAGAAAAAAATTATTGCCAAATTTCAGCGATGGTTGTGATTCTTCATTTCTCTGACCTAGAAAGGCTTATTTCAATTTGGCTGAAATGTAACCAGTTGCTTGAGGTAAATTAAAAACAATTATTTAAATAAATAAATAATATTGAAAATCAAATTTAATAATTCATTAAACTAAATTCTTGATTTTTTTTAAATCCATAACACTGTTACAAAATATACATAAAAGTAAGGTAGGAATAGATGTTATTTAGTCTAAACGATAAGTTCAAAACTTTATCATTAAATTATTTTGAACTGTTGGCTAAATGAATTTCTAAATGTCAAAGACTCATCTGTATATTTATTAATATACACCAAATTATTATTTTTGGTTCTGAAATAATGTCGGGCGGGAAAACATGCATGACCCTGAAGTGCAATTTATTTCTTAAAACGTGTCAGAAATGTAAAGTAATACCATTTTGAGTAAAAGGTCCAGTCATTATTCTGTATGCGTTGTTTGTATGTTTATCTACTTTTAATTCCCAATGCGTTATTGTGCTTGGATGTGAAACCAAATCAATTTTAAAATACGTTTGTTTTTGTTTACAAGTCTACTACTCAAATGTAATCCATCTTTTCATCTTCTGTTTTCATAAAAGATAATCTTATCCCTTTTTTTGAATCGGTTCTGCAGGTTAAAATCAGAAAACGCTTCAAAACCAGTTTGTTTCAATATTTAGTTAGTGTGAATAATTTTAACTCAGTAAATAAATTAAATTCAAGATGGATACACAGAAAGGTAATTAATTAACTTTTTAAAATTTTCAATAATGTTTCAATGTTATTATTACTACCGACTACAATACTTTCAGAATAATTTTAAGCTCTATAGCATTCCTTAATAAAATGAAGATATTTTAAATTCAATTTTATTAATGTTATTCTTGAAGCGTACTTTTAACCACTTGAAATTAGGTAATTTTCTAAATCCTTACTATCACAAGTTCCATTGTAGATTAGTTGAATAGATGTCTTATTTAATTTTATTTGTCGAAAACTTTCTACAGTGCAGTATTATAATTATTAATTTTAGAATTAGTAATGATAATGATTATAAATACTTTTTAAAATTGAAAATAGCAAAAAAGTCACCTTTTCAGAATCTAAATCAATATCTTCATTTACCATAAGAGATTCTTGAGATGCACTGAGTGATGAGTCCATAACTGCTTCTTCAGTACCTAAGTTGAAAGAAAAAAAAATTACGTTTTTGAAATAATTTAATCCTGAATTAACTAATTGTTAACTGTCAATTTCACTTACTGTCTTTCCTTTTCATGTAATGTACAGTGCTATTGTTTTTACAGGACAGACAGATATATTCATAATCAGGATGCGCTTCTTTTTTCCTTTGGTAACTAACAAAATCTGCCTCTTTATCACACGTCCCATGTACAAACCTGTGAACAAAAAGCAGGTGAAAAAAAAAGTATAAAAAATAATTGGAGGGTTTCGAAGTCCTGCCTACTACAGCTTTTTCCTTCTATGAATTCGATAATTTTATTCCACATCTTGCACACTTTTACGGCATGTACCACTCAATTTGAACACCTTTACATCCACTGTCTTCACCACTACCAGCACCAAATGCATTTCTCAATGTTGCTTAATGCTTATTCTTTGCCAAATGAAGATCTTGTTAGAGCCAAATCATGTCATAGATGTGTCAAATGCTAAACCAAATTCAATGTCAAGGAAAACTTTATGAAAAATTTATCTACAGCAAAGTACGATCCCATGTCGTTGACAAGCCACAAACTTTTTAGTAACCCATATTGCCTCTCCTGTTTATATTAATATATAATATATTTATTTTTTTCTGACTCCTTTTGATCATGTACATTTATGAGATTTTGTAAGTGCTGATCAATTTGGTCAAGCTGGTTCAAGAGGGTTATATTTTCTTTTTCTTCTTTGATCAATTGAAGTGATCTCTGAAAATGCCTTTGGTCCAGTCGTAAATTGGATTTCCACTATTAGTTACTTAATACTCTAAGCTGCTAAATAAATTTTATTTCATCCAAATCCCTTGACTGGTTCAGACGGTATCTCACTCAAGAATAAATGGTGGCTAGGTGGCATGGTGATAATCGAACCTCGATGAAGTGAAAGGTGGAAGTACAAGTTATTTTTAGATTGTCGCCAAATAGATCTACATGACAGTATCACTTTTATATCCATAACTTTTAAACTTTAGCAAGCCTCTCAAAAGTACATATATGATCCCCCATACCAAAGTAGAACGTTTTCATCGAATTCACATCAAAACAACCATTTTTACAATGATTTTCCTATTGAATTTTGTTTAACAAACCTGTGGCATTGAGAACATCTGACCATCTCCCTCAAAGCAGCTGCTCTATATGCTTTATGACAAACGGGGCAAGAAAACCCTTTGTTCCTCTGCTGATAGCACGAATCGCAAACTGTGTAGTTTGAGTGCCACCTAGACGACAGACCGCCCCCTGGAGTACGGGCACCACAGTCACTACACAATCTGCACCTCTGAGAAACAAAAAGGACAATATGAAATATGTTCTGTATTTTTAATTTTATCAAGCGAATTACCTTGCACTTCCAACCAACTTTAGGTACGGAAGACATAGCTGGTCGCACACAGGATGGGTGGTACGCTTTGTCACAAGAATCGCATACCAACATCCTATTCGTGTCTTCAGACTGTCGACAGAGTTGACAAATTCGGCATTCTGCACATTGCCAGCCTGCTCTAAGTCCTGTAGTAAGATATTTAAAAAAATATATATATTGACAATATTATTATAGATAATTTGATATGTTAAACAACAGAATACAAAATTATTTTGCACCTGGCTGTAAAGCATTTCCTATACATATTCCATGATGATGACTTCCGCACATTGAACACATCACTAGATTATTTACATTTCCTAAAGAATGACATGACTGACACTCAACATCTGACAAAGAAGCTACAAAAAAGAAATCATGACAATACAGTAAAATTAGATTTCATATAAGAAATTAAATTTGGATAAAAAGTACGTACGTGTTTTTGAAATGTGATCAATATGTTGACTACAGATCAAAGTGAGGGTCTTGGGATGTTGGAATGTGGCAGCGGCTGCGGCACACGGAGTGTGGAAATGCTTATTGCAGGATGGGATGATGCAAGGACTACCTGCGCCATATCGACTACAATGGTAACACCTTCTGCTCACTGCTGCCATCACACCGGCTGGGAGGTTGTTAAAAGAAGAAATGCCCTTTCTTGTTACCCCAGTGCACCACATCGCACACCATTCATGGACGTATATGTAACCTAAAAATAATTATTTCAATATGAGTTTTCATTTTTTTTCTTCTGAAGTACAGTTTAAAAAAAGTTTTAAAATTACCCGAATCGACTATTGCTGTTGGCTCAGGTATATCTATATGTCCAACTAGGCTCAATTCATCAACCGGCTCTTGGCCTCCACCACCAGCATTTCTAAAAAAATAATATTTTAATTAAAACATTTTACTGAAAAAAAAGTAAAATTACAATTTGCGATTCTAACCTAAATTTGGATGCGCCTTTTTGCCTTCGGTTTTGAAAAGGTTGCCTTGGGCTTGTAGAGTCCAAAGGCGGTGTTTCTGGAGGGCTCATTAGCAGTTCTTTGGGCAATTCTTTAGGGAGTTCTTCTACTGTACATTCTACTCGGCACATCTTGCCTTGCCCCAACTGACTATGCTCTGTCAAATTGCACAACACACATACTTTTCCGGGCCTGGAAAAAAACATTAACATTTAATCTACCTGGACCTTTCAGAATAGAGAAACTTGGGAAGTTGTGACATTATTAAACTCTTTTTGAAATATTCCGCATTGAAATTTTTGCAGTCTTAAAACGGAAATCTGGCTAATGCTGACCTTTATGATATTCAAAACTTATTAAAAAGAGTTTTGGAACAATTGTTTAAGATATTGATTTGAAACTGTTAAACTTAGTTTTCTAAACGAGAAAAAAGTAATCTTTCCGTTATGCACATTATTTTATTACATTTGGTGTGATACATACCATGTTTCATCAAAAAGAGGCTCATCAACAAAGATGGGCGTCTTAACTGGATCAACAGGTGTTGATGGGTGTACAGGTGAAGAGCTTTCATCTTCACCTTCCCCAGGTTGCTTTCCATTATTAATGCCATATACACCGGAAACAAGCAATCTGCAAACATGACTACTTAACTTACTTCCATAATAACAATATCAGTATCACCTTAATTAGAATAAACCTCACCCTTTCCATCTTTTCAACTTAGGTCCGACCACCTTCTTCGTGCGGACAACAGGAGTAGCACCGCCTCCTCTGCTTCTCGGCCTGCCAGGCCCTCGTTTTATCCCTACAACCGGTTTCCCTCCTGTTAGTGCTGCCCCTGACACTACACGCAGTGGTGACGCTAAACCTTCATAAGCAGTGGGAGCTGTGTGAGCGAACACTAAATTATTATTTATTAAAATAAGTTCTTTTGTTATTTTAATTCTCACCAGGGGATGTCATGCTCATCATCACTGTGGACTGGTCAGTGATGGGCGACGATCCTAAGTCAATGTCTTCCTCCTCGTCCTCCTCTTCCTCTGAGCACTCACCCACCTCCATATCTTCTTCGATTCCCCCTCCCCCTCCTGCTTTTCCTTCAGCATCACCACATGTTTCATCCATCGTTACTCTGTAAAAACATTAATTTATTAAAAACTAAAAATCTACAGACTAAATAATAAACAAGAGAGAGACTCAATAACTATAGAAATTAACATAGTAAGAATATACATCCTTAAGTAAATTTTTAAACTGAAACAACAGTTGTTTTTTTTTCGTTTTTACTAAACATGCCTGGCTCTATACCTAAGCTACAACACAACTTTGTACAACTGTGTCAAAAACTTTTCTTCTTTATTATTCTTAAAATAACAAGCTTTAATTGACAAAAGTTTACAATCATAATAATGCCAGAATGTATATATATCCCCCTCCCCAATAATTCATGATCATTGATCCTTGTCAAGAGTGCCTAACAATAAGTCTTAGAATTGTTTCTTGTCATGCCCATTGCCATTAAAGCTGTTATATTAACCCTAATAAATAAATAAAATATATTTACTGAAAATAACAAGACTTAGTTGTGTAGGTTTGTCTAAACTTATTTTGTATACCACCAAATTTCAAAAATTTGCGAATTAATTGATTGCGTTTACTACAAAATATTTATTGTAAGTGACCATTGAAACCATTCAGGTTTAGTCACCATTACAATTTCTTTCTCTCCTTCCCAAACCCTCATAAGCCTAAGATTATGATAGCCTAGCTATAGCTATTATGATAGTTATAGCGATCAGTGATGATAGCCGATAAGTAATGATCAATATTTTTTGTCATCAGAAGCAATGATCAATATTTTTTGTTGATTATTTGGAGGTCATGAGATGCAGTCTGGTATATTTTTTATGTTATCAAAATCTGATGATATAATGTTACTTTTGCATATTAGCAAATGATAAGTACAAAAAATAAAATAATAATAAAATTAAATTAAAATAACAGAGGGGAAAATTTAATTGTGGCTGGTCTTGGTTTTAAATTGAAATGATTAAGCCTATTTACTGAAGGTAAAAATCAAACCTAATTTATTAACGTGAAGTTTTTTAAAATGATTTTTTTTTTCTTCAAATTAAAGCGCTACATATTTTGTCGTATGTAACATTTTCGTTTTCTAATTAACATATATAGAATTGCACTTTTTTCTAATGAAAGTTTTTATATTTCAGGCTTTGTAGCCAAAGTTAAAATATGAATAAATAAGAATGCAAAAGTCCACATTTCAGATAATTCCTCCATAAAAATTAGCAATGATAACAGTGAGATTTCTTGAGGTTTTCCAGACGATAAATCTGTAATTTGGTTGTTCCAATCATTTAAGTCTGTCGACAAGAAACGGCTGAAGATGGTGAAATGTCTCTGATTGTCAAGCAAATATAAGCCATGACCAAATTACATATTAATACAATTGTATAACTAATAATCTTAAATAAAATATTCAGGAAAGAAAATAAAAGCCTCCACTCGAATTTTATAGACATACAAGAAGGTACAAAGGGAAAACTTTTTTATTTTATTTTTTTAACTTAAGTTTAAATTTTGTTAGGATCTTTTATATAAAAAAACTACGGCTTATACAGCTTAAGTGACAAATTTAACAATAAAAAATAATAAAACAGTAAATTAACTATACATTTGCATTAAACATTGTGTTCTTATGTGATGGAATTGTTTTTAATTCTTGAACATCACAAGTATTGATAAATTATTTTTACTTGAAATAAATTAAGAACTTCAAAAAATATTTGTACTATTGTAAAATATTTTAGTTCTTTTACCAACAATTATAATTTAAACAATTTCAAGTAAAATGTATGTTTTACTTAATTCACACATTTAAACTTAATAATCCGATTATGTACAAGAAATCAAAGCTCTATTGTTACAATTAGTGAAGTAGACAATTATAAATAATAATTTTGCAGTGCAGGGCGGTTTGTGTGAAATCACAAATATTGCACAAGGTGGAATATTGGAAAAACAAGTTTTTTTTCTCTCCCACATGAAAACAAAATGTTAAAAAGGTTAACCAGAACATAAGAAAAAAAAAGAAGGTTATTTATGTCAAATAATTTTAAATCACAGGGTAATAAAATTTCATATGAGCTATTAATTATAGATTAATTGTTCTTATATACTAAAATATCCTGTAAATTAGCAATTTTTACAGTACAATCAGATTGCCTTTTGCAAATATGTTTCTAGATTTGTTGAAAATGGCTTGGAGAGAGAAAAAAAACTAATTAAAGGTTAAAAGAATTATCAAAAGAAATTTTTAAAGAATTGTCTGTAAATTTAATAAAATAAATCACGAGTCAGGACAGACAGCGCAATGATTATGACTGACCAGCCTACAACCATTTGGCTAACCAACTGCATAAACATCTTTGTAACAATAAGCAATCCAATACTTTAACATTTTAAAATATATTAAGATTTAATAATAATAAAATTGCAGCAAGGGCCAAAGATCTACGACCAATACTAAGTTAAGAAATATTTTCATAAAGGTCTTTAAAAAAAGTATATATCTAAATAAGAAATCATTTATGACCAACACAATTGTAAAATGTGTATAAACATTGTTTGTAACAAGCCAAGAGACATGAAATTTGCTAATGGATTTAGCAAATAATTAAAAATATATTTGAAATAGTATGATTTGTTTTTAACAGTGGTTATCAAAGAAATACAAAAGCTGGGAATGAGACAGCAGATGGCTTTTTTTAAATTGTTTTCTGGCTTAAATAACAATATAATATTTCAAATTAATAAGTTAAAAAGTTCAATATAATATAAAAATATTGGATTCGTCAATTATCAATATAAAAACATTAATTACCGATTCTTTTCAGACTTTTCTCATGTATTATTTGAAAATTATGACCCCTCAAGTAAATGGGTAAATTAAAATTGCGAATTTAAAGAATTTGTTAAACTATTAATAAATATTGATTTGAAAGATTTAATCATAAATACAAATTTGCATGATGCCTGGCATAAATAATGCATAATATTTTAATTTTGTATGTTTAATAAATAAAGAGAATAGCAATTGTTATAAATATATTATTTTTCAAATTCATTATAGCTTTAATGTATTAATTTTGTAGTTAACGGCAACTTAACTTATGCAACTGTGAAGTCAAAAGGGTTTTCAACCTAATTTTTATTGAAACAACTATCTATAAACAAAATATTTTAAATTACTATTGCAAAAAATGAAATACAATACCAAATTTGTCTATTATCAATTCAAAACAGAAATGACCGATGTTTTTCAGATTTTTCTCAATTAATATATGAAAATTATGATGTTGCACTGAAAATAATTATAAATGGGAGATTTCAAGTATTTAAGTAATAAACAACTATTTATTGGGAAAATTTAATCTAAAATTTTAGATTGTTAGTGTGATTGATTTGAATATTGCCTTGCTGACAGGTTGAACATATTTTTCATGACAAGCCATATCTTCCGTTGTAACAACAAACGATACTACATTTTTAATCAATAAGTAAAAAAGTTCATTATAATAAAAAAATAATTGGATTTGTTGATAATCAACAAAAAAAAAAAACATAAATTATTGACGCTTTTCTTATAGTTTTCATGCGCTATTTGACAATTCTCAAGTTGACGATTTTTAATATTTTTTCTAGTTAGATGTACTAATTATTTAGTTAACAACGAATTAACATATACAACGAATTGCACGATATGCAACTTCAAAGTCGAAAGCTATTATTATTATTATTATTATAATATTATTTTTCAAATTCATTATAGTTTTAATGTATTAATTATGTAGTTAACGGCAACTTAACTTATGCAACTGTAAAGTCAAAAGGGTTTTCAAACCAATTTTTATTGTAACAACAATCCAGAAACATAATATTTTAAATTATCGAAGGCAAAAAATGAAATATAATATTTTCAACAAGTAATCAACTTTTTATTTGGAAAATTTAATTGTAAATGCATCACTGATAGGGTTATAATATTGAATATCACACGGCAGAAAGGTGAATATCTTATTGACAACTAGCCAAGCATCGAAAATTTAGGTTTTTCAATGGACAGCATTGACAAATCAAATTATTTCATGAACATAATAATATAAACAAAAAATGAAATATAATGCAAAAATAAACTGGTTTGTCAGTACTGCCCATTGAAAAACTTAAATGGCGAAAGGTTTTTCAGACTTTTCTCATCCACTTTTTGGAATAATAATGTTGTATTGAAAATGATGATGGAAAAATATAAATGACATTTAAGATATTTATATAATAAACAACTATTTATTTAGACGATTTAATCGTAATTGCATGATTGATATGGTAATACTTTTGAAGTTAATTTTGAAGATCACATGGCTGTCAGGTTGAACATCTTTTTTATGACAAACCATATAAATTTCATAAACAACAAACCATAAATATATTATTTTAAATTAATAATATTACTAAGTTTTAATAATAGACAAATAAATAATATTCCAACTGATAAAAAACATTTTTATTTTGAAAATTCGTTCTGCCTCCCTTGAACAAAGTGTGTACATGACAGTAAAAATAAATAAATAACGCGATTGAAATTTTAACAGTTTTAAAGGCTGGTTTGAAAAAAAGAAGAAAAAATCAAGTGTTGTAAATGTATTAATTATGTAGTTAAGGCGACTTAACACATACAACAATACTGGATTGCGCGATTATGCAACTGGGAGGGCGAAAGAGGTTTTTCCCGTTAGTTTAAGGGAAATTAAATAAAAAATCCGAGCGGATCGAGTATTTAAAAATAAATCCAGAAGAAATCCGATACAGGGAAGGGGCTCGTAAAGTCGAAAATCCTCTGGCCATCCACAAGAACATTATGCTGGGAGACGAAAATGGCCGTTCTTGATTACGAGGAGGAATGACGACTCCCGACGACGGGCCTGCTTTCGACGTCGGTCCGGGCGGAAAAACCGGCTCAGGAGAAAAGCCGGAGGCGAGGAAATATCGAGAAAAGCCCCGGTGACTTTTCCCAGTTTCCGCCGAGCCGGGATTAACGTCAGAGTGGAAAATCGTTAAACGGCCGCTTCGGGACTGAGAACGTTTCCGGCGGATTTTCTCGAGGCCGAAAGTCAAAGCGGAGGCTGAAAAGGGGTCCGGCTGTCCGGAAAAGCTCAGAAAAAGCCGAGATGGCAGGGAAATCAAACGGCCCGGAGGCAAAGCCGTGCAAGGCGAATCAATTAGCGTTTTCAAATCTAATAGGTTATAATCCACAAGAGATCCGTCTCTTGTGGGACAACAGTCGAAAACCGTCCGAAATCAGTCGGAAAACGCCAGGAAAACAATACAAAGTTCTGCAGAGGAAAAAGTCCGCCCGCCAGGAGAACAGTGGCGATAACCGTTTTGACAGGACATATTTTGAAAAATGGTGGATTTTCAAAATTTTGAAAATAAAAGATAAGGGCTGATATTGGTCGGCGGAGTTTCCCGTGGGGCGGAGGACGAGACGAACCGTGAGAACGGAGGCCGGGGGCTGTCGAATATCCTGGGCCGAACGGTAAATCGCGACTGGGCCGATAGTCCCTGCCGAGAAAAATGTTTGGACTCGGCTTTTCCCCGGGAAGGGGCTTCGTATCGTTTAGAGCCCGGGGCAGGGAAAAAGTCGTCCTCCGGCCCTCTCGAGGTCGGCGTTTCCGTCTCCGGGTCTAAAAGGCTGGTCTGAGCGGTAAATAATCCGTCCTGAGAGAACGCCCTCGGCAGGCACGGGCCGAGGGATTTTTCGAAAAGGGGCCACTTACCTTTTCGACTAACTTTTTTTCCCCATCCGTGATTAGCTGATGGACCCTGAGAACGGCCGGGTCGGATAAACGGTTTCCACGCACACCATGAGTTCTTCCATTGATTATAGTAAACAAGATTAACGAGAAGCTAGAAACTTAAAAGCTTGGCATCGATGGCCATGAAAATTAAAACAATATGAGCCACGGCCTCCGAACTCGGGCTCGTTACAAACACACACTGTTCTTACTCGCAAACTACAAAATTCTTATCAATTTTCATACATACAATAATTATTTTACATTAAATTTTCTATATTACAATTATGATTGAATATAAAGTTGAAATTCACAGGCAAAAACTAGACCGTTCTATCCGGACCCCCCTAGAGTCTACGCTTCTTTCACTCTTATTAAATTTCAACTGGTTTATTATTTTAAATCGACTTTGTTAAACTAGCTTCAACGATTAGTTTACTTTTTCCAGAAAAACTTATTAAAATTACTTATAATCTTTTAATTTGATCTCGCCATTTTCGTCCTTCGAGCTTCATCTACTAGCCTAATTACAACGAGCGGAAATCCCGCCAATTTTCGAACGCCTCAACACAAAGCACTTTTATACAGGGTGATACCGTCACTTTTTGGAGAAAAGTAGTTCTACTCACAGAAGTTTTAGAGTACGTTTATGTTGGAGTTAACGACATAAACGATACGAACGGTGATGTAAACGAAGCAAAGAAAACGATCGTTATTTTATATGCAGGTGTTTGTTTTGGAGCGTCGCGTTAAGAAACCACGCTTGCCATCCGAACAACGATTAGAGCGGCGCTTATTGTTCTATTTTCTTTACTTTTATCAGGTCAGCATGGATATGGACAGCTTCATTAGTGAAGTAGTTGCTAGATCCCTCTTGTAGGGTCAAAAACTAAAAATCAATAGATTTGTTCATGACAAATTATGGGATGCAGTAGCTGTAAAATTGAACACAAAACGTAAGTAGAAATTTTAATTATTATTAAACATTAGTAATTTCTTTAAGTAGTGTAAATAACAATAAGGAATTTAAACAGAAAAATGTATAATAATAGTAACACTCTGGTTTCTGGATCCCCTGTTCCATTTTTTAGAGGAGGGGGTATTTTATTGTATATAGCTATTTTCTATGTGTTTTATCATTATTGTTTTGTTTGAATGCTTGTAGTTATTAGTGTGAGTGGTAAATAAGTAATGGGAAAACGCAACTTCACCATTGCACCTCCAGTAGTGTGAGTGTTTAAGGTCCAATGCAAGATGAACCCAAAGACCGAAATGACGGTAACTTAGGTAAATGTGATACAGTTTTCCAGTCTGAAATTATAGCAATTGAACACTCCAGTCAGGTAGAACTAAACCCTAGCCTCATGCGAGGTGAAGGCAAAGAGCGTTTGAAACTGCTGGAGGCCTTGACTGTCAGCGACACTAATGACCTGGCCCTAGCATGGATCCCAGGGCATTTGGGGTATAGAGGGAACGAAAGGTTGACAATTGCAAAGTGGGTGCCAACATGGACTCTCTAAGTCCTGAACCCTACTGTGGCTTAGCATCTTGCCACAAAAGAGGATACAAGCCCAAGGTCGTGGGTTCCAATCCCGCTACTGTACTAAGTTTTCATCTCGACCAAAAACCTTAGGTAAAAATAATAATAAATTGGAATATTAACATAGTTGAATATGAATGAAGGAAAGGAAATTTTATACACGATAGTATAAAATAGAGAAGAAAAAGAGAACGGTAACATCATATTAGTTTGATCGAATTAAGGATTGTTTGGAAAAAAGTTTAAAGCTTTACATCTGAAAGCTTGAAGGGGTGGGCCGACCTAATATGCCGCGGAAGGGAATTCCACAAGCCCCAGCAACCCTAAATGAATCATTCATAGATTTGGATCTATGATGCAAGCTTTTTATAGTATTTAAACTACGTGAAGAATAAACATAGAATATAATGAATAAGTATGATGGGCAGAGCTTATTTTAAATTTTAAATAAGTAAATAAGATATCAGAGTTTAAGGTAATCAAATGAATTAATACCCAGAATGAACTTCTCATGTGTTGAGATGTGCTCTCTTCTTCATAAATGTTCATTTAATACAAATCTTGTGCAATTATTAAAAAGCATTCTAAATTTTTTTAGGAGAAGTGTGCTTAAGTGAAAAAGAGTAGATAATATTGCAATTAAAAAAAAGTTTGACTTGTTTTAATTTCATTTAATTAAGGTTTTTAGTTGAGATAAAAAAGTCAGTGCCACGAGCGGGATTCGAACCCACGATCCTCGGCTAGATACGCCACTGCTCTACCACTTGAGCTATCGTGACCTCTGAGAGCAGCGGCGTATTGAGCCAAAGATTGTGGGTTTCAATCCCGCTCGTGACACTTTTTTATCTCAACTAAAAACCTTAATTAATTGAAATATTTCAATTGGTCAAGTGGACTACAAAAACTAGTGAATTTAACTAGTTTTAATTTTAAGTTTTAGTGTCATAGAGATAAATTTATGATATTTCCAAAGTGAAATTAGAGTTTCATTCATCTTTCTAGCAACAAAGCCTAAATGATCATCCCAAGATAATCTGGTATTAAAAATCACACCAAGGTTTTTTTACCTGGTTAGAGAATGGTATTAAATAGCTATTAAGATTAATGCAAGGAGAATCCAAAGTCAGTAGATGTGTTTTGTAAATAATTATTGATTGGGATTGGAGTGGGTTAAGAGAGAGGGTTGAGACCATTTTTTGAAGCTCAATTAACCAAGCTGGAAATTCTAACAAATAGTTTATTCCTGTTTATAAACAATTCATATTGAGAGACGTGTTTGTACCTTCTGCTTGATGATGAGTATTTAATACTTGATATCCAGATAGCTGCCTAAGCCATAAGAACTATCTTTTCCAAAAAGTGAATAGCCATACTCACTGCACCTCAAACCATTTCTAAGGGTGATACCGTTTTAGCGGTCCACCCAAGAATATTATATATAATGACAAATAGGATAGTTGTATATGCCAAATTTTGGAACTCAACTATTAATGGTATTCTGAAACTACGGGAGCAAAAAGTCTTGGACCATGAATATAACAAAAAAAAAAAAAATTGACAGTGTAACATCTTATAAATATTTGGGGATCATCTTTTATTTATTCATTTATTTTACGGACAAAGCCTATTAAATTATACAATAGTTACAAATAGTTTAGGAGAGCTAATATAGAGATTTATTACAAAACATAAATAATTAATTTAAAAAAGACTGAATTAGAAATACAATACATTTGAAATTATGAATTATTAAATAAAACATAGCAGTAAATATATGCAGTTAAGATAATTGCTAGAATACAAACAAAACAACTGAAAATTTCATATATTTGGTTCTGTTATGGGTTCCATCATGTGCTATGTGGCACAAGTATGGGGTTACATTAGGGTTGATAAATTGGAAATGTTGAATAATTTTTTCATTAAAAAGTTGTTTTTTGGGAATTTTGGGTTTGGTGGCTTAAAAAAATTAAATAATTATGAAATTATAGAATATCAGAATAAGGACTGTATAAGTTTATATAAATTCTATGTAGAAGCCTGGAGATATTGAAAATTACTTGTGCATGAGTTTAACTTCTAAACGTTATTTTGTACTTGTCGATGCAAGATGGTCATATCTTTTAAAATATAATATGGATAATAATAAATTATAAATTCATTACAATTTACATTGTTGATGTGTGTGTAAATTCCTGAATGGTCCAAATAAATGATAAATGTATTTAGTTGTTTATTATTATTTAAAAGAAAAAAATGTAAATGTTCACTTTTTGTAAATAATGGTCCTACTCATAGATTTGTTGTTTACAACAATCATGTTTCAAACATTGTACACTCTTCATTAGGTCGAAAGAGTTACAAACATGTCTCTCGATAGGAATTGTAAGAGTGGAACCGCCAAATCTATATTCCAATGAGAAGCTGGTTTTTGACGCCGCAATTTTCAATGATTGTGAAAAACATGAATTACAACACCACTAAATATTACCCTAATAAATACTGTAAGGAAATAATTTGTAAATTAGTGATTAATTTGTGTATCAAATATTATGGTACACGCTTAAAATAGGAGTTAGATCATGATCTATGATATTATTTATGCATGTATCTGCATGTATCTGCATGTATCTGCATGTTTAATTTTACATTTTGTTGTTTCAAATTTTTCAAATCAATCTACTTCCCTCCCTTTGTTGAAGCTGTGTAACAACGTTGTATTTAAATTGAAATTGAAATTGAGTTTTGCTTCATTTAGGTAGTCCTTACATTCAGAAAATTTGTTCAATTTAGGTTGTACAAATTTAACTTAAAAATTCTATATTAAATAAAACACCTTTATAAGAAAATTATTATTTATATTATTAAAGGGTGATACATTTTTGATACACTGTAGGAAGGTTTAATACATCTTTAGTATAATTTGCTTAATTTTATAATTAAAACAAATTCCTCAGTAAACTCTATACAAATTTTGCTATGTTAATAAATTACTTTATTCGTTGAAAATAGTCCTAACTAATACATTTTTACTGAGATTAAAATATTCTGCTCTTGTAATATGTATTATAATATTGTTTTAAATGTCAATTACATTAAAGAGTTAGGAGTCATGTTTCAGCCCAAATGTCCTTTTCAGTTCATGTTTCATCGATAGTAAATAATTTTTTAAGTTGCTAGGCTTCATATCTGCAGTTCTAATAATTTGAATAATGTCATTAAACAACTCTATTGCTCCTTTTTCATTTTAATTAAAATTCTCTTGGTCAGAAACATTTTTTAGAATAAGTACAAAATAAATTCTATAAATTCATCTCCTTCAAATTAAAGATTCCTTATAGTTCATATAATATTCCTTATCTCCAATCTACTATTCACTTGTTACACTACAAAAGTAAATAAAGGAAGTAAACAAAGAATTGTTTACTGTTTATTTTGACTAAAATAGCTCCTAATTACAAGTAACTAATGGATTTATGGATAATGTATTTAATTTTAAACTAAATAAATTAAGTGGTAGGTTAAATTTAACTGATTTAATAAAACTCCCGAATAGATACTAAAGAGTAGTACAAACGTTTTAGGCAATTTACACTGAAAAATTAAAAAATTCACAGGTATTGCATTTTTGAAAACCTGTTCTTTTAAACCCTTATTTACGATATAATTTATGTGATTTTTAACAGTAAGATCTTACCTAAAGAACAGTAAGACACCTAAATCTTTAACATATTGTAGCAAGCTTAATTATAGATATCTAGATAAGAATAATAGATAAAAAGTAGTTATAAACAATAGTTTTTTGGTTCTTCAAAAAACGAACAACATGACATTTATCAACATTTAGATCACACCATATGACTAGACTGTATAATTCAATCAGTAATAACGCACATTCTTTGATACTTTTAACAGTTATATATGGTATTAGGAAATTTTTTATTAATTAAATATAAATTATTTTGTAAAACATTGTGATACATTGATAAATGTTTTTCTAAACCTACTTCACACCAGACCGCATCTCACGATCTTCAACTAATCAGGGATAAATATCCATTATATTTCGTTGTCCGATTGACCAAATAACTTCTTTTAATTAATTAATATGTATGTAAGGTATTGGTTGAAATGAAAAAGTTAGTGTCACCAGCGGGATTTGAACCACGACCTTCAGCTCAATACGCACACTGCTCTAACCACTTGAGCTATCGCGACTTCAAAGTCCGGATAGCTCAAGTAGTTAGAACAGCAGTGTATTGCGCCGAAGATTGTGGGTTTGAATTAATTGATAAATATGTTGAACAAGAGTGGAGAAAGAAGTAATGTTAATTGGTTGGGAATATGTATTATTTATTACAACTATTTGGGTTCTTCCCTTTAAGTTGCTACTAAACCATTTTAATTAATTGCCCTCGAAACCAATAGCTTCCAGTTTGCAAATTAAAAGATTATGATTAACTCGGACAAAACTTTAATTAAATATCATTTAAACGATAGTAAATTTGTTGACTTATTTTTTACAAACCCATGTTGGTCATCAATAAGATATTTGGATTTGGATTTATACAGGCTCAAATCTGCACATGGACATACATACACACAAACATGTGCCAAGTTGAACCTATTGGCTTCTCGTAGTTTACTGGCAATTCCAGCTTTTGCTATACACAGTAGACTGCCAACAGACTCGAGAATTATCCGCCCCGGGTGTTGACCTCAGTCTTATCCATCCAGCCACTGAGATTGGGCTCTGGGGGGGGGCTGCCAACAGCTAGGTCAATTCAGCTCCTAACGCATGCAGTTTCAAACCATTTGTACTCACGACCATTCTTAAATACATTCACTCCTATTTACATTCAATTCATTCAATTAGGGTGATGGAGCACTCGATATTCCTCCATCACCCTTTACACATTATACAACAAACCTAACTGAGGGTTGATGGGTACTCAATATTCTGCCATCGACCCTCTCACATCACACATTCATGCTAATTAATACAATTACTATCAACAGAACCTTAAACATATTATACAACTAAACTAATTAATATTCCACCATCGACCTTCTCACATCACCATTCACGCCTATAAATTATTCACTCTGAACACAAATTATGTATACACAACTATTATTACTATATACAATAGAACAACCCCGTTTCCTCCAAGAATCTGAACAGGGAACTCAAATACTCACTGCCATGCTCAAGCACAATTCTCAAATCGGGTGGAAAGGAATTGCACTGTCATCAATAAGAATATGTTTAAAAAGGCAGACATTTTTTTAGTGACTAATTTGTCAAACATTTTTGGTATAAGGGAGATTTTATATATTGGACTGTAGTTAGATATATTTGATTTATCGCCACTTTTAAAAGTAGTACAATATAACTAGTTTCCCAAAGACTTGGAAATTCCCAGGAATCTAGGGATTTCATAAACTGTAATTGGAGTGATTTTGCTAAAACAAATCTACATTCTTTTAAAACTATTATTTTTTTAACTGATTACAGGAAATCATGATATAGAACAGATTAATTGCAATTGATGATATTTCTATTGTATCTTAACCTGATAAATTATTGTACTTTGGGAAGCATTTATATGTGAATAAACATTTCCAAAGTGAGTTGCAAATCACTACAAAATTAATTAATTGAATTTGAAGTATTCAGAGAAAAAAATTATATATAAAAAATAAAACAATAACAGGATCAATAATATTTAATAAACAATTTATAGATTTTATCCTACATGCTTTATACAAAATATTACATGTAATACAATAACCATGAATATAAAATATATTCCCCATGCAGGGATATCAGATTCATATTATGGCAAAAAGACAATTACTAAAAACTAATTAACTAAGCTAAGTATTAATAATAACATTAATAAATATAAATTAATTAAAAACTAAATGACCAAATAAGATAACATTGAACTAAATCACAATAAAATCTATTGTTTTGATGAATGAATCAAAATGTTCATAGTTGAAAGATGAATGCGCTTGTTTGGGCCGTGTTCAGTTAAGATGTGGGTTAGTGGTGTGGATAGTTTGATGTGCTGCTGAATCTATCAGCAACTTAGGGAAAGAACCTGTTTTGTCCGCCTTCCATTATTTGTATTTGACCAAATATTTTCCCATTCTTCTAGATTCTCTTCGAACAGGTTATTTATAATTAATGACTTTGGAAGTGTATGCCCAATTTAGTCAATAGATGCTAATTTGGACAGTCTGTCTGCTTCTTTCCCTCTATTCCACAATGAGACTTAACCCAGCCAAGTTGTACATTAACATTCTGTTACACTAGAGTTTGACTAATTTTCCTTATTAGCTCAGGCAAAAAAACATGATTATCATAATTAATAATTGATTCTAAAGACACTTGACTTTAAGTGACTTAAATTAATAAATTTGGCAATATTTCTTCTGCATTTTTATTCATAACCCATTCCAGCTTGATTATTAGAACATGCCTGATGTAGTCTGTACTCTGCTTCATAAATTTTCGAACCATCCTGACAACACAAAAGCACTACCTACACCACTCTCTGACTTGCTTCCATCTGTATACATAGACATATAATCACTGGATGTCAATAGAATCTGCCGGGAATTTCCACTCTTTGGTGATCTATCATATGTTGTGTCTTGAAGTTCATTATTACCATTATTCACTATATCGTGTAATTTTTTAGGTTGAGCTATCTTTATCCCTATAGGCATTATATTTGCAACAACACAAGCCGCTTCATATGAAATAGTATGATATTCTTTAATTATCGAACAACGACAATAATTGTACACGGTGTTCGGCTCCTCGTGTTAGAAACTTTGCTAGTTCATTCCACATTTAAAATGGAACCAAAAAGTCCTAATTAACATGGTCCGAATCTCAACTGTTTAGGAATTAATTCCTTTTTTCTGATTTTTTTAAGATTTCACGACCTTGCTTCAAATAAACAATGATAACAACAAAACTAAAAGGTTTTGAACAAATCCATTGATACCATTGAAAACTACGTTAATTTCCAATAAGATGTGAAAAATACTAAACTTCTAAACGTTTGGAAATAAGCGTTTTAATAGCCAGAACTTTGAAAAAAAAAATTTTCAGAGTTGAAAAACTTACTATGGTGATTCTAAACGTTAATGTCCTTTTTAGTGGTGTAATTGCTTTTTTTATTTCTGTTTTTAAAGTTGAAGAAATTGATAAAGGAAAGAAAAAACCGTGGGTGCCGGATTTGTGATGAGGTGGAAAGATTTAAAAAAAAAAAAAAAAAAAAAACAGTACCAGTGTTAACAAGATATCACTTAGATAACTAAAAACGTTTTGAATCTTAAAACTCTTTTATTCTCGGGAAAGTAATACAATAATCCTTTAATCAAAAATTATTCAGAAATGGTGAGATGCGGTCTGGTGTGACGTAGGTTTTAGAAAAACATTTTCTTTAGCGTGCCAACGTTTAGATCTTTATTGAGATCATCTTCAGGGCTCAAAGTGTTTGTCTTCTGTGTAATTGTGCCATTCTTGCGTGTCGTGTTGAGAGTGCCACACGACACGCAAGAATGGCACAATTACACAGAAGACAAACACTTTGAGCCCTGAAGTTGATCTCAATAAAGATCGAAACGTTGGCATGTTAATGAAAATGTTTTTCTGAAACCTACATCACACCAGACCGCATCTCACGATTTCTGAATAATTCTCGATTAACGATCACTATTCACCACACACCTTTAATCAAAGTTGGAGTCGTGTTGGTAAATAAGTAAACTTTTGCCCTATTTCGGTTTCGAACCCAAATTAAAAAGTTTAATAAATTCATTCGTTTATTATTTATTTTTTTAATCTTTCCACCTTACCAATCCGTCAATCAGGGTTTTTTCCTTCATCATTTTCTTCGCCTTTGAAAAAAGTAATTAAAAAAACAATTACACCACTAAAAAGGATATTAAATGTAGTACGTTTTCTGAAATTTGCTAGTCTCTAGGTTTGGAAATAGTAGTCTAGAATCACCATAGTAAGTTTTTCACTTTAAATCCCCCCCCCCCAAAGTTCTGGCCATTAAAACGCTTATTTTCCCAACTTTTACAAGTTTAGTATTTATTACATCTTTTTGGAAATTTAACGTAGTTTCAATTGTATCAACGGATTGTCCAAAACATTTTAGTTTTGGAGTAATCATAGTTTATTAGAAGCCAGGTCGTGAAATCTTAAAAAATCAGAAAAAAATAACTCCGAAACTGTAGAGATTCGGACCTTAGTTAATTAGGATGTTTTGGTTCCATTTTGAATATAGAATCTACTGAAAAATTTTGTAACACGAGTAGCCGAACGCCCTGTATATTATTGCTAGAGATTGTAGATCAATAGTATTTATATATCAAATATATATTACGTGTAAGTTATACATATAAGTGTTGGGGGTCCATCGTGGGCTATTTTAATATATAAAAGATTAACCTAGCGTGTAATTCATTTGAAATTTATAAGATTAAAGTCCAGGATGTACATAGAGTTAGTCGTGAAAGTGAGGGAGGGAGATGGAGTCGGAGCGAGAAAGAGGCGTAGGTCGATCAATGGGGTGGAGAGCGGAGCCGCTTGGAGCGCCGGCGATGGAACTGGGACGGGGAGCAGCAACTCGGGAGCCGACGAGCAGACCAGTCAGAGCGGTGCAGAGCTGCTCGTCGCACGTTTGGGAACGCGTTCGTTTGTGTTCAGATCAACAGCCAATGAGGCGTTTCCAGCTCCTTGACAGGCGATTCCTGCTGCAAGACGAGATGGAACCTGCCAGGAGACTGGCGATTTTCGCTTTTCTCGCAATTTTCCTTATTTTCACGCCAACAGAGGCGAACCATAGCCACATTACACTCGACCTCAAGATCAGAGACGTGCTGGACTTATCTGAGGTAAGAGTAATTTAATTTTCACGAAAGGTTCTATATATAAACCCCCCAAAAAAATCGTTCAAGAAAAACTTTCGATAAAGGACCAAGAGGACACGAACTTTTCAATATATTTTCATACTACTACCTATGCAAAATCATATACACGTACTCAATGTAAAACACATATAAATACATTTACACAAAAATGTAATTGAATATTTTCACTGCTGAAGACAGAAAGAATTTTGCATTAATACGTCATAGGAAAAAGTTTTTCCTATATTATATCGAATACACATTATAATAATTAATAAAAAAATATAAGAACTAGCTTAAAAAAAATCCATTTTTAATTTGAGAAAAATTCCATCTTGTAAACAAAGCCGGATTAATTGACGTTCTGAAGAAAGTAGGCGTGGCGGTCAACGGTTGTCATGGCCTCGAGAAACTTAATCCACTTGCCGTATTTGCCTTAATCATTCGTCGTGGTTGTTCATCCTCAGGTTTCACACTTAGATGGACGGTCAGGGTGGGTAAAAGAAAACGAAAACTTTAAACAAAAGAGGCCGAAAAACAAAGACTTTAACGCGCTCCGAATCCTTTGTTTGGTCGATTACCCCTGGTTACCGGGTTCCCTCTCCTGTTCGGCCGGCTTCTAATAATTAATTAATTTCCGCGCCGAGAGCTTAAACGGGTCCGGATGAAGACTTTGTTATATAATGGTTAACATTTAAGCCTGCTCAAGTACTTTTTCTAAGTTTTTCACAAAGACCAATGGAAATCGAACCGAACCTACCGAAGACTGACAGATTTTGTTTTAAAATGCGCAAGAGTCACCAATTTAATTTCTAGTATTTTGTCATAAAACAATAACATTTCATGACAGGATCATGCCTCTGACCTCATATATCTACCTTAATCTGCAGGTTTATCACTCAGTTTTGGCTTTGAAAGAAAAATATTAACAGTCGTACTTCGTGCATCCTTTGTTCAATGTTTTCATATATTCATTCTGGTTTAGCAATAGCAGGCAGTTCTTGTACAATAAAGCTGACGAATTTTTATTATTTTTTATTGTGGAAAAATAAACATTATATTTATCATACTGATAAACTATTTATCGTACAATAATTATATAATATAATAATGTATATCCTTACATGCCATTTTTTTCCACATAATTGTACTTCAAATAATGTGTCAGTAGGACAGAATGTTGCTGGCTCATTGAAAATTTATAACGTTGAAGTCTTGTAATTCTGGATTTTTTTATTTTTTTTATTTTCTTTCTTTTGCCACATATTTGCCATGAATAACCTTTATGGGGTTGTTTTTATGCCAAGGTCTAGACTGTTTTATAATAAGACATCATACTTTTATGATACATTTCGGCATCCTTTACCTATTCCCACAAAAAAGAGAGAAATAGAAGCATGGAAATATTTAATTAAATTATTGTTTGTTAGAGAAAAATAATTTAATCGGTTTTTTAAAAATATCAGCTCAGTAGACTAGTTAAACTTAAACACCATTGGTTTCATAAAACCTTTTATTTATTTCAATCTATACCTTATTTACATTATGTAATGAGATGGATTTACAAATGTCACAGATCATGTTTCGTGAGGGGTGTTAGAAATATTGTTGTTTTCAGAACTATACGCGAGGAATATCCTTTGTGTAGTAGGTCGCGAGGCCATCTCTTCAATTGTCTGGTGGAATTATAAGGGTGGTTTCTGTTGGATAACGATTGGGCAACTGGATTGGGATGCCCCACAGTTCTAGAGCAAGTCCCGATTGATGTTAGTATTGTCTTGTAGATTGTAGATAGTTTGTTTTTTGTTGAAACGTTAGTTTTGCATGCCACTAATCTGTAGAGTAGTCCGTTCAACGTTTGTTTAATTATTGTAATTTTAGTAGTGTCTGCTGGTCTTAGGTTTGTCTTGATCCTAGATGGAACCCAAGGTAGCGGGCGCAGTCTGTTTTTGGGATGGGAGTATTTTTGAGGAATATTGTGTGAGGGGTTTTCTTTCGAAGAGTGAATGATAATAAATGGGCCCTTTTGTTTCATTGAGCTTTATTGCCAGTATTTGTTCCAATCGGCTATTTGCAGGACATCCCTGAGTTCCTCCGAAGGAATTGTTGGATCGGCATCAAAATGTAGCAAGGTACTCGGCAAAGGATGCAAGGATGGTGAAATTAGTATATCTGCTATATAGACAAGGTGCAGGATCATTCCAAATACGCTGCCCTGAGGTACCCCCTGTTGGCGATCCTTGGCGGACGGCGGAATTCAAAAATTTATCGTTAGATTTATTTTAACAACCTCTTGTGTTTTGATTTTTCAAAAAAGTGGCAAATATGTTGTTTTTACTTTTTTTAAACTTTTATTTTTACTTTCTCTCGTTTTAACTGTATTTTCACCTGACGTTCACCCGAGATTGAAAACCGCTGCTTTCCAGGAGTTAATTAATTTAAACAACTTTTTGGCATCTTCGTTGAACCGAACACGGGTAACTTTTTGATTGATGCTTCGTTTGAGTTTATTAACTAGTGCAATTTGATTGTTTTTTGACGACCACATTAACTTTAATATTAACGCTTTGAGGCTTTTTGTTTTGTTCCTTAAATATTTGTAGGCGGAAAAAGTGAGCAATGGGCAGGAATTCAGTACTCCGAAGGAGGAAGGATCGAGGATTTTTAAACAAAGGAAAAAGTTCGATCCAATACTTTATTAATTTTTAAGCTTGTAGGATGGAAGTGCGGCGTTTCTTTGTCATGCTACAGGAAGGACTTAATATTGACCAAAGCCGGGCATTTTTCAAACAATATTTTTGAACAAAGTTTAAATGACTTTTTGCAAAATCTTTTCTGTAAACCTCCCTTGCAAGGTTGTTCACACAAAGTGAGAAGAAACCAATTACTTTACAAAGAGTTTTTTGAGAAAAAATCTACTTTTCATAGGCAATGACATGGACAATGATGTGATTCGTTCTGAAGCTTCTGCAGTTCTAAGCATCCCGATGATGACGTTAATTATTACGGGATACTCCTACTTACTAGTTTCCTGCTGCTTTTGAAACATCGTGGGCTTCCTGTTCTAAATTTAATTTCAAGGTTTATCTCTCTATTTAGGATTTTTAGACCATTTCGCAGCAGTTTGGGGTTGACTTCCCTCTGTACTTCACGTATGAGGATACGTGGTACGTCAGTTGTTTCATTAAGGTTTAAAGTGTCGTACAATTACAATTTTTTAAAAAAATCATATGCTTAGATTGGCTAAAAAGTAGAAATATAATTAAACTGTATATAATTGAGTTTGATCCATTTTTGGTATTGATTTCTGAAATATGATAAAAATGAATGATGACTTTTCCAGACAAATTTTATTCTTTTTCCCATAAAGATTTGACGTATTTACTTACAACTGGACAGGAAGTCCAATATTTTACGTGCCATGTATAATATTTATCAAAACACAGACAACATTTATTATTCGTGAATCTAAATTTGCAATTATCGTAAGATGCTGGGAGGTATAAAAACTAGAAGAAATATTTGTACATATTCTCTGTTAAGTCCTATTAACTGTAATAATCAATAAAGCCCCGTAATTAATTAGTCAGATGAGATGTTTTTCTCCGGTAATAAGCCTATAATTTACATGTCCGGGCCAGATCCGCCTGATAGTTAATTGCATTTTGAAATATCTTCTTCACTTGTTCCATTTTTCAGTGATAACTCAGTGACTAATATTGTTGTAAGATATTGGTTTGGTTTTGCTTTAAACTTTTAAAATGGACTTAAACCAGGATTCGTTCGGCTGCCGTTTGTCTTAAGGATCATTAACTTCTTTAAACATGGCTCGGATGATGCTGATAAATAGACCACGTTTCCTCCATTAACACCGCTAATCCACCGTTTCCATTGTCGTTCTTCCTCTTTTCTCCTGTGTTGGAAGACGAGTTAAAAAAATATTGCGCTATATATAAAAGGAATACTTATCAAAGGCCCCATTTGTTCAATATTAAAACCAGACGACATGGTGAAAAAATAATTATTTGTTAATAATAAAAATGATGTACGCTGTTTCAGTAAAAATGAGACTTTTTGCGTTTGTAAATAGCTTTTGAATTAATAACAAATGGACGGCAGAGGTCGGTATAGGGTCGATTTAAAATTTAAAACTCAAGGGACATGGAGTTTGCGACGTGTTCCTCGAAGTTTCCGACTTTACGAGGCACTTGCCCTCTCTTTTGTACTTACCATTTTTTTAAAATTAAATATTTATAATATACCACTCTCTTCTGATCGTTTAAACGAACCTTTCCTCTTTTTTTTTCATTTTGTTTTTATAACGTGAATAAAACGTGGCGTGGCGTAAAGGACTGGAAGTAATGGAAAAACATTTCTAAAAGGAGGAAATGTTTAATATTTTCTTGGTCATTAGAACGCCTTCGTTTTCGTGAAATCTTTCCTCGTAATTTCATTGATGATCACTTTACATATTCATAAATAAATGTGAATCTGTTGTTTGATAGTTACCTGTTATCCTGGTCCGCCTATCCTCGCTGATATCTGTTCGTTCAGAAGCGTTTCGGCATTCCGCCATCTTCAGTGGTTGGGCGATTTTTTGGAGTCTTGACAAACGCTGAAGATGGTGGAATGCCGAAACGCGTCTGAACCAACAGAAATCTGCGAGGATAGGCGGACCAGGACAGCAGGTCAACTGTTAAGGAATAGGTTCATCACTCAGCAGACCATAAAATGGAATTTCACAATTTCAATATGAATCGGTTTACATTTTTTTGTTTCATTTGTAGGTTACAAAACGACTGCAATTACCCATGCCTGCCACATCTAGCCTTTTATTAGTAAAATAGGTTATGATTTAATGTCTGTGTAAGATAAAAAAAAAAGGTTTACGACAAGAAAACTCAGGTTTTAATAGGTTGAATAGGTTTTGGCATGATTGTGAAAATAGACACAGCCGACTGGAGGACATAGCTGATTGATCCGAG